CTCAAAAATAAATAAAACGTTAAAAAAATTTTTTTTTAAAAACTGTTCATTTAATAAAAAATTGTAAACAAAAAAATAGTGGAAGTTTTAGGTATAAATTATTCCAAATGTCAATATTTACAATGAAAATACAAAATAGGGGTCAAAGATCTTATAATACATATAATTACTCTTTAATTAACATTAGTGATTATTTTTTACTTCTAAAGACAGCTTTTATGTAAACTTACTTTCAAAGATGTACAAAAGGTAAGAAAGCATGCCTGAGTTTCCTTTTTTCTTAATATAATACTGTCTTCAGCCTGCTTTTCAGTGGAGGGAGTAATGAGTAACAAAACAGACCAAACGGGAAATATAACTAGAAAAGAGAAGGAAAGATAAAATTCTAATTATACCTAGAGTATTAAAATTTTAGACTCATGGCAAGAGTCGATCTTCTTTCATTCTATTTATGGAGAAAGAGAGGTGCCTCATGAAGAAAGCAAGAGATCTCAAAACCCCCGACTTGAAAATAACTCCTTCACATTTTTTTTAAAAACTGTTTTATTTCTGACAGGGAGAGACAGAATGCAAGCAGGGGAGGGGCAGAGAGGGAAACACAGAATCTAAAGCAGGCTCCTGGCTCTGAGCTGTCAGACAGAGCCCGTCACAGGGCTCGAACTCACCAACCACGAGATCGTGACCTGAGCCCAACCTGAGCTTAACTGACTGAACCACCCAGGTGCCCCAATCTCCGACATATAATACTTTTCCAGAAATTATCCAATTATTTAATGATTAATGATATTTTAAATATGTAAGTGATTCAGGGACGCCTGGGTGGCTCAGTCGGTTGACCATCCGACTTCAGCTCAGGTCATGATCTTACGGTCCGTGGGTTCAGGCCCCGCATTGGGCTCTGTGCTGACAGCTCAGACCCTGGAGCCTGCTTCAGATTCTGTGCCTCCCTCTCTCTCTGCCCCTCCCCGACTCACATGCTCTCTTTCTCTGCCTCTCAAAAATAAAGAAAACTAATAAAAAAAAAATTAAACAAAAAAAGTGATTCTTGGGAAGACTTAACTTACTAATGTAACTAGATTCACAAATAACAAGTTTCTGTCTATAAAAATGTTATCTAAAAGGACCCAAAAGATACATATGCAAGTAACTGTAATACAAAGAAAAGGTAGTAACACAATAGGAGTTACTTCCTGAGGGGATGGGGCTAGAGAAAGTATTACTAGACTTGGGGAAAATTATGACTATCACAAAGAAGATGTTGAGTCTCAAAGGACGGTTGGGGAATCCCCAACAAAGCTGATGAAAAGCATGTATGGAGAACATGCCCAATTTGGAGGAAGCACAACGTATATGAAAGAGAACAGCTGGAGATACAACTGAAAAGACAGAATGAGTAAGGATCATAAAAAGCTGTAAATGTCAGCAATGACATATTATTATGAATAAGTAATATGAATAAACACAATCTGAATAAAAACAGAAAACATGGGTAAATGACATCAGTAGGCAAAAAGGACTGTTACGATCACAGTTGCACGTTTGTAAATATTTATCAAGTATTTATAATGTCTTAGCTATATACAGGTGAATAGGATCAGTGGCTCTTGACCTTCCAGGAGTGTGTCAATTCTGGTTCTGTTTGCTTTCAATCTCTTCTTCCTCTTTCTCTGCTGCGAAAGATAGGAAACCTGACCCCACGCAATGTTTCCTAGGCTCCAGGTCAGCTGGCTTCTGGCTGCATCCAAACAATGCGAAGCACTGGTGGGGGACTGGAGGGCAACTGGAAGAAGCCATATTGTTTTCTCTCACTTCTTTACCTTGGCAGAATATCCTCTGTGACACTGCTCCCTCACCAGACAAGTCTACCTTCCTTCCATCTTCCCCAGAGAGAACCCAGCCTCTGGATTGCTTCATCTCTCCTTGTCCTCCTGATTATCATAGTGGCTTCCTGCTGAGGCTACTCTGAGTCTGTTCACATAAGCTGCTTGTCTTCTTAGTTCTTCTATCACCAGTGTAACCAGTTCTCTCATTAAATCCCTTCCCTTTAAATACTCACATTGGTTTTAAGTTTTCCTGAACGGACTCTGAATCATATAGAAAGGAACAAACCTATTGACAAATCCAAAAACAGTTCTGGATCCTATACCCATAAAAACGCCCAACTGTACATAAATCTTTACAGACAGTTCTGGGGGGCTTCCAAGAACCCTCGAAGCTGGTCTTATTAATCTCTGATCAAAAATGCAAAGACAGAAGGGCAACTTTCAGTTTGGGAATATGAAAAACTACAGGTCGATGATGGTGATGGTTACAGAACAATGTAAATGTACTCAATGCCACAAAACCATACACTTAAAAATGGCTCAAGTGTTGTATATATTTATATTATGTACATTTCACAAACATAAGTAAATACGGCATTAGATGGAACGTCAGGTGGGGTCTAGGAAAAGTATTTGGGGGGCAGGAGGGGCACATGCGTAAGGGTAAAAGAAAAAAAACACAACCCTAATTATGTGAACTCTAACGGGAGAACTTGTCTATTCTTAGCATTTAGCACAGTGTCCGATACTAAGCAAAGATTTGCCTAAAGAACATTATGAATAAAAGGAACCAACAAAAAGGGAGCTGCTGAAAAAGGTGCTTTGTACTGAAAGAAGAATCATGAGGAAATAATGAAACTATTACTATTTTAGGCTTCTATGCTTTGTAATTATGGATCACCAGGTGCTAACATAACTTCAAGATACATAATACTAAGTGAGAAGAGTACGAATGGGTGTGGGTGGGGAGTCTTTCTTTCCTTTTGTATTACACTACACTCTTTTGCCCAACTTTAAATTTTGGTAAGTGCATACGTTTTTCAACTTTTAGAATAGGAGGTGTAATGTGAATGCTTTAGGCAGACTTGTTCAATAGTAAATATCAATAGCAAGACTATTTGAGAAGCCACGAAAGAGGTCCAAAGGAAGGCATGGGGGGCAGGCATATTAAGTAGGATTGGCGGCAATTAAATTGGAATGTGAATGACAAAGAATTTTAGGAAAAGAAACAATTAATTTGGAGTTTTTATCCATTAAAAAAACTAGGAAGTCAAGCAGAGCAGATGGCTTGTGGAGAACACAAGTAGGTGTGAATTATTCCAGTTAGAAAATCATATTGCTTTCAGACTGGTTGTTTTTAGCTGGGGGTGATTTTGCCCTCCAGGGAACATACTGGCAATAGAGACATTTCTTAAATGTCATAAGTGGGTGGGGGTGGGACTGAGGTCTTACTGGCACCTATCCATACATGCCAGGTATCTAAACATCTCACAATGCACAGGACAGCTCCCCATAATAAATAATTATCTGGCGCCAAAAGTCAATAGCGAACAAGGTGAGAAACCCTGTTAAGGACTTCTATTGTTACATAAAATCCGGTGGATTAACCAAATTGCCAAAACTCAAAAATTCATAACCAAATGATACACCTTCAAGAAAAAACAAAGTATGTCAATATTCAACACTGTGAAAGTCTACTTTAGGTTATGACGTTTACCATAAACCTCATAAATGTAACTAACAATTACAAGATAGCCAGCTTTTTCTCACAGATAGAGATGGAGGCTAACTACTGATAAGTTCTCATAAAGTGGACAAAACAATAACCAAACATTAGCAAAAATACTAGTTTAAGCTTATGTCACTAGTTTCTCCAAAAACGGGCCGTGGAACCGTTAGTCTCTCCTGTTTCCTGCAAAATGTGCTCATCAAAAGCCCCGTGCACGAAGGCCTGTTTTTCTGGGCAGGGCTGAGTATTTAAAAAAGTAAGACTAATGGGATTTTCTAACAATAAGGTAACAATAGCAACTACTGTGGACACGACGGGAAATTTCATCACAGATGTTTACCATTTACTTTCAGGGGTGTCGCGTATGAGGTCTGCAAACCACTGGCTCGGGATCTGAGGGTTTGAGCTTCCTACAGATCTGGTGCTCAGCAGCACGACCCTCTCCATTCTTTTGGGAACAAACAACAACAAAACCCGTTTCCCACAGAAACAATACGCCCTGACAACAGGCCCGCTGAACGACCGTCCTCAAATGGAGGAAAACACTAACCATCAGAGCTAGAAAACGTTCAACTGGAAGGCATTTCCTCTGCGAAATTGCTCGCCCGTCCTGTTTTAGAACATGCAGCTGGCATTTCAGACCTCGGTGCCGGACGACTAACTGCGGGGAGGGAGGGTGAGGGATGGGGAGGCAAGATCACCCCCGTTCGCCCCACATTCGTAGTTCTAAGGGCGAGGGACGAATAGGGCGTCGGGAAGGTCTTTCTGCACGACCGGGTGGCTCAGGGACGTCCTCATTTTTCCTAATTAGTACGTGGGTCCGTCCGTCTCGTCCACAAGGCTCCTTGCAGGGGTCCCAACGAAGCTTGCAGGCCCGGCTCCCCCTCCGAATCCGGGCCTCAGGTGTTCCGCCCGGACTTCTCCTGGGCCCTCCCCTCGCCACGCAAGCCTCCGGGGAGCGCAGCATCCACACAAAGAGGCTTAAGCGGTCCGAGAGCCCGGCTGGGGGAGAACGGCCGCCGGTCAGAACTTGCAAACGCGGAGCAAAGCCCCAGAGCCTCCCCGCCCCGGGAGAACCTCTGGCCCCAAAGGTCGTTCCGTCCTGCTCTGCCTGGCCCACTAACTGTCTCTCCCGCGCCTGCACTCACCCAGAACCAGCCGCGCAATGTCCGAAGGTAACAGCATGACCGAAGCCGCAGCAGGAACCGCAATAGGAGACGAGACTCAGGTGAAAGCCCACACACCGACAGCTCCTGCGCCGCATCTCCGGGTTCCAGTGGCGGCACCGAACCCGCGGCAATTTGGCCCGCCTCTTTCGCCCCACGTCCGCCAATCGCTTCCGCCGGAGAAAGAAAGGCGCCGAAATGAAACCCGCCTCCGTTCCCGTCGGAACTGTCGTCACTTCCGTCCTCGCGTTAGGAGGGGTGGGGCTGAAGGCGGCGAGGAGGTGGGATGCAGGCGCGGGAGCCCAAGTCGGAGGGCGAGCGGAGAGCTCAAGTTCGCATGCCATTGGCGGGCGACGCGCAGGCGCGTTCGCTCAGACGAGCCGAATGTTTTCAGGGGAGCGAGGGCAGGAGGCGGAGAGCGTGCGGGGGTCGTCGCGCATGGGCAGACCGTGCCCGCTTCTGGGTCACTCTGACTTCTTCCTCCGGAGACCCAGGCTGTGCGGGCACGCGGCGTTTGAACCGGAAGCGGGAATAGTGGGTGTCTACTCGGCTGGAGCCGCTGTGGACGCGGGGAAAGGCGAGTGGAGCGGGATTTAGGCTGCAGCCGCCGCCTCCGCTTTGGGAAATTGCACTCTGGCCGTTCGAGTGCAGCGGTAGGTGCGCGGCGAGCAGGCAGCGGCTTCTGCGTGGGGGTACTTGAGGGGCGTCCGAGCCATGCTGTGCCAGCCCCATGATGGCCGGTCTACCCTGCTGCTCTCTAGAGGCGTATTATTCCGCGCTGCACTTTTCTCCCGCTCTCTCTGCGATCCCGTAGCGGACTTAGCGGAGTTAATAGCCGGGACTCTTCTGCCAAATGCCGCGTTGAGTCCTCCTGTGCGTCCCCTTTCTCTGTCCCCGTATGGACCAGCTGTAACTAAATGACTTGACTAATCATGCCCCCCCTCTTCTTTATTAGATTTGATCTACGAGCATCTGTTGAGGTTTAAACTAGATTGGCGTGCGTTGGAGCGCGGAGTGTGGAATTACTTTTGCTGGAGCTGGAATGCTGGCTGACATCTGCATCCGCGCTGTACAGTCTCCCTTGTGATTATTCTGGCCTGTGGTGAGCACTCAAGAGCGTTCGCTGCTGTTCTTGCCGGGTACCGAGAAATTTTAGAATTTTTTTTTTTTTTTTTTTTTTTTTTTTAAAGAGTGGCAGACGGAGGGAGAGTGAGGATCCCAAGCCGGCTCCAAGCTCAGCGCTGGGCTGGATCGAACGACCCTGGGATCATGACCTAAAAAGAAATCGAGCGCCCCATGCTCAAAGGACCGAGCCACCCGTGTGCCCCACTGGGCACAGACAGTAAAAGGACCCTTAGAGCTCAGGGGGATAATCTGAGAGAGAACTGTGACGGCAGAGGAGCAAATGAGGTTGTGTGGTAAGACCTCCAATTGTTCAGTTGCCCCCGGAGGGGTATGGTAGGTGCCTTGCAGACAAGGGGAAATGCATGTAAAGGCATAAAGTGTGGAAGGTTTCTGAAGCTCAAGAGTGAGGTCTGGCGTGGAATGAAAGATGTGGGCATTTTCAGCATGGTGGGGTCTTAGGGATGGATGAGACAACCCTGGGAGAGCATAGGTTGAGAAGTAAGGACACAAAGATCCTCTTGCAGGTGTGGGTGGAAGAAGAACCAGCAAAAAAGATTAAGGAAACAAAGGGAATAATGATAATTGGTAGCAGTGGTTGGGCATTTGCTGTGTTCCAGGCACTGTGTTAAACACGTGTATGCACCCTTACAAAACCTTTGAAGTAGGCACCCTTACAATACCTTTGGTATTGTTTTTTATTTTATTGTTGACAGAACTGACGTTAGAGGAAATAGCAATCTTGCTCAGGCTTATACAGTTTGTAAATGGCAGGACGAGGATTTGAACCAGTATGATCTAAGTACAGAGCCCACACTATTACACCGGGAAAGAATGGCATGCCAAGGGCAGAATTGTATGCAGGAAGATGGGGTGTAGGTATCATTGTCAAATTCTGTAAAGGGACCAACTTGATGGAGATCTAAAAAGGGACATTGGATTTGCCATTTCAGAGGCTGTTGCTTAGGAAATGTGTATTGTTTAACTGCATGTTGGTAGTGGAATGTAGATAGTTCTGGATGAATGTATTAATCAAATTCTACCTGATCTGTTGACTCTCTTGCTGTAGCTGACTGCTTTGTAGTTCTTTGGTTTTCTTTCACTTCCTCCAACATACCATGCACTTTTCCATTTTAAGACCTTTTGGTGATACTAGTCTCCACTGAAATGTTGGCCCTCTAGCTGTTTCATTGATTGGCACCCGTTCAGATCTTGGCTTTGTTGTAACCTCTGCTGGGATGTGTTCCCTGGCACCTTATCAAAAGTGATCTTCTCCATTGTTATTGTATATTGTGTTTCCTTTGAGTCATATATCAGTTTGGAATTACACATTTATTTTTCAGTGTACTCGTTTGTCGTCACTCTCCCTCACCATTTCTGACTCCACAAGGGTAGGATTTGTGTCTCTTACCCGTAACATAGTACCTCGAACACAGTAGTTGCTCAGTAAATGTTGCATGTATCAGTGATTGAACATTTCCTGATTGAACTGTTGTGTTTTCTTGAAAGTAATCCATTTTTGGGAAACGGAAGAGAGAAAAATAGAAAGAAGCCAGCAGAAAAATCACAGCTTTAAAAAAGAAAATTTAGGGGCGCCTGGGTGGCGCAGTCGGTTAAGCGTCCGACTTCAGCCAGGTCACGATCTTGCGGTCCGTGAGTTCGAGCCCCGCGTCGGGCTCTGGGCTGATGGCTCAGAGCCTGGAGCCTGTTTCCGATTCTGTGTCTCCCTCTCTCTCTGCCCCTCCCCCGTTCATGCTCTGTCTCTCTCTGTCCCAAAAATAAATAAACGTTGAAAAAAAAAATTAAAAAAAAAAAATTTGAGGGCTACATCTTCCTGGAAGTGTCACGTGGTCAGTAAACATGTGATTTTTTTTTTTACATTACAAACAACATGTTTAGTATATCTAGAAATAAATGTGCCTACCTTTATGGTTCTTTGGCTATTGCTAAGGTGTTTTCATTGGTTACAATCCCAGTTTTGTTTTCCATATTGACTCCAAGAGGATTTTAAGCTAAGGGTGAGTAAGAAGGGGGAAGAGTCCTAGATAAAATTGTGAGGAGTGGAAATGAAAATAGCATGAACATGAAAATAATAGTTGTTTTCCTCGAGAAGTTTACTACCAAACAAATAAGACTGTCAACTAAATAACATCCTGTAATCCACAGCAGTGTAGAGGAGGTTGTACTAGGGATAAAAGAGTCAGAACAACCAATGAATAAAAATGAAGAAGTGACTTAGACTTTTCTTCCAGTGAAATAGGTAGGCTCATTAGGTAGTGTGCCTTCACTGGATGTTAAAAGAGTGTGGAAATAATTTTGTAGGAGAGATTTCTTTGTACGAAGATTGGACGTGTTCTCTCAGTTCCGGTTTTAAGATCCTGTGAGTGAAATAGCAGCAGGGAAACACACTTGATCTTTAAAGAATGAGTAGAATTTATGTGAATGCATGGGTAAAGGACACCCCCCCCTTGCCTCTTGAGATAGGTAATACACAAAAAAAGGTACATATTTTCTTTGTAAATATTTATAGTCTAACAAAAACGAAGCTCCTTTGTAAAGTGACTCAAAATTAATGACACGAAATGCTTTTCTTATATGAGTTCTTTTAAAGGTCATCAGAGGTAGGCTTGATTATGTTCAAAAACCCAAGAGGAGAGCTACAGCATTGGCATTCAAGCTCAGTAAGATGTAGTTGATTTTTGACTTTTGCAAGGGATATCTCTGTAGTATTTTTTTTTTTAATTTTTTTTAACGTTTATTTTTTTTTGAGAGACAGACAGAGACAGAGCATGAGCAGGGGAGGGGCAGAGAGAGAGGGAGACACAGAATCCAAATCAAGCTCCAGGCTCTGAGCTCTCAGCACAGCTAAGCATCTGACTTCAGCTCAGGTCATGGTCTCACCGTCTGTGAGTTCAAGCCCCACATCAGGCTCTGTGCTGACAGCTCCGAGCTTGGACCCTACTTGAGATTATGTGTCTCCCTCTCTCTCTGCCCCAACCCCACTCATGCTCTGTCTCTCTCTCAAAAATAAATAAATGTTAAAAACAATTTTTTTTTAAATGAGAACCATCAAGCCAGTTGAGACTTAAGTGCTAGGCAAGGTTTGCCAGCTCTGATAACCTCCTAGCTATCAATTCCAGAGCACAGCAAATTAAACTTTTGGCTCAACAAATGATACATTGCTACATATAAGAAAAGGTGCTGCTGTTAAAGTGCTAAATCCTTGGGTGCCCTTTTCCTTGTTCTTGACCTGTCTGTCTTCTGTTTATCTTTTACGTTTTAATAGAAATATCATATACATGGAAAATCCGATAGACTCCACCAAAAGTCTGCTAGAACTGATACATGAATTTAGCAAAGTTGCAGGATACAAAGTCAATGTACAGAAATCAGTTGCATTCTTATACTCTAGAAGCAACAGAAAGACAAATAAAGAAACTGATCCCATTCACAATTGCACCAAGAAGCATAAAATACCTAGGGATAAATCTAACCAAAGATGTAAAAGATCTGTATGCTGAAAACTATAGAACACTTATGAAGGAAATTGAAGAAGATATAAAGAAATGGAAAAACATTCCGTGCTCATGGATTGGAAGAACAAATATTGTCAAAATGTCAATACTACCCAAAGCTATCTACACATTCAATGCAATCCCAATCAAAATGGCACCAGCATTCTTCTTGAAACTAGAACAAGCAATCCTAAAAGTCATATAGAACCACAAAAGGCCCCGAATAGCCAAAGTAATTTTGAAGAAGAAGACCAAAGCAGGAGGCATCACAATCCCAGACTTTAGCCTCTACTACAAAGCTTTAATCAGCAAGACAGCATGGTATTGGCACAAAAACAGACACACAGACCAATGGAATAGAATAGAAACCCCAGAACTAGACCCACAAACGTATGGCCAACTAATTTTTGACAAAGCAGGAAAGAACATCCAATGGAAAAAAGTCTCTTTAACAAATGGTGCTGGGAGAACTGGACAGCAACAGGCAGAAGATTGAAACTAGACCACTTTCTCACACCATTCACAAAAATAAAATCAAAATGGTTAAAGGACCTGAATGTGAGACAGGAAACCATCCAAACCCTAGAGGAGAAAGCAGGAAAAGACCTCTCTGACCTCAACCATAGCAATTTCTTACTTCACACATCCCCAAAGGCAAGGGAATTAAAAGCAAAAATGAATTACTGGGACCTTATGAAGATAAAAAGCTTCTGCACAGCAAAGGAAACAACCAACAAAACGAAAAGGCAACCAACGGAATGGGAAAAGATATTTGCAAATGACATATCGGACAAAGGGCTAGTATCCAAAATCTATAAAGAGCTCACCAAACTCCATACCCGAAAAACAAATAACCCAGTGAAGAGATGGGCAGAAAACATGAATAGACACTTCTTTAAAGAAGACATCCGGATTGCCAGCAGGCACATGAAAAGATGCTCAACGTCGCTCCTCATCAGGGAAATACAAATCAAAACCACACTCAGATATCACCTCACGCCAGTCAGAGTGGCCAAAATGAACAAATCAGGAGACTATCGATGCTGGAGAGGATGTGGAGAAACGGGAACCCTCTTGCACTGTTGGTGGGAATGCAAATTGGTGCAGCCACTCTGGAAAACAGTGTGGAGGTTCCTCAAAAAATTAAAAATAGACCTACCCTATTACCCAGCAATAGCACTGCTAGGAATTTACCCAAGGGATGCAAGAGTACTGATGCATAGGGGCACTTGTACCCCAATGTTTATAGCAGCACTCTCAACAATAGCCAAATTATGGAAAGAGCCTAAATGTCCATCAACTGGTGAATGGATAAAGAAATTGTGGTTTATATACACAATGGAGTACTACGTGGCAATGAGAAAGAATGAAATATGGCCCTTTGTAGCAACGTGGATGGAACTGGAGAGTGTGATGTTAAGTGAAATAAGCCATACAGAGAAAGATATCATATGTTTTCACTCTTATGTGGATCCTGAGAAACTTAACAGAAACCCATGGGGGAGGGGAAGGAAAAAAAAAAAAAAAGAGGTTAGAGTGGGAGAGAGCCAAAGCATAAGAGACTTAAAAACAACAAACTGAGGGTTGATGGAGGGTGGGAGGGAGGGGAGGGTGGGTGATGGGTACTGATGAGGGCACCTTTTGGGATGAGCACTGGGTGTTGTATGGAAACCAATTTGACAATAAATTTCATATATTGAAAAAAAAATAGAAGTATCATGTCTCCTAGAAAAGATCTCAGGACACCTGGGTAGCTCACTTGGCTAAGTGTCTGACTTCAGCTCATGTCATGATCTCGCAGGTCCTGAGTTCGAGCCCCATGTTGGCTTCTGTGCTGACAGCTCAGGTCCTGAATCCTGCTTCGGATTCTTATGTCTCCCTCTCTCTGCCCCTCCCCTGCTCACGCTCTGTCTCTGTCTCTCAAACATAAACAAAATCATTAACAAAAAAATTTAAAAAAAAAAGTTCTCAGAACAATAAATTACATGTTTTCTATTTTTATCCCACTGCTGCACACAAATTTACATGTTTGAAGCTTTGTTTTGATATATTTTATTTTATTTATTTATTTATTTTTTTTCCAACGTTTATTTTTGGGACAGAGAGAGACAGAGCATGAACGGGCGAGGGGCAGAGAGAGAGGGAGACACAGAATCGGAAACAGGCTCCAGGCTCTGAGCCATCAGCCCAGAGCCCGACGCGGGGCTCGAACTCACGGACCGCGAGATCGTGACCTGGCTGAAGTCGGACGCTTAACCGACTGTGCCACCCAGGCGCCCCTGTTTTGATATATTTTAAGAAAATCTCACTTGAACATGGAAACGTTAAGAAAAACCACTGTATGTTTGAGCACATTATATCTCTAGTTGTATAGTTTGACCTGCCTATGTATTAATACCACAATCCGAAGGTCTAAAGTAATTTTGCATGTACGTATTTTTTACAGTGACGTTTTCTGAAATTCTGAACCATGAGTCTAGCACTTAACGATCTGCTTATTTGCTGTCGTCAGTTGGAACACGATAGAGCTACAGAACGAAGGGTAGTAAATTCCTGAAATTTTACCTTTCCTTGTAGCAGGTGTGTGATTGGCAACCCATTACCATGTTCTTCTTCATTTTCAGAAAGAAGTTGAGAAATTTAAGCGCCTTATCCGGGATCCTGAAACCGTTCAACATTTAGATCGACATTCAGATTCCAAACAAGGGAAATACTTGAATTGGGATGCTGTTTTTAGGTATTCCATTCTAATTTCATTTTAGCGTCTTTAGTTTTTGCTTTCATTTTTATTTGTTGTGATATTTTTGTGTATGTAGGTGTTACTTTGTTCCCTATATACAGTTGTGCTTTGTATATAAAATTGGTGCTTAATATTCATCTGAAACATAAGTTTTAAAGGATGTTCATGTAGAAAAAGTTACATTTTTTAAGTCATTTGATCAATAAAAGGTCTTAGACATATCTCACTCAAGATTAGAGAAAATTCTGGGGTGCCTGGGTGGCTCAGTATGTCGAGCATCTGTTTCTCGGTTTCAGCTCACGTCATGATCTCACACTTCATGAATTCGAGCCCCATGTCAGGCTCTGCGCTATGCAGATTTAGTTGATTTTTGACTTTGGCGAAATCCTCTTTCTTTGCTGTTTCCTACTTGGTGCTTTCTCTCTCAGTGCTTGTGGAGTTTGACACCAGGCTTGAACCCACGAACTGTGAGATCATGACCTGAGCTGAAACCAAGGGCCGGATGTTCAGCTGACTGAGTCCCACCCGCACCCCTGTTATTTTTACATCTATATTGGTCTAAGTAACTGCCATATGTTAAATTTTAACAATAACAAACAAAATTCAGGATTCAGGCATTGGAAAGACAGAATTGATTAGTGGACTGGAGTGGCAGACAGAATTGATGCTTTTTTACATTAAAATATAATTTTTAACTGTTAAGTCTGTAACTAGAAGTAGATCGTAAGACTTAGGGCACATGAGTGAAATATTTTAAATTAATAGAGAATACTGGGAAACATGAAACAACATTTTCAGTCAAGGAAGTTGTTAGTATTTAGAAAGAACACTTTTATTTTTACTGTGTATTTGGTACTGGAATGACTTACAGATTTCAATGCAGATAACATGAAAAATGCATATGTGTCTTCCTCTGGTTAGTTTATTTCAAATACCACAACTATAGTTATTATCTAAAGATGACTTTTGCATAAACTGTTCAGATAGGTCAGAGATGCACTTGGCACTTTCAGCTAATCATGAATATTTTCTAGGCCGCCTTTATTCCAAAGGTAGAAGTGTTACCAACTGCTTAGGAAAGGTGTGGGTTGTACAGAATAACAGGCAATAAAGAATCAAGAGCCCTAAAACCATTGTAAGCTTTTAATAATAAGGTGAGAAAGCAAGCAGGAAAGCAACAGAAAATCACGGAGGCTCCAGATCCAGACCAGACTTTAAGCGGGTGTGGTGGGGCTTAGGCCTTGAAAGAGAAAATTGTTTTATTTAGCTGGTACATTGATGGCACCTTGTGGCTTGTTCTCTGTATAATGGCATAAGGACTTTTTAGAATTGTTGCAATAATTTTTTTTTTTTTTTATGTTTATTTTTGAGAGAGACAGTGTGAGTGGCGGGGGGGTGGGGGGCATGCGCAGAGAGAGTTGGAGACATAGAATCCGAAGCGGGCTCCAGGCTCTGAGCTGTCAGCACAGAGCCCGATGTGGGGCTCAAATTCACGAGCTATGAGATCATGACCCAAGCCGCAGTCAGCTGTCCAACCAACTTAGCCACCCAGGCGCCCTGAACTGTTGTAATAATTTAAGCATTTAATGAGTTTTCTGAAATTCTACTTTGTTTTCTTGAAGATTTTTACAGAAATATGTTCAAAAAGAAACAGAATGTCTGAGAACAGCAAAAGCAGGTGTATCAGCCTCAACACAAGCCACCAGGCAGAAAAAGATGCAAGAAATTAGTAGTCTGGTCAAATACTTCATCAAATGTGCAAATAAAAGTAAGTGCTGTTGTTAGTTGTAACGAGCTGGTTTAGTAAGAGTTACTGTTGCCTGAATCTGGTTGTAATGTGTTGAGGTAATAGTTGATGCTAACTCTAATCTCTAGTACATATCATGGTTTTTAATACTATAGATTTAACTATTTGGATGAATTTATGCAAGCATGGAATGGTAGTGCCTGGATTCAAAGATTAAAAATTACTATTCCAGCTGCCCGTTCTTCTTCTTGGACCCCCTCTATTTGTTCTTAGCACTTAGGTGGCCTTAATGCTGAACATAACCTTTTGAGGCTTTTTTTTTTTTTTTTTTTTTTTTTTTTTTTCTATTTTTTAATAGCTTTAATAGTAGTAAAAACTTGTCTCCCTTTGTTATTTATTGCTTCTGCCTTCTCAGGTAATAAAGACAGATCCCAATAAATTTTTTCAAAATGGTATCCTTTGAGGTATTTGAAGTTAGCCATGACATTTTCTCTGAGGCTTTTTCTCTAAGCTAAACAGATAAACTTCCTTCAGCTCGTATGACCTAGTATTTGTGTCAGTCTTTTCTGAATTTTCTTCAATTTAATTCTATCTCAAAGTGTGGGACTCAATTATAGGTATGTTCTGATTGGTACAGAGCAGTGCAGGACTCGTATGTCTTTTATTCTATACTTGTAACTCATTTTGAGATCACAGTGGCTTTCTTGGCAGTCAAAACCCACCCTTGTAACTATAACTGTGCCTTCTATTGATTAAAAAAGAAAATAACTGTGATTTTTTTGCTTCTGTTGAGCCACATATTTCCATTTTGAACTGATGCGGTGAATGCTTTAAAGAGTTCATATTTTTGAATCAAAACACAGGATCCTTGTAGGCTCATGTAAAGAAACGGGCTTCATACAATCCTGAACACTAGAAGCAGAAATGTTTGTGTACAGACTCTTGGGCTTAAACTCTGTTCACTCTTCAAAGATGTGGCTTTGTTGGGAATGCAAGCTGGTGCAGCCACTCTGGAAAACAGAATGGAGGTTCCTTAAAAAACTAAAAATAGAACTACCCTACGACCCAGCAGTTGCACTACTAGGCATTTATCTAAGGGATACAGGTGTGCTGTTTCGAAGGGACACGTGCACCCCAGTGTTTACGCAGCACTATCAACAATAGCCAAAGTATGAAAAGAGCCCAAATGTCCAACGAAGGATGAATGGATAAAGAAGATGTGGTGTATATATATGTGTGTGTGTGTATATATATATATGTATATATATGCATACATATACACATACACAATTGAGTATTACTCGGCAATCAAAAAGAATGAAATCTTGCCATTTGCAACAATGTGGATGGAACTAGAGGGTATTATGCTGAGTGAAATTAGAGAAAGACAAAAATCATACGACTTCACTCATATGAGGACTTGAAGAGACAAAACAGATGAGCATAAGGGAAGGGAAACAAAAATAATATAAAAACAGGGAGGGGGACAAAACAGAAGAGACTCATAAATATGGAGAACAAACTGAGGGTTACTGGAGGGGGTTGTGGGAGGGGGGATGGGCTAAATGGGTTAAAGAGCACTAAGGAATCTACTCCTAAATCGTTGCACTATGTGCTAACTAATTTGGATGTAAACTGAAAACAATTAAAAATAAATTTTAAAAAATGTGGCTTTGGGATACCAAGTTTAGTTTAAGAATCAGAAAAGCCATTGAGTCACTGTATATTGGACACCTGAAAGAAATATGACACTGTAGGCTATCTTGGAGTTAAAATAAGGAACTTAGTAAAATAAAAAGAATCAGAAAAGGCCAGTGTTGGTAAACGTTATTAAGTAGAAGGATACAGATGGTTAGCAAATGATATTTTAGAATGGTGGTATGAGACTTGAGTCTAAAAAGTGGTGGTTTAGGAGAAATTTATTTTTCCAGCTCTGAGATGCCAGTTGTGTGGATAGGGGCAAGCCCATGTCAGGGACTCCAGCATGGACAGAGGAAAGCTACACTGAAATACTCTGCACCTGCTTTTGCCCTGTAGGATAGCCCTGCATTTATTAAAATTTGATTTCTTGGCTACTGACATTGGGTTCTTAATAGATTTTAATCTGTACTTAGAGAGTAAGGAGAGAACGATACCCAAGCCCATTTGTAACCCCTCATAAAAGTTTGCAGCATGTAATTTTGCATTAGAGTGAAAAGACCTTTAGTCACAAAATTAACAGTGGACATCACATTTGAAAATGTGTGAAAGTATCAATATTTTGTTTACAGGAAAGAGTAGATAAAATTATCAATATAAGATCATTTAAATGGTTGAAAAGTGGTTGTTTTCATTTGAAGCTTCCTTATCTTTCAGGTTTAACTTTGAATTTTTTTAAAAAGTTTATTTATTTTTGAAGGGGAGAGATGGGGGGGTTGAGTGAGGGAGGGGTAGAGAGAGAGGAAGTCACAGAATCTGAAACAGGCCCCAGGTTCCGAGCGGTCACCACAGAGCCTGATGCGGAGCTCGAACTCGTGACCTCATGTGCCCTGAGATCAAGACTTGATCTGAAGTCTGCTGCTTAACTGATTGAGCCACCCAGGTGCCCCAGTTTCAGGTTTAACTTTGTAACTTAAATGTCTTTAACCTCAGAACAAAGGTAGGGTGTTACTATTATGTCATCTCACTTCTTTGTGTTTTTCAAAGAGGTGAGAGAATTGATGGGAATTGAAACACATGTGCAGACTTTGCCAGACCTAATTAGTTAGCACTGGTATTCATAGTGTGACGAAAGAAACAGATTGAAAAAACACAGTTGGGAAGGAACCAATAAGCATTTGTTCATTCTTTTATGTAGGCATTTATCTGCTTCTGCACAAAGCACATTTGTAAAATGTTAAGTTCTATGAGGTTCCTTAAATCCTTTTCAGCCAACTTAGTTGTCCTCTGGAGGCAGATTTTTTTAGAAAAGAATGTCAGCATAATTCTTGAGGCCTTTCTCAAATTTGGCAGAGGAAGGAAATATGTTGGGACTAAGACCATAGGGAAATGTGACTTCATCCTGACATTAATTTATGCAGTTAATAAATGTTTACTAAGCAAACACTATTTAGGACAGTTACTGGGTTGTGTTGCAATATAGAGATTAATTCCTTAGGAATGTTATAACAGACGTTATGGATAAGAAAATGATACAAGGACCATTAGAGAAAGATACATAGGGTGTTAAAGCAGAGGATCGTGGGATTGTGCGTTTCATGATTGGCCAGAGATGCCTAAAATTGTAATAAAGGCCACAAGTGAAAATAGTACTCCGATTATGTCAGTGTGTATTTATTTACCGTAGTTTGATGGTTGTCACCATATGAAAATGCTGAACTAGAATATGATCAGATACGTATGATTTGCAACCTCCTGATAGCTTATAACAAAAAAATGTTAATGTGTGGTTTTAAGATTGTTAATGTTGAAATAGGATAAAATTATAGCCGCAACATCAGTGTGATTTGCTGAAAATAGGAAACAGTTTTTAAATATCCTTTTGTTAAGAGTATATCCTTTAGTACTGAATTTTTGGGTCCTCTAGTAAATAAAAGAGGAAATATTACTGCCTTACATACTTATATGCCATACATGCTGTTGTAGGATTTGAAAGTAATTTGATTTTTAGTGTAAATATCTTCCTTACAATCTCAAGTTATTCTAATGAATTCGTTCTTTTTAAAAAGTACCAAGAAACGTTGGATCATTTTAGGTCTAATTCCAGAAGTTGTGAATTATTAAGGATAGGATGAATGATTGTTTTTGCTATATATTCCCCTAGAGATCAGCAAACTTCTTTTGTCAAGGGACCAGACTGTAAACGTTTTTGACTTTTTAGGCTCTCTAGTCTGTCTCAGTTACTGAGCTCTGCTGTTGTGGCATAAAAGTAGCTGTAGACAATACAGAAATGAATGTGGCTGTGGCCCCGTAAAGCTTTATTTCCCAAAACAGGCAGCTGGCTGCATTTTGCCCACGGGCCATAGTTTGCTGCTCCCTGCTCTGTGAGAAAGAGGTTAATAGTAATTTCCCACATGGAATTATTTATATAGTCGTACTTCCAGGTGTTCTTATTTGTCTTAAGATTTATACGTTTTTATTTACTTGCTTGTTTATTTTTAAATAGGAGCACCCAGACTAAAATGTCAAGAACTCTTGAATTACATCATGGATACGGTGAAAGATTCGTTTAATGGTACTGTTTATGGAGCCGACTGCAGCAACATACTGCTCAAGGATATTCTTTCAGTGAGAAAATACTGGTGTGAAATAACTCAGCAACAGTGGCTAGGTATGTTTTGAAGTTTGTTATTTTTGAATTTTTTCTGTGAAATGAAATGTCACTAAAAGGCTGGTCAGAATCTGTATCCCCCAAATGACCTGGCCGTTTCACAGTATCCTGGTAAAATGAAATGGTTACAGAATCCAACACCTAGTTTCATTTTTTAAGGACTTCCAAAGTTATTGTCTCTATCGTAGATAAGGAGTTACAGAATTGAAAGAAGCCATACCTTTCCTCAAGAACTTGACAGGCCAGTGGCAGGAAAAAACCAAGTAAACCAAAAATTCTAACACACTATGACGTAGATATGTTTGGAAGCCGTGACTTCACAGATCAGTGACACCCAAACCCCACCGTGATTAAAGTACAAAGAAGAAAACCAGTAGGGAGAGGTGTTGTAGAAGTGAAAGCAACAGAGTTTCAGGTTGGAAGGGGGATGACGTTTTAAGTGTGGTGGAAATGATAAAACACATAAGAATCCATTGGATTAGGCTTGTAGCAGGTCACTTGTAAGGTAGCGCACATCACGAATAGCACAGGACGTACAGGCCCCAGTGACTGCAAGATAAGGAGAGTGGGTGCCAGGGAGGAATCGAGTGTTTTTGACAGCCTGTAGGTGAAAGTTAGTAGAGACCACAAAGGAAGGAAGTTAGGGTCAGAGACTGAAACATTTGAGTTTATTGATTTCGGAGGTGGAGCATTTTCGTTGCTGAGTGGGTTCAGTGGGCGAGAATGGGATTTGGCTTTAGTGAAGCCACTCTAAGCCATGTCAGAGTCGTCTAATACAACCACCTCTGAAAATCTAAAAGCTCAGTATTTTTCATTGTAAGTATTCAAGATAAATTTTGCTGACTACCTGAAAAGATGTTTGTATTATTTGTCGTCAGTTTCTCGTTTCAAAATGAGATACATGTGGATGGTAAAACCATGACCTGATCAGTGCTCTGCATTATACTCTACTGTTCCCACATGAAGGAAAGCCTTCTGAGCTGCTGTATTAATTTCTTAGATGTCATCTGGGGCCTCTGTTGTTGTTCTGGACATAAGGGAGGCTGTGTCCCAAATCCGACCCTCAACAAGTCGTACAGAGAATAGGCTAGTGATATCCAGGATACTGTGACACCTCTCTATGACCAAAGTGGTCCATCCTAAGTATTCAGAGGGTTTGTGTATCTTAGATTATTACATGTAACCACAGGTCTCACTGAAACAAAGGTGGTCCTTCCTGTAGCATCCTAAGTATGGTTCCATCATCTGGCATGTTCTCTGAAACGCTCTTTTTATTTTTAAGCATACTACTTTCACTTCTCACCATCTGCCCCTTGGTTGAATTGTTTTTCTAGTTAGCTCCCTCCTCTGATGAGAACTTGCTTCTCTAATGAGGACTTTGCTCAAGAAGTGAAGTTTATGTTCAGAACCCATCTTTAATAGTGATGTTGATGGCGCCCATGGTTAGGGATGAGACTTTTTAGAGGGAGAATTTTGAGGAGATGAGAAGATGGCCTGAAGCCAGCCAGAATTTTCATACAAAGTTTGGAATCAGTTTGTTGATTTCTACAAAAAACCCTGCTGGGATTTTGGTAGGGATTGCACGGACTCTACTGAACAATTAAGGAAGAATAGACTTCTTAACCATGTAGAGTCTTCTAATCCATGAACATGATGTATTTCTTTGTTTAGGTCTTTGTTTTTGTTGTTGTAGTTGTTGTTCTCTTCCAAATTTTTATTTAAATTCAAGTTAGTTAATACATAGTGTTAGTATTGATTTCAAAAGTAGAATTTAGTGGTGTATCACTTATATACAACACCCAGTGCTCATTGTAATAGGTCTTTTTTGATATAAAGAAGTCAATGTTTTATGATTATCAGCATACAGGATTTGTATATTTTTATTAGATTTATATAGCAATAGTTTATATATTGTATAATGTTAAAATTTTCAACTTCTGTATGGTTCATTACTATCATACAGAAGTACAACTGATTTTAGTGTATTAATCTTGTGTCCTGGGACCTTGCTAAAATCACTTATTAGATCTAGGAGTTCTTTTTTAGCTTCTGTGGGGTTTTGTCTTTAGGCAGTCCTGTATCTGTGTTTTTTCCATTCATTTCTGAGCTGTGTGACTTTTATTTTTTTCTGCTGTATCCTATTGACGAAGAGCTTCAGTATGATTTTTTCAAATGGTGAAACGTACATGACATAAAATTTACCGTCTTAACCATTGTTAAGTGTACAGTTCAGTGGCGTTACGTATTATATCCACATTGTTGTGCAACCATCACCTTCCATTTCCAACACTTTTCTCATCTTCCCAAACTGAAACTCACTCCTGCAGCCCTTGGCAACCATTCTGCTTTCTGTATCTGTCAGTTTGACCACCCTGGCCGCCTTGTGTAAGTGAAATCATACAGTGTTTGTCCTCTTGTCAATGGCCCATTTCACTCGTGTCTTCAAGGTTCATCCATGTCGTAGTGTGTCTCACAACTTACTTCCTTTTTAAGGCTGAGTAATATTCTACTGTGTGTATATACTACATTTTGTTTATTCATCTGTCATTGAGCATTTGAGTGGTTTCTACCTTTTGGCTGTTGTGAATAATGCTGTTATGAACATGAGCGTACAAATAGCTCTTTGAGTCCTTGATTTTTGGGGGGAGGGTGGCACAAAGGTGATTTTATTAAAGCACAGGGACAGAACAGGACCCTTGGGTAGGAAGAGCTGCCTGAGTCCTTTGTTTCAATTCTTTTGTGTATTTATCCAGAAGTAGAATTACTGCATTATATGGTAACTCCGTGTTTAATTTATTGAGGAACCACAAAACTTTTCCTCAAGGGCTGCATCGTTTTACAGATCCACAATCATAAGCGTTCCCAGTGTCTCCACACTCTTACTACCAACACTTGTTCTTTTTCTTGTTTTGATAGTAGTCCTCCTAATGTGAATGCGTATGAAGTGGTGTCTCGTTGTGATTTTGATTTGCATTTCTCTAATGACTCTTCTCTAATGACTTTAACATGTACTTATTGGCCGTTTGCACATCATCTTTGGAGAAGTATCTATTCCTGTCTTCTGTCCAGTTTTTATTCTATGTATCTGTGTGTCTATTTATTTATATGTTTTTGAGTGAGTGAAAGAGAGAGAGAGAGAGAGAAAGGGCGTGAGTGAGCAAGGGGCAGAGACCGAAAATCCCACAAGGGGCAGAGAGTGGGATGGAGGGAGGGAGAGGGTGAGGGGCAGAGAGAGAATTCCACATGGGCTCCGCACTGTCAGTGCTGGGCTTAAGCTCACCTGACGTGGGGTTTGACCTCAGGAACGGTGAGATCTTGACCTGGGCCAAAGTTGGATGCTTAACCCACTGAGCCACCCAGGTGCCTCCTTTGTCCAGTTTTTAATCAGCTTGTTATCTTGTTGTTGAAATGTAGGAATTCTTTACATATTCTGGATGTTAACCCCTGATTGTCAGATATATGGTTTGCAACTATTTTCTCCCATTCCATGGATTGCTTTAACACTGACAATAGTGTTCTTTGGTATACAAACGTTAAGTCAACCTTGCATTCTTGGGACATACCCTCCTAGGGCATGATGTATTATTCTTTTTACGTATTACTAGACTGAATTTGAAGGTTATTTTTGGAAGGTGATTTTTAACTATGAATTCAATATCTTTAACAGATATGGGAATATTTAGTTTATTTCTTTTTTAGTTAGCTTTAATAACTTGTGTAAGAATTTGTACACTTTATCTAAGTTGTTTAATGCAGGAGCGTAAAGTTGTTCTTAAACATTATTACCTTGTTTTCCTTTTAATGTATGTAGGCTTGATTTGGGATTGCCTCTTTCATTATTGATTTCTGGTATTATTCTTCCCTTATGTTAATTTTGGGTTTAATTTGTTCTCTAGTTTCTTAACGTAGAAGCTTACATCATTGGTTTGAGAGCTTCTTTCCTAATAGGTGTATTTAATATAATAAATTTTTCTCTAAACACTGCTTTGTCACATCTCACACATTTTGGCATTGTTACATTTTCATTTTTCTTCAGTTCAAGATTTGTTTTTCTTGAAAGTTCTTCTTTGACCTGTGGATTATTTAGAAGTGTGTTATTTAATTTCCAATTGTTTGGGGGTACTTTCCTATTTTTTATTTCATTTTCCCTTTTATGGTTTTTAGTCTAATTACATTATTGTCAGAGAACATACTTCTTATAACATATTTATAATTATTATGACTTCTTTTATGGCCCAAGATAAAGTCTAATTTGATGAATGCTCCATATGCATTTGAAAAGAATGTCTATCTGCTGTTATGGTGATTCGTTCTGTAAATGACAACTAGAGTCAGTTGGTTGATGGTGTTCAATCCTGTAACAGACTGGTGTGAGAGCTTGAGTGACAAGTGAGGAAACGGATTAGCAAAACGACACTTTTCCAAAGCTTTGGTTGTGAGGTGAAGGGAAAGAGGGGTCCTGCTAGAGAGGAGAGTGACTAGAGTATACCTAAATGTAATCGGAAGGATTTCATGCAGAGAGAGTGTGTGAATACACAGGAAAATGGGCTATGTTTTCCGAGAATAAGGGTTTCCAAAGGAAGAGCTCTGGGATTGTCCCAAGGAAGAGGGCAGGTTTTCTAATGAGGTAGGAAGGAAGAAACGTTAAAACCTTTCGTGGCTTTCCTGTAAAACTGGCAAGAAACGTCGACTCCCCCTTTGCTCGGCCTTGCAAGCGCGGGGTAGCTCTGCCTGCCTCTCTGACCGTAACCAAAAGCCTGCCCCCGTCCTTCTGATCTCTTTGTTCTGGCTGCAGTGGTCATTCAGATTCTCTAACCCAGTGGTCTCCAGACACTTTTTAAAAAACAGACTGCATTTTTTTAGCGCCATTTCAGATTCATCGCAAAATTGAGCAGGAAGTACAGAGTCCGCGCGAGCCCTCACACACACCACAGGCACGGCTTCTGCTCTTGTCAACTTCCTGCATCAGAGTGGCACATTTGTTTCGGTCCACGCACCCACACTGACACCTCCTGTCACCTGGCATTCACACTTGACATTGGGATCACTCCTGGTGCCGTCCGTTCAATAGATTGTGACAAATGTGTAATGAGGTATTTACCATTATAGTGTCACATAGAATAGTTTCACTGCCGTAGAAATCCTCCGTGCTCTATCAGTTCATCCTTCCCTTCCCACTGATCCCCAGCAACCAGTGATCTTTTTACAGTCTCTCTAGGTTTGCCTTTTCCAGAATGTGATGTAATTGGTATCATGTGGTCATAGTACATAGTCTTGTCACACTGGCTTATTTCATTTAGTAATATGCATTTAAGTTTCCTCCGTGCCACCTCGTGGCTTGATAGCTTACTTCTTTTTAGCGCTGAATAATATTCCATTGGCTGCATGTGCCACACTGTAATTTTCCATTCATTTACTGAAGGACACCTTGATTGCTTCCAGGCTTTGACAGTTATGAATAAAGCTGCCATAAACATCTGTGTGCAGATAGGTTTCCAGCTCATTTCACTAAATACCGAGACGTATGATTGCCGGATCATATGGTAAAACTTTGTTTAGTTTTATAAGAAGCTGCCAAAGCTCTCTTCCCAAATGGCCGTTATTGATTTCTACATCAGTAGAGCTTAATTTTTTATTTGTAATTACTTTTAATTTAAAAAATAAGAGTTCTAGTATTTCCTTCTGACACTGCTATGGATCATCTCTCACTGTTTCGAGAGTGCAAGCCCTTTCTTGCCTCATGACGTGTCCTCCTCTTGTTAGAGGCTACCCTTTGTATGGCTGGTTTCTTCTCATCCTGCAGGTCTCAACTTTTTTTTTTTTTTTTAATTTTTTTTTTTTTCAACGTTTATTTATTTATGGGACAGAGAGAGACAGAGCATGAACGGGCGAGGGGCAGAGAGAGAGGGAGACACAGAATCGGAAACAGGCTCCAGGCTCCGAGCCGTCAGCCCAGAGCCCGACACCGGGCTCGAACTCACGGACCGCGAGATCGTGACCTGGCTGAAGTCGGACGCTTAACCGACTGCGCCACCCAGGCGCCCCAGTGCAGGTCTCAACTTAATGCCACTGCTGTGTTCTGGTCTCCCCTTCTAAATTTGTTCCTGTCTTTTTATATTCTACCATAGTACCCTGTTTCCTCAGGATTCTCGCAGAGTCGTGACACCGAGGCTTTTTTCTTTAATTTTTTCTAACGTTTATTTATTTTTGAGAGAGAGAGAGAGAGAGAGAGCGCGCGCGCGCGTGGGGGAGGGGGAGACAGGGAGACACAGAATCAGAAGCGGCTCCACCCAGAGTCAGATGCTCAACCCAGGTGCCCCAAACACGGAAGCTTTTTATCCAGGAAGGAACTTTATTTGTGCCAGCACCACTCAGTTGGGTTCCTACCCAAAGAACTGAGCACTCAACGTCACATGGCATAGTTTTGTTTTAATTTTTTTTTTTAACGTTTTATTTTTGAGACAGAGAGAGACAGAGCATGAACAGGGGAGGGTCAGAGAGAGGGAGACACAGAATCCAAAGCAGTCCAGGCTCTGAGCTCTCAGCACAGAGCCTGATGTGGAGCTCAAACTCGCGGACCGCGAGATCATGACCTGAGCCGAAGTCGGATGCTTAACTGGCTGAGCCACCCAGGCGCCCCTCATGGCATAGTTTTTTAAAATACATTTTCTATTTCTTTGTCTCCCCATATATGGTAGGTAACACATTAACATGTAGTCTGATTAAGTAGTCTCAGTTTACAAGGTCATGAGGGATGTTGTCACGCAGGCGGATAGCCAGGTTACCTTGAAGTTTTCTCTCCCTTTTTTTCTCCCCTTAGGGAGGGGACCCTACCACAATAGTACTTTTGTGAAAATAAATAACACACTTCTGAATTCATGGGTCAAAAGAAAAGTCTTCAAGGACATCAAAGTATACTTAGAACTGGATGAAAATGAAAAAAAAATACAAGATGTCAAAATTTGTAGAATGCAGCTAAAGTTATATGGAAAGGGCAATTTTTATAGCATCAACTGCCCATACTAGGAAGGAGGAAAAGTCTCACATCAGTAACCTTAGCTTCCACCTCAAGAAACGAGAAAAGCAAAACCAAACTCTTTGAAGCAAGTGGAAGTAAAGAAATCACTGGAATTGAAAACAGAAAAACAAGAGAGAACAATTAATTAAATAAAAAGCTGATTCTTTGACAACGTCAAGAAAATCTAGAACCGCTAGCAGGAGTGACTTACACACAAAAGAAGACACAGATTGCTGATATGAGAAAGGAAATAGATACAGTTGCATGTTTTGCAGCTATTAAAAGAGTATTGACATACTATGGACAACTCTATGCATTTAAATGCAGCAGTTCCTTTATGGATTCCTTCTTTTTTTTTTTTAATGTTTATTTTTGAGAGAGACCGAGCATGAGTGGGGGAAGGGCAGAGAGAGACGGGGAGACACAGAATCTGAAGCAGGCTCCAGGCTCCCAGCTGTCAGTGCAGAGCCTGATGCAGGGCTCAAACTCAGGAACCTTGAGATCATGACCTGAGCTGAAGTCAGACGCTTAACCGACTGAGCCACCCAGATAACTCTGGACCAGTTCCTTTAAACCACACCCTATCAGAACTTACCCACTGTGAAATAGATACTCTGAATAGTTATGAATCGATAATTTAAAACCATTCATAAAAGACACTGGGAACAAGGCAAGGATGTGTGCCCTCCCCACTCCTGTTGAGCCTTGCACTAGAGGTTCTAGACAGGGCAGTTAGGCCAGGAAAGGAAATAAAAGGCGTACAGATTAGAAAGGACTAAAGAAAACTGTTCCAGTTTGCAGATAGCATGAGTGTCTATGTATAAAGTCCTAAGGAATCTACATTTAATTTAAAACTTTTAACTCCAGAAGTCCTTTTAAATATCATGTTCCTTTACTATTCATTCTTTGAGCTTTTCTGTCAGTGTTGAAAAGTGAAGGAAGTGAATCCACCTGGAGGCATGTCCTACAGCCTTTTTTTGAAGAAGTTGGACTCTTTGCTTCTGAGACTTCTGTTGACGGCTTATACTGGTTTTTTTTTAACCGCTTGCTAGGATAGTATGTGGGATTCTATGAGAATTGGGATCAACTTCCCTGATCTAACATAAATGCCTTAGAACTTGAGCTTTAATCCAAGACAGTTGGCTTTCTCATTTCACCTCTCTGCACCTACCAACTAATAAGAGTAAGGTAACCACTCCTGTGTTCTCTTCTCCACGTTTGTGTGTGTTAACTCACAGTTTTACCATTTAGGTGTTGTATGTCATGATGAAACTTGGAGAAGCACTGATGAAGAGTTGCATAAATTGATGTCAGATACGATAGGAATCATTTGAACAATCATTTTCTTTAGTATCATGTTTGAGGTATTTTTATTGTCCTTATTCTTTTGTATTTGATAACTGATTGTAAACTATTTTTGCGGAATTATGTGATATTATACAGTTGAAAAGGTAGATACCCATGGTGTTAGTCTTACTTTACCAGCCAAGGACTTTGTGTTTTCCTCTTTATGGGAAGAAAATCTTGCATTAGCAACTTTGGTTTTCATTGTTTTGGGAGATGATTCTCAGTGCATTTCAATGTTTCTGTGTGTCTTATGAGCAGACACTGGCTGCTTTATTCCTGGCTTTTTTTTTTTTTTTAATGTTTATTTACTTTTTGAGACAGAGAGACAGAGCATGCGTGCGAGACAGGCAGAAAGAAAGAGGGAGACCCAGAATCCAAAGCAGGTTCCAGGCTCTGAGCTGTCATTACAGAGCCCCACGCAGGGCTCGAACTCATGAGCCGTGAGATCATGACCTGAGCTGAAGTTGGACGCTCAACCGACTGAGCCCCCCAGGTGCCCCGTCCTGACCTTTTTTTAAGTACGTGTGTATAGCAGACCTTGGAAGCCAGAGATGATGGCTTCCTCCGAGCAAAGGACAGGCTTGCTTGCTGCCTATTTGTTACAGGTGGCTTGAGATTTCTCTTCTATAATGTAGCTCACTTTTGTATCATGTCCCTTGTCCCTCTTCAGGTTACCTTCAGGGCTGAGGAATTGATGTGAGAAGGAAGGTCCTGTGGCTGTTGTCATGGCTGTGAGAAATAAACTGTCATTTTTCTCGGATCAAGAATATCTTGTCTTCTGCCAACACCTAGGAAACTGGCATTCTGATTCCTTAGGTTTCAAGTAGAATAAAATTTTATCCCCTTGACATGGTTTTTGATGCTCTTGATATATTTTACATGTGTTATTAATCAACCGGCTTTAAAACAAAATAGTAGATTCGGTGTGCCCTGTGTCACATGCTCTGTTAGACCTACATGGAAGGACGTAGATATTGAAGAGGTGCCACAGCTTGTCTGAGGGCCGGCTGCACATGGTCTGCGGCCTTAGGTTGTTCCTCTCGAAGGCAGTTTACATAACATAACATTAAATACCGATTGAACACTTTTACTGTTTTGAGTGTAAATTAGTGTAATTTTTAATCTTTTTGTCTGTATGGGACTATTGAAATTTAAATTGTAACAGGACCTTTAAGTTAAATGCTTTGATAATTTTCTTTTTGATAACATAACTAAAATGGTTTTTTTTTGTTTGTTTTTTAAGAGTTGTTCTCTGTGTACTTCAATCTGTACCTTAAACCTGCACAAGACATTAATAGAGTTTTAGTGGCTAGAATAATTCATGCTGTGGCCAGAGGGTGCTGTTCGCAAACTGATGGATTGAATTCCAAATTGTTGGATTTCTTTTCCAAAGCTATTCATCATGCAAGGTAATCTAGTCTCGTTTTGTTCTGCATTGGAAATCTATTTGATCTTTTTGCAAGTATATCTTTTATTTTCAGTGCGTGTGTGTGTGTGTGTGTGTGTGTTTTAATGTGTATTTATTTTGAGAGAGAGTGCAAGAGGGGAGGGACAGAGACAGAAAACCTTAAGCAGGTGCCATGCTATCAACCCAGAGCCCGACGTGGGGCTCAGACTCATGAACTGTGAGATCATGACCTGAGCTGAAATCGAGAGTCAAACGTTTAACTGGCTGAGCCACCCAGGTGCTCTGCACGTCTGTCTTTTAGATCTAGCATCTGAAAATGTTACCAATTAAAAAAACAAAAATAAAAACATCGGCCCATTGTAGTAGAATTAGTAGATTCCTAAAGAAAGTAGCACTCCAGCTATTCTTGAATATCCAAAGGCAGAACATGAAAATGATGTTTTTAAGTGGGAGATCAGTGCTGCTTTATTAAAAAAGATAAATATCCTCTTAAGTAGTTTGATTTTCCCCATTTTTGAGAATAGATGTACTAAGAAAAAATGAACTAGTGTATTTTGGAAGTATCAATATCTTACATTTGTGCTGCATTAGTCTATAACATGAAACATTGTATACATGGTGTTTGAGCAGCAGAGAGAGCTGGTGTCCTAGCACCAGATAATGTTGTTGCTGCCTGTAGTCCCACTAGGATTTGTTTCCTGAATAGTTCTGAAACTAAGGCTATTGTTATTTGAAGATTAGATGCTTTTTTCTTTCCAGCGTGCAACTTCATAACTGTCTTCAGTGTTCATTGTCTTCCCTGTTAAGCGGAGTGTGTTTATTTCTGTGACAGACAAGAGAAGAGCTCTGCAGGTCTAAACCACATCTTAGCAGCGTTTGTTATCTTCCTCAAGACGTTGGCTGTTAACTTTCGAATTTGCGTGTGTCAGTTAGGAGATGAAGTTCTTCCTACCTTGCTTTATATTTGGACTCAACACAGACTTAATGATTGCTTAAAAGAAGTGATTATTGAATTATTTCAGCTGCAAATTTATATCCGTCATCCAAAGGGAGCTAAAACCCAAGAGAAAGGTAATAAAAGGCAGTTTTTGCTGTTTTGAATTTACTTCCTCATCGAAATGTAGGGGCTTAAGTATGAAAATTGTATTTTGTAGGAGGTTATGACCTTCTTATGGATTACTGTGCTTGATAATGGTATTAGTCACAGGGATATTTCTCACACTTTTTTTAGAATTTGAAGTTGTGGTAGCAAGTCATATTGTGCCGTTTGTTTAGTACATTGCTAAGCATCACGAGGAAACACAAATACGACGCGATGTCCCCTCTGGGAGCTGATGATGCAGCAGTTAGGTGCTAAAAGGTATTTCTCATACTGTAGCGTAAAAGAGTCCAGAGAAGGCAGGGTCTTGTTTATTTACATGTGGCTTTTATTAGGAGGTAGGAAAGATAAATATGGACCCAAAGCAGTCAGATTAGTCAGTTCCTCAGGGAGATGTGTACATACTGCTTTAAACCTCATACTTGATCCAGACCCCTGTTTGCTGGGAATACCAGAAATGAATGATTTCTCCTCTTTGATACCTTTACCTTCGTTTTTCATCAAGAGAGTATTGCTGGTTAATACATATCACATATTTGAAAGCAGCTAGGATAGTAGATCTTAAAAGTTCTCATCACAAGGAAGAAGCTTTTTTTTTTTTTTTTTTTTTTTTGTTGTTATGTAAGGTATGTTCACTAGACTTACTGTGGTCATTTCACAAGGTTATACAAATACTGAATAATTACACTGTACACATGAAACTAACGTTGCATGTCAATTATACCTTCATAGAAAGAGTACTGCTGAGATGGTTTCACTTCATTCAGTAGAAGGGAACTTTATTGGGCGGAACAGGAGCTGAACGAGTTCCCCCATGCCCAGGCTGTGTTTACTTTTGGATGAATTCATCATGGCAAGCGTAATGACTGTGTTAGGAAATCATGCTACACTGAGTAATAGCAGCTAAAATGGAGGAAAACAGTTATAGCCAATTTTTTTCAAAAGTAGCAATGTTTAATAGGCTCTTCTAGTATGTGTAATTAGAGTATTTGTGGCCCGAGAAACTACTGAAGTCAAAGAATGGCAGATTCTCTTAGTTTGTCATCTTTCACACAGCTTTCACCAGGATGAAGATCAGGCTTAATTTATGGGATGGCATGATATGTTTAGGGTTTTAGTTAATGGTATATTTAGGATGAAAATTGACAGGATGGTGAGTTTGCCAGAAACACTAATGTAGTGTTCGACTGCGTTAATAGATTTTATGGTTCTTTGTGGGGAGTAACAGCTCCTTTGTTACCCATCTGGTCAGATGACAGTGGGAGTATTCTGTCTACCAGATTTTGGACAGTCACCATTTGAAGAGAGATATAGTAGACTGGAGTGTGTTTAGGGAAAGGTGACCAGAATAATGAGAAGTCTGGGTAACATGTCATTTGTACACCAGTTAAAGGAACTGGTAACATTTTTCTCTAAATGATGTAGTGAGAACTTGGTCCTCATGTAAATGACAGAGCATGTTAATTACATTTGCCGCAGGGGAGAGACACAGTTAAAGTTCTATTGAGATTTTCATTGAGTTGATCAGAGAAAAATCAGACTATTGAAGAATTTTATAGGAAACACAGGTAAGCTGAGCATGAAGCGGGTACTTACAAAGTAGAGTTTGCCAAGGATATTGTCCCAAGAGGCGTTAGTACTGAGTGGGCAGTTGGCCCAGTTTCCGCCTCAGTAGCTGAATAGTTTTGTGGGAGGTGGTGGGGCAAATGGAGTGTGTATGTAGATTATATTCTCTTTTTTTGAATTACAGGTGCTTATGAATCAAATAAATGGAAAAGTATCTTATACAACTTATATGATCTGCTGATTAATGAGATAAGTCATATAGGAAGCAGAGGGAAATACTCTTCAGGATCCCGTAATGTTGCTGTCAAGGAAAACTTGATTGACCTGATGGCAGATATTTGTCACCAGGTACAGTTGGTTGAAATTTTCCATTAATTTCCTTTTATTTGGTGGGTTTTTTTTTTTTTTTTAGAGATAGAGAGAGGATCTTAAGCAGGCTCCAGCGTGGAGCCTGATGCGGGTCTCCATCTCACGACTTGTGAGGTCTTGACCTGAGCCAAAATCTAGTTGGATGCTTAACCAATTGAACCACCCAGGTGCCCTTTACTGGACTTTTCAAATGTGCGTTCTGATAGGAAACCTTGTCAAATTATTTTGTATATGCAGCTTTTCTGTTCAAAATACTGTAAATATTTGGAATTAATCTTCTGACTTAAAAAATAACTATTTTGCACATATGAACTTAGCGAAAACTAGTGATGAACTCTTCATTCCTAAAAGGTTGTCTTAGAAAATCAGATTATGGGGGCGCCTGGGTGGCATAGTCAGTTAAGCGTCCGACTTCAGCCAGGTCACGATCTCGCGGTCCGTGGGTTCGACCCCCGTGTCAGGCTCTGGGCTGATGGCTCAGAGCCTGGAGCCTGTTTCCGATTCTGTGTGTCTCCCTCTCTCTCTGCCCCTCCCCCGTTCATGCTCTGTCTCTCTCTGTCCCAAAAATAAATAAACATTGAAAAAAAAAAGAAAATCAGATTATGTTTCTTGTTTAAAATTTTTTTTTTCTACTGAGTTAGAAATCACATAGCATACAAGTACACAATTGAGTGGTTTTCAGTATTTTCACTATATTGTGCAAGCATCACCACTGTGTGATTCCAGAATATTTCCACTACTCCCCAAACAGACTCTGTACCTGTTAGCAGTCAGTCCCAGTGCCCAGCTTTTTTCAGTTTTTAGCAGCTAACCACTAAGCTCCTTTCTGTCTCTAAAGATTTGCTATTTTGGACATTTCATGTAAATGAAATAGAAACACAACTGTAAACTACGTGGAAACAACTTGTAGTCTTTCGTCCATGTTGTGCTAGGAACTAGTGGTTCATTCCTTTTTATTGCCTGATAATGTTTAGCAGTGTGGGTATTTTACATTTTGTTTGCCCGTTCATCAGTTGATGGCAGTTTTTTTTTTTTTAATGTTTTTATTTTATGTTTGAGAGAGAGAGAGAGGGACTGAGTGTGAGTGGGGGAGGGGCAGAGAGAGAGACACAGAATCTGAAGCAGGCTCTAGGCCCTGAGCTGTCAGCACACAGCCCGACGTGGGGCTCGAACCCACAAACTGCGAGATCATGACCTGAGCCAAAGTCGGATGCTTCACCGACTGAACCACCCAAGCGCCCCTATGGCTTAATGTTTCTTAAGTAAAACTTTTTCCCAGAAATTTGATTAACATCCTGGGTAATTTCATTTGTCAGATATTTTCTTAATGCTAAACTTAAAATACTTTTTTTTAATTAAAAAAGCTTTTTAAAATTTAATCCCATTGAAAATACAGATTTTTGCTTGGTAATATGTGCTTCCTGGAGAGCTGTTACAGTCCTGTAAAGTGTTTGTTTATTACTATGTTATCATACTTCTATATTTCCATAATTTATTACTTTTGCTCTATGACTTTCCTGTGTCTAATTTGAGGAGGAACATTTTTTCCGTCATGAACTATTAGAAAACAGGAACAGTGTGAAAAAACACAAAAAGTAAGTTGTCTTTTTGTTATTTTACAGGTTTTTAATGAAGATACCAGATCTTTGGAGATTTCTCAATCTTACGCTATCACACAAAGAGAACTTAATGATTACGGTGCAACTTGCAAAAAGAGGAAAATAGAATTAGGCTGGGACGTAATAAAAGATCATCTTCAGAAGTCACAGAATGATTTTGATCTTGTGCCTTGGTAAAATGTTCTCTTTTTCAGTGTCATCCTGGTCTCATTTAGTTTTTCTTTTAAAAAAAATTTTTTTTTTTTTAACGTTTATTTATTTTTGAGACAGAGAGAGAGACAGAGCATGAACGGGGGAGGGGCAGAGAGAGAGGGAGACACAGAATCGGAAACAGGCTCCAGGCTCTGAGCCATCAGCCCAGAGCCCGACGCGGGGCTCGAACTCACGGACCGCGAGATCGTGACCTGGCTGAAGTCGGCCGCTTAACCGACTGCGCCACCCAGGCGCCCCTCATTTAGTTTTTCTTACGAGACCTCTACTACAACAGCCTGGCCATAACTAGGTCATCTGTCCACTCCTAAACCAGTCATTGGCGGAGGGGAAGGTGGTTGCTGGGACGTGTTGAGGTCCACCACCGTGGCTCATGTGCTGGAGCTGGGGCCACAGCCTTAGCAAAGGAGATGGGGGGACAGCAGCCTGGGAGACAGTCATGTGTGGCTCGTGGAATTTCCTGAGTTGCGCATCTCAACGTAGACATTTTAGCAGGTGCAGCACCTGCTAGTAAAAGTAGCTTGGGAAGAAATTAAAGATGGCATTCAGAAATCACAGAATAATTTGGACCTCTTGCCACAATGAAAGGTTGTCTTTTTAAAATTTTGCTGGGTACAGCATACACAGTTACTTAAATGATTAAATTGTTGACCTCTGTGATAACATAAAATATTAGGTTTGGTAGGAGTCTTTAGAATTCATCCAGTCCAGCCTGTTCGTTTTATCAAACTGAGGAAGGTTCCGCAGCTTGAACAAGGACACTTAGAAATTTGTAGGTGACAGTCAAGCTTCTGTGATCCCTGCCTCCGTTTTCCCCATGTTGATGTAATAGTTAAATATAATTGCGTTGTGGGGGAAAGCGTCTTGATTTAGCTACCTAGTGTTTGAGCTCATGTTTATTTTATATAGTGGAGGATCCCTATTTCAGATTCTTCAATTTGTTCATTTCCTGCAGGGTTATTTATTGAATACTTGCTTTGTGCCAAGCATTATAGATGCAAGGATGAATAAGATAAAGTTCTTCTTCTTGAGCAGTATGCATTCTAAGAATTCACAGCAAATATTTTTTGACTTAACCAACATCTAGGAAGAATAGTTGTTTGGCTTTTTTGTTCTTGTTTTAGAGGAATATTCTTCGTGGCCAGAGAGTAAGGATGGGTGTGATAATTCAGAAGTAGAAAATTGGGTTATTTAGGGGCATCTAGGTGGCTCAGTCAGTTAAGCATCTCACTCTTGATTTCGGCTCAGGTCATGATCTTACGATTCGTGAGATTGAGCCCCACATCAGGCTCTGCACTGACAGTATGGAGCCTGCTTGGGATTCTCTCTCTCTCTTTCTCTCTGCCCCTCCCCTGCTTGCTCTCTTGCTCAAAATAAATAAATTTTATTAAAAAAAAAATTGGAGCATCTGGGTGGCTCCATCAGTTGGGCTTTCAACTTTGGCTCAGGTCATGATCTCATGGTCCGTGGGGTTCGAGCCTCACTTCGGGCTTTGCTCTGACAGCATGGAGCCTACTTTGGATTCTCTGACACCCTCTCTCTCTGCCCCTCTGCCACTTGGGTGCCCTCTCTCTCTCTCTCTCTCTCTTTCAAAAATAAACATTAAAAAATTAACAAAAAAATAAATAAAATTGATAATTTACTTTTTATTTATTTTTAAGTAGGCTTCAATGTGGGGCTCATACTCCCAGCCCTGAGATCAAGAGTTGCATGCTCTACCTACGGAGCCAGTCAGGTGCACTTACCTTTAGTTACTCCTCAGAATTTTTGTGTAAGGGAAATACGACAGCTCCCCTACCTGGCCAAAAAGTTGTCATTCTTCCTGCCACTTTAGGAAGTAGGGCTTAATAAATACTAAGAGCCTTTTATTTGGAGAGTAGTATGGAAAGTAATGATGGTGATTCTTTAGGATATTGTAAAGGTGCTATGTGTGTAGATTTGTTTTCTGTTAGCTTGTTAATAGACTTGAATCATTTTCAAATTAATTACACTTTTTTCTTTTAGGTTACAGATTGCAACCCAATTAATATCAAAATATCCTTCAAGTTTACCTAACTATGAGTTGTCACCATTACTGATGATACTGTACCAGCTTCTGCCTCAGCAGCGACATGGGGAGCGCACGCCGTATGTGTTACGGTGCCTTGTGGAGCTTGCATCGTGTCAAGGCAAGAAATCAGACCTGGAAAGCTCACAGAAATCAGATTTATTGAAACTCTGGACTAAAATTTGGTGTATTACTTTTCGCGGTATAAGTTCTGAACGAATACAAGCTGAAAACTTTGGCTTACTTGGAGCTATAATTCAAGGTGGTTTAATTGAGGTTGATAGAGAATTCTGGAAGTTATTTACTGGGTCAGCCTGCAGACCTTCATGGTAGGTTGACTTATGTATTGTATTAGATTTTTATATATACATATACTTTTTTTTTTCCCTCTGGTTTTTGTAGTTTTTCACTTCAGTTAAAAATATGTTAAATTCTGGAGGTGTCTGGGTGGCTCAGTCGGTTGGGCATCTGACTTCGGCTCAGGTCATGATCTCCCTGTTCCCGAGTTCGAGCCTGGTTTCAGGCTCTGTGCTGACAGTTCGGAGCCTGGAGCCTGCTTCAGACTCTGTGTCTCCCCGCTCTCTACTCCTCTCCCACTCATGCTGTGTCTGTGTCTCTCAAAAATAAACGTTTAAAAAAAAAAAACCAAAGAGATTCAAATTGTTCTTGAGGGAAAGAATGTGGACAGGAGATGGTAACTTAAAATTGGTGCATTGCTGCTTTTCCTGCAAGAATATATAGGTAGCATTTATAGTCTCCTCTTGCAATGCTTTTCTCCCATTCTTGACTCTCCTATTCTGTCACTCAAGGGTGGGGAACGCTTTGTCATTCTTTCATCACATGTAATCTAATTTTGGTTATTCTCATGATAGCACTTACTGCAGAAAGAAAACTATTAGGGCTGGGCCTGGGGCGGTGGTGGGGGGAAAGCTTATTTTTAACAACAGCGCCCTCTGTTTTGTTGTAGTCCTGCAGTGTGCTGCTTGACTTTGGCCCTGACCACCTGCGTTGTTCCAGAAACAGTAAAGACAGGAGTGGAGCAGAACACATGTGAAGTAAATAGAAGTTTTTCGTTAAAGGAATTGATAATGAAATGGCTCTTATTCTATCAGTTAGAGGATGACTTTGAAGACAGTACCGAGCCGCCCCCAGTTCTTCACAGGTGATTTGAATTCCTTAGCATTCAGCTGCTTTTTGTATGGGGAGGTACCGGAGGCTTGTGCTTGTTTGATAATCGATGGCTTGTCGCACAGTGGTAATGTGGGGTTTCTTAGACCTTACCCCAAATATTAAACAGTCCCTCTGTTTTTCCAGTGTTCTGTGTCTTTGTGCTTGGATGTCTTCATGTCCTTTTACTTTGTTTTTATCTCTGCTGAGACAGTGAGAACACAGGGGGATGTGCCTGTATAATACGAATTATAATTCTTTGAGCACTTCCGTGTTCCTTTGTGATTTTCTGTGAGTAGGTTCATCTGCATGTACGTCTGATGCAGACGTATCCCGGAATCAGAATGGGAGTATCTTGTGCGTGACAGGTATTAAATTAATGAGGGGGAGGAAACTGGAGACAGTCAGAATGGGGCTTAAGCCCCAGAATTGGAGCAGCTTGACCCTGTAACCTTTCCACAGCTGGTGGTCGGGACTGAAGGAGTAGAGGATGGGATTTTGTGGGTCCTAGTGCTTCTGTTTTAATTTCACAATCTGTTTCAGATACAGTTTTTAAAAATTAGATGAGTCTGCTGCCAGGAAGTGTTGAAAATTATAGTAACATCAAATAAACGTATGCTTCTTAATTCTTGTTTTAGATGTTAAAAAATTCAGTAACGATGAAAGAAAGTGATGTCAAGATTTACAACCAAACATGGATATTTAAGTATAAACAATGCGTTCAATGGGTTTGGTCTTCTAAGTGAAGATTTTTTTAAATTTTCCTTTGTAGTAATTTTCCTCATCTTGCGCTGGAGAAAATTCTTGTGAGTCTCACCATGAAAAACTCTAAAGCTGCAATGAGTTTGTTCCAAAGAGTGCCAGAGTGGTATGTTATCCAATAGAGTTCTGTATTCGTTTAAGCTATGGCTGTTAATTACAAAGATAATAATTTTAGCAGGGTAGTAGCTACGTCTTAAAAGTTACGAACTAAGTTGATCAATTAAAGAAAATTCCATCTCTGAGCCAGGGAAAAAGCTGCTTTTAATTCAGTGATAGTGATCTGCGTTCTATAATTTTAGATCCTGTCGACTGGTTTTTAACGCCGTGTAGTAGAGCGTGGCAACACTTGCCAATGGAAGAAATAGAATAGTTATCATGGGTGGTTAAGACATGAGTTTTTTATTTTTTTATTTATTTATTTTTTCAACGTTTATTTATTTTTGGGACAGAGAGAGACAGAGCATGAACGGGCGATGGGCAGAGAGAGAGGGAGACACAGAATTGGAAACAGGCTCCAGGCTCTGAGCCGTCAGCCCAGAGCCCGACGTGGGGCTCAAACTCACGGACCGTGAGATCGTGACCTGGCTGAAGTCGGACGCTTAACCGACTGCGCCACCCAGGCGCCCCAAGACATGAGTTTTTTAAAGATGTGACCCATTTTTGTATGCCATGTAAAATCTGTTCGTTTTAAAATTAATGTAATGGAGGATAGGTCAAAGTAAAAATAAGTCTAAAAACCTCATTTTAGTTGATTGACTCAAGAGGCCCCTGTTTATCACTGTGGCGGAAAATGACTCACTAGTATTAAGACTCCTGATCTCCCTTGAGAGGGCATAGCATGAAAAACTCCCTTCATTTTGGAGAAATCAAAGGGGAAAAAAGGAAAGTGTTTTCAGATAATGTTTATCTTAGTGTTTGTACCTGGTGCTATTAATGTTTTCTTTTTAATAAAGTTTTCTGACTTTGCCTTTGAAATTATAACCTCTGTGTCTTTCATCCATGTGTTAGTGGAATTTGCTATTGCAAAATGAAACCTGGTACATGAGCGTAGCCATTCCAAAGCCGAGAAGCCTTTAAAAAGACTAATCCGTTAATTGTGTAAGCAGTCTGTAAAGTAGATGCTAAGTTAAAGTTTTCATTTGTGATATATTGCTGCTGCGTGGAGGTGAAGCAGTTGGTCACTTGATTGTACATTTAAGGTCTTACTCTCTTGAAGTGAACAACACCACAAAGATGCAGAGGAGTCTTCGTTCTCAGAAATTGAAGAACTGTTTCTTCAGACGACTTTCGACAAGATGGATTTCTTAACCATTGTGAAGGAATGTCCCGTAGAAAAGCTCCAGTCCAGTGGAGGCATTTCTGTCCACCAGAACCTCAAAGAATCACTGGATCGCTATCTTCTGGGGTTATCAGAACAGCTTCTAAATAACTATTCCTTTGAGGTGAGATTTTCAGAAGAACTAAAGCCTACATCTGACTCAACTTTGGTGGACTGTTAGGAAGGAGAAGCAGGGAGAAGGGGCCCTGAGGATGGTGACATGCTTGATTAAAAAAAGCATAGTGACAGTACGTGCGTACAAATAGGGAAGACTTACCACAAGAGCAGAAAGACCCAAGAAGAATAATTTGTGTTATTTTTATACCAGGAATTCCAGTAGATGTTAAAGAAGTAGAATTCTTTGTGTGGGTTCGTGGGGAACAATAATGGTTTGGAGCATAGGGATTATATGATGAGAAAGAACCTCTCAACTGAGAGGAGGGAGAGGTTACAATAACAGACAGGAACATCATTTAAACTGATCTAAAAGATCTTGGTGACACTTGAAGAGGGAGAAGTGTTAATAAAATGTAATAAATGATCTAGCAATCACCCATAGTTTAGAGGTCACTAGTAATTTCTCATAAATCGTTTTCTTCACTGTCTTAAGATCACACATTCTCGGGGCGCCTGGGTGGCGCAGTCGGTTAAGCGTCTGACTTCAGCCAGGTCACGATCTTGCGGTCCGTGAGTTCGAGCCCCGCGTCGGGCTCTGGGCTGACGGCCCGGAGCCTGGAGCCTGTTTCCGATTCTGTGTCTCCCTCTCTCTCTGCCCCTCCCCCGTTCATGCTCTGTCTCTGTCTGTCCCCAAAATAGATAAACGTTGAAAAAAAAAAAAAGATCACACATTCTCATGGGGCGCCTGGGTGGCTCAGTTGGTTAAGTGTTCGTCTCTTGATTTTGGCTCAGGTCATGATCTCGTGGTGAGATTGAGCCCCGCGTTGGGTGTTGGGCTCCACGCTAGCAATGGAGCCTGCTTGAGATTCTCTCTCTCTCTCTCTCTCTCTCTTTCTCTCTTTCTCTCTCTCTGTCTCTCTCTCTCTTTCTCTCTCAAAGAAAAAAGATCACAAATTTTCTTTGTGTGTACCATTCTCTTGCCGAAACTCCCATTATTTTTGATGTGAAATAAATATCTTTCTACCTATTTTTGTGTGTTCAAAATCATCCACATGTCAAAATCCTGCTAAAGCCTTTTTTAGATAATCTCAGCCATAATAATTCATCTTTTGATTTTCACAGTACTTAGTATTTGTCAAAAAAATTTTTTTTAATGTTTTATTTTTGAGAGAGAGAGCGTGAGTGGGGGAAGAGAGAGAGGGAGACAGAATCCGAAGCAGGCTGCAGGCTCTGAGCTGTCAGCATAGAGCTTGATGTGGGGGCTTGAACTCAAGGACCAAGATATGATGACCTGAGCCAAAGTTGGATGCTCAACCGACTGAGCCACCCAGGCGCCCTAGTAATTCTTTTTAAAGTAACTCTTAGCTGGGGCACCTGGGTGGCTCAGTCATTTGGGTGTCCGACTTTGGCTCAGGTCATGATCTCGCGGTCTGTGAGTTCGAGCCCCGCGTCGGGCTCTGGGCTGATGGCTCGGAGCCTGGAGCCTGCTTCCGATTCTGTGTCTCCCTCTCTCTGGCCCTCCCCCGCTCACGCTTTGTCTCACTCTCTCTCTCAGAAATAAACATTTAAAAAAAAATAAATAAAGTAACTCTTAGTATATTCCTTGTCCCATGGATATTTGTGTGTATGTTTTATATGCAGATGTTTCAAGCCATGCTGTAAATCTCCTTAAAGGACATCTGTATTTTTGTTAATCTTTGGATCTTCCACAATGCCTTGTTATATTGTAAATGGTGAAATATTTGTTGAATAAAATAAAATCTGTAAGTTACTCAGAGGAGTGAATTCAATAGCCAGGGATAATGACCCACAGAGCCAGAGAAGAGATAGTGTGTCTGTTTCATATGTCTTATCCTTAGTTACTGACATTCTGCTAGATCACGCTTGTAACCATTTTCATGACAAACTAATACAGTCTTCTGTGTTTTCCCCTAAAATGCCATTTCCTACAATATAGGAACCGAGCAATCTGGAAATGTTATTTTTCTGTGTAGCCATTGCAGATTTGTAAATAATTGTGTAAATTTGGCTGAGTGATATCTACTTGCAAAATTTGTGCTAGTTTCTAGAGTCTAAAAAGCTGAGTAAATCGGGGTTCTTATCTTCCTGAAGCTCAAAATGTCATTTTAATATCTCTTTATATGAATCTGATTTCTGCTCCTATTCAAAGAGTTATAGACTTTTATTTGTGTATCATTTTTTTTCTTTCCACCGTACCTCAAATATTAAGGGCCTTTGTGTACAGTACATTGTGCTACTTTAAGAGGAGATAGATGCCTAACTTGGCCATTAGGAGATAGTTTTGTTTTTCCCAAGATTTCTACTTATCACAACTCCGCAGGGATCTCTTAGATGTTTTTAGAGATAATCAGAATTATGCCACTATTAAATCAGTTAAGTAGTTTCTTAATGTGTACCTAAGATTTGTTCCTACAAAAGATAACTGGTACTCAAAATTATTTGTGAAACGTGTATATTTTTTCTTTCTTGGTTCACTTGAAGTCTACAGATGCAGAAACGCTTATCCGATGTTCAAGTCTTGTGGTGGGTGTTCTTGGCTGCTATTGTTACATGGGTGTAATAGCTGAAGAGGAAGCATATAAATCAGAGTTGTTCCAGAAAGCCAAGGTATGAGAATTCATTCTGTTCACATTCTGGATAAATATGAGTGCAATGTATTCCTGGGGAAATTGGTATATTTGCTTGAGAAAACATAAAAACTTCTACATAGGGTAACCTTTTCTCTTTGGTTTATGCTGTCTGAGAGAAATGGAACTATCCATCCTTCCTTAAAACTTGATTTTAACCCAACTATACGTAGAGTAATTGAAATAGTATCACATTAACACTTAATCTTGGTAAAGAAAAATACTGACTTGTATGGGCACTTTTAAACGTTTTTTCTGTGATCAGTTATCCTAAAGAATCCTTGACTGAGTGTTAAGCAGGTTTGCTGGACACATGAAACTTACTTTCATCTCTGAGTCCTGTTCTGTCAGCGTGTGGTTTGTAAGGAGAACAGAGTATACGTTAAGTCATTAAAAACACTGTTAATTGTTACTATGACTTTCAGTTACTCTGGATAGCCAAGTATAACTTAAGAACACTGATTTTATTTCTTAAGTAGACTTTGAAGAGCAATCCCTAAACTGTCATTTTAACTAGAGTTTGGATTTTTTCTTCTTTTATCAATAGTCTCTCATGCAGTGTGCCGGAGAAAGTATCACTGTGTTTAAAAATAAGCCCCATGAAGAATCTAGGATTATCTCACTGAGAAATTTGATGCATCTCTGTACACGTTGCTTGTCTAACTGTACCAGGGTAAGGTGTTCTTACTTCACTGTGTGGTCACTCAGCGTGGTGGATAACTGGGTGCTGGTGGTACTGTTTTTTGGTCCATTTGTAATTTACAATTAAATGGAATGTAAATAAAGGTAGCATCCACAGGAATAAAGCAACAGGTAATCTGAGTTTCTCAGGAACGAATTTCATCATTTCAGGAAGGTTTCTGGGATTACCACTTTTATAGACAACTACAGAGGCAACTCTTTCATGGCCAGGGTATTTTCTTTCATTTAGTAAAAATTTGTTGACTGTGGCCATGTGAGGTGCATACCACTGTACCGGGGCTAGTGAGCACCATGAAGATAGAGAACTCCAGCACATGCCTTGTTCTCTTTTGCCCAGATAGTCTTGTAGAACCCTGGGCAGAAAGAGTGTTGCTCTGTGTCATCTTTGTTTTGATTTGGAACAGGCCTAAGTTGTACCTGAGCCAGGCCAGGGTGTCAGTCACAGTTGGAAAGCAAGTTTTTTGAAAGCTAATAATAACTACATGGCTACATAACAATATTACCAGCACATATTTTTGATTTTATAATGTGTTTTTCTTTTTTTTTTTTTAACTAAAAAAACGTGATGTGTTTTTCTGTGTTTTTCTGTAAATGGGGAAGGAGAGAAATGGAAGTATGAATTCAAACTTACAGTTATCACTTGTGTTTAGGGTCAGTAGTCGGTATTTTACTTTAATGTTTATACACAATATACTTAAATGTGCTGTAGTTATTACTCTAAGAAAAGAGGTTAGTGTTGTTGATGCAGTTCATATCTTGGCCCTGATAGTAAACTGATCATCCATGCTTCTCATGATAGAGAATTTCCAGCGTCAAAGAAAATCGGTATTTCATTTAAGATAGAGAAGATATTGTCTGCCAAGAATAAGTTTTTATTTTTTTGTTTGCTTGTGTTTTTGTCTTCATTACAGCCCAGTCCAAGTAAGATTGCATCTGGATTTTTCCTGAGATTGTTGACATCAAAGCTAATGAATGACATTGCAGATATTTGTAGAAGTTTAGTAAGTATGCGTGTTTTACCACCCTGTTTCATTGATTCTTTGATTCTTTTTTCGTTGATACCTCTCTTCGGTAGGTATTCATCTCACGATATATGCCACCTTATGTATTTTTAAATGTGGAAATTGAAGTTATTTGGTTTTGGAGGGGAATATATTCTTTGCTTCTTAATATCAGTACATACTGGTTGGCTTTTAGTTTTTCAGTAATTAGTAATAGACTGAATGATTGTAAAGTAATCATCCAGGCTTACACTTATTTCTATGTAACACTATACCAGAATTCAAAGTAATTGTTTATCTTTAAAAATAAAAACAAAAACTGTGTCAGACGAACAACACCTTCTCATCATGGCATTGACTTTTCTTCCATCCATACGAATGGGCTTTTGCTACATATATTCTTTAGTCTAGAACAGTGCCTGGCATGTACACTACTTACTCAAATGTATGTTGAATGAATAATATTCTGTAATTTGGTCATTTTTTTATGTTGCTACATGCTGCTGTTTTTTATTTATTTATTTTAATGTATATTTATTTTTGAGAGACAGAGACAGAGCACGAGCAGGGGAGGGGCAGAGAGAGAGAGAGGGAGACACAGAATCTGGAACAGGCTCCAGGCTCCAAGCTGTCAGCACAGAGCCGGACGCAGGGCTTGAACTCACGAACTGCAAGATCATGACCTGAGCCGAAATCAGATACCCAATTGACTGAGCCACCCAGGCGCTCCTACTTGTTTTTTTAAAGTAGCATTGTATCTCATTATATGGGAATGGTATATATGTATTTTTAGTCCATCTGACCTTACCATTAGATGTCGTTTCTATTTTGTTGTTGTCACAGAGAGTTTTGTGGTAAAGATTCTTGTATTTTTGTCTACTAGTATGTGTGTATATCATGAATGTAGAATAAATTCTAGCAGTGGAATTGTTTGTTTAAAAGGAATGCGAATTTTACTTTTTGATGGATATTGTCAATTTCCTCAAAAACAGTCCTACCAATTTATACTTTTCCCCATATGCTCATGACATTTGGGTGTTACAAAGCTTATTGTAAGAAATTATTTTTAAGGTTTGCGTATTATTGTTGTATATACATACTACAGTGTATCCATTTTTTATTGTTAGACATTTAATAGAAATAATACTGCAGCATTCATACATGTGAATGTTGAATTGTTTGATTAGGTGAATTTTAACTAAAACATGCTTCTGGAAGAAGCCAATTTAAACATCTTTGTTTTTCTTCTCTGAAGGCATCCTTCAGCAGAAAGCCGTTTGACTATGGAGAAGTGGAAGCAGTGGAAGATGATCCTGACGAAAGTCTGATGGAGGCGGAGGATCAGTCATCCATGAGTCTATTCAGTGATTACCCTGCCGGCAGTGTTAGTGATGCTAATGTATCTGGAGAGGGTCAAAGTACTATTGGTAAATACGCATTTACTGCTTGGGATTTCTTTTTCCCTTTGTATTGATTTGGCATTACGAAAGGCCTCAGAGATACCAATTTTTTGCCCATTTTATTTTCCCTTCTATAGTCTGCTGGGATTGGTTCCCTTCTGTGTACCTTAGATTTCTTTGATTTTGAATTGAATTTATTAGTTACCTGTGTTATTCTTCAAGTAAGGAATTTAAAATAGATTATTTGGAAAACAAAGCAGGAGAGTGAAAACACCCCTGGGGCCATCGCTTTTTGGAATCAGCATCAACCGTTCACATGTTTTTTTGTGCCTTCATTTCCTTTTAACAACTGTGAGCATTTTTTTTCATTAAACTTTATTGGTAATTATACTTAAAAAAAATTTTTTTTAATGTTTATTTTTGAGAGAGAGCAAGAGAGAGAGAGAGAGAGAGATTTAGAGCAGGGGAGGGACAGAGAGAGAGGGAGACACAGAATCTGAAGCACGATCCAGGCTCTGAACTGTTAGCAGAGAGCCCAATGCAGGGCTCAAACCCACGAACTGTGAGATATGACCTGAGCAGAAATCGGATGCTTAACTGACTGAGCCACCCAAGTGTCCCGATCATTGTACTTTTTAATGGCTTCATAATATCCAAATTAACATATGTACCATAACTCACGTGACCATTTTTTTTTTTTGTCAGAAGTGTGGGTTCCTCTCTGTTTCGCTGTACTTGGCAGTGCTTCCGTGAATGTTTGTATAGATTATTTATTGATGACAGAATCCTAGAGTAACTTTTCATGAAGAATTTTGAAGCTTTTAGTGTTTAATCACTTTCACCATAATTTTGCTTTCCGTAGACTTTCATCCCTCTCTTTTTTTTTTGTAGACTGGAAAATGTTTGAGTTAATGTTCAATATATGTGTGTTGTGTCCCTCTCTTAGTTTTAATAAGGGCTTTTTATTCAGGTGCCATGAATCCTTTAGCTGAAGAACATCTTTCAAAGCAAGATCTGCTTTTCCTCGACATGCTCAAGTTCTTGTGTATGTGTGTAACTACCGCTCAGACTAGTACCGTGTCATTCAGAGCAGCTGACATTCGGAGGAGGCTGTTAATGTTAATTGATTCCAGCATGCTGGACCCTGCTAAATCCCTCCACCTGCACATGGTGAGTTCAGGGAAAGTGACACACCTTCAGTTCTGTCTGATGTTGCTGGATAAATAGAGTATATGGTACTTGTGATGGTTTGAAACTACTTCCTTGAGGAACAAATCTGATGCCAGTTATAAAAATGCTAGTTACCAAAAAATGCTGGTTATAAAAATATAAAAATCTGATGCCAGTTATAAAATAGACTTTTCCTTTTCATGTGCTGTGAAAAAATTTTAAGTGGATAGTGAAACATTAAAACTCGGTTGGACTTTGGATACATTTATTATTCTTAGTTATAATTAATTATTATAAATTACTTTAAAGTAGGCCAAGAAACACAGACTCCTGAGTAAAAATAATACATACCTTGTAGTTGAATTCTGAGTCTTGCCTTGACCTTATTTGCATGTTGTAGATATTTTTAGATGTAATTTCAAGATGACAGTAAAGTAATGATACTACAAGAATTCCCATATTTCCTTCACACGCTTCCACAGGTAACATTTTACCACATCTGCCTGTTTAGTAATTCTCTATCCTTGCCTCGAATTGTCATGCGTTTTCAGTCTCTTTCAATCTGGAACAGTTCTGTAGTCTTTCCTTAGGACGTTAGTATTTTTGAATAGTATAGGCATTTGTCCTTCTCTTTTTTTCACTTGCATACACCACACAGTGCTCATCACAACAGTTGCCCTCCCAATACCCATCAGCCGTCTAGCCCATCCCCCTGCCCACCTCCCTTCCAGGAACCCTCAGTTTGGTTTTGGTTAAGAGTCTGTTTTATGGTTTGCCCCTCTCCCCGCCCCCCCATGTGTCTCTTCAAATCAGTATGTTTTTTAATGTTTCTTTATTTTGAGAGAGAGAGAGAAAGGGAGAGAATATGAATGGGGCAGGGGCAGAGAGAGAGAGAGAGAGAGAGAGAGAGAGAGAGAGAGAGAGATTCCCAAGCAGGCTCCACGCTCTTAGTGTGGAACCCAGTGTAGGGTTCCACTCCACGAACCGTGAGATATGACCTGAACCGAAATCAAGAGTCAGACGCTCAACCGAGTCACCCAGGCGCCCCTCGAATCAGTATTTTTACATCCTTCAGGTAAATACCTAATAATGCAACCGTTAGGTCATAGGGTAGTTAGTTGTGTTCTTAACTTTTTGAGGAACCTCCATACTGTTTTCCAGAGTGGCTCCACCAGTTTGCATTCCCACCAACAGTGTAAGAGGGTTCTGCTTTCTCCTTATGCTAGCCAATACCTGTTGTTTCCTCTGTTGTTAATTTTAGCCATTCTGACAGGTGTAAGGTGGTATCTCATTGTGGTTTCGGTTTGTATTTCCCTGATGATGAGTGATGTTGAGCATCTTTTCATGTGTCTGTTAGCCATCTGGATGTCTTCTTTGGAAAAGTGTCTATTCATATCTTCTGCCCATTTCTTAACTGGATTATTTTTTGGGGGGGGTGTGTTGAGTTTGCTAAGTTTGCTGTAGATTTTGGATACTAACCCTTTATCCGATATGTCATTTACAAATACCTTCTTCCATTCCATAGGATGCCCTTTAGTTTTGTTGATGGTTTCCTTCACTGTGCAGAAGGTCTTTATTTTGATGAAGTCCCAGTGGTTCATTTTTGTTTTTGTTTCCCTTGCTTCTGGAGATGTGTCTAATAAGTTGCTGCCTGTGTTCTTCTGTAGGATTTTGATGTTCGTGTCTTACATTTAGGTCCTTCAACCATTTTGAATTTTTTTGTGTACGGTATAAGAAAGTGGTCCAGTTTTATTCTTCATGTTGCTGTCCAGTTTTCCCTACACATTTGCTGAAGAGACTGTCTTTTTTCCATTGAATATTATTTCCTGCTTTTTTGAAGATTAGTTGACCGTATAATTGTGGGTCCATTTCTGGGTTTTCTGTTCTGTTCCATTGACTTACGTGTCTGATTTTGTGCCAGTACCACACTTCCTGGATGACTACAGCTTTGTAGTATAGCTTGAAATCCAGAATCGTGATGACTCCCGTTTTGTTTTTCTTTTTCAAGATTGCTTTGGCCATTTGGGGTCGTTGGTAGTTCCATACCAATTTTAGGATTGTTTGTTCTAGCTCTGTGAAAAATGCTGGTTGTATTTTGATAGGGATTGCATTAAATGTATGGATTGCATTGAATAGTATAGACTTTTTAATGATGTTTGTTCTTCCAATCCATAAGCTTGGAATGTTTTTCTGTTTCTTTGTGTCTTCTTCAATTTCTTTCATCAGTGTTTTATAGTTTTCGGACTATAGATCTTTTACCTCTTTGGTAGGTTTATTCCTAAGTATCTTAGGGTTTTTGGTACAATTATACATGGGTCGATTCCTTGATTTCTCTTTCTGCCGCTCCGTTATTGGTGTACAGAACTGCAACAGATATCTGCATTAATTTTGTATCCTGTGACTTCACTGAATTTGTGTATCAATTCTAGCATTTTTTGGTGGAGTCTTTCAGATTTTCTACATGGAATATCATGTTGTCTACAAATCATGAGCGTTTGACTTCTTTGCCTATTTGGATGCTTTGTTTTTCTTGTTGTCTGATTGCTGAGACTCATACTTCCAGTCTTATGTTAAATAACAGTGGTCAGAGTGGACATCCCTGTCTTGGTCTTGACCATAGAGGAAGAGCTCTCAGTTTTTCCCCAATGAGAATGTTAGCTGTGGGTCTTTCACATATGGCCTTTATGAATGTTGATATATGTTCCCTTTATCCCTACTTTGTTGAAGTTTTGTATCAAGAATGGATGTTGTACTTTGTCAAATACTTTTTTTTGCATCTATTGAGAGGATCATATGGTTTTTATCCTTTCTTTTATTAATGTGATGTATTACGTTGATTGATTTGCAAATACTGACCCTCCTTGCAGCCCCGGACTATGATCATGGTGAATGATTCTTTTAATGTACTATTTATTAGATTGGATTTGCTCGTAGTTTGTTGAGAATTTTTGCATCCATGTTCATCAGGGATATTAGTTTATAATTCTTTTTTTTATTGGAGTCTTTGGTTTTGGAATCAAGGTAATACTGGCCTTATAGAAGAGTTTGTAAGTTTCCTCCCATTTCTACTTTTTGGAACACTTTGAGAAGAAAATGTATTAACTGTTCTTTAAATGTTTGGTAGAATTTACCTGGGAAGCCATGTGGCCCTGGACTTTTGTTTGTTGAGAGATTTTTGATTACTGATTCAATTTCTTTGCTGGTTATGAGCCTGTTCAGATTTTCTATTTCTGTTTCAGTTTTGGTAGTTTGTATGTTTCTAGGAGTTTATATGTTTCTTCCAGATTGCCTAAATTGTTACGTATCATTTTTCATATTACTCTCTTATAATCGTTTGTATTTCTGTGGTGTTCATTGTAATCTCTTTCATTTGTGATTTTATTTATTTGGGTCCTTTCTTTTTTCTTTTTGGTAAGTCTAGCTAGGGGTTTATCAGTTTTATTAATTCTTTCAAAGAACCAGCTCCTAGTTTCATTGATCTGTTCTGGGTTTTTTGTTTGTTTGTTTCTATATTGTTTATTTCTTCTCTGATCTTTATTATTCCCTTCTTCTGTTGGCTTTAGGCTAAAAGCATCAGAAGAAGGGAAATATAGCCACTTGTTCTTTAGAAACCCTCACTTTGGGTTTGTCTCCTGTTTCCTAATAAGTAGATACAGATTTGGGGTTTGTTTTCTTTGTTTTTTTGTTTTTTTGTTTTTTTTTTGAGAATATTAAGAAAGGAATCCCTCTCCTGCCCTACCCCCATTAATCTATCCACCTACCAATAGATATCTTCAGTTCCAGTCCAACATCATAGGATATGTTGTTTTCTCTGTCCATATTTCTAGCTACCTTTCCCAACAGTAAGGGACCTGGCTTCCCATTTAACTTCCATACAATTTACTTGGTTACTCAGTATTCTTATATGTTACTTAGCTCCTGACCATGTAAGTTATCTCCTTCGCCCCAGCACTACTGAACATTTAGGGAGAGCCTCTGGCCCAGCAAGTATGCTGGGTGAGTCCATGGGCATGTCCCTAGTCCCAGAAAATTGGCAAACATGCCTGTGTTTCCTCAGACCCGGGAAACATGCCAGGGGATTCCGTAATTAGAACCTCTTATAGTCATGAAGTTTGAATCCTTGTGGAATCCTTGTCATGTTCCAGCTGTCATGAACAAGCTTGTTGATCCTCTGACCCCAGCAAATGTGCTCAGTTGAGCCTTGTGTGATCCCCTGGTTTTGACCCTGGCCAACACTCTAGTCAGGTCTCCAGCCCCGACCAGTGAGAAAGGCTCTGAGCTTTTCTTGAGGCTTTGGTGTTTAAAGTCAGTTCAAGATACTCTGTGACATCGTGCATGTAACTCTCAAAGCAAATATTTAAAATGGTCCAATTTAATCTTCTTTTATAATATCTGAGAAGGAGGAAGAAACATTTTTCTACATATGGATGATAGGAAAAAGTATCTTTGAATTTCTTACTATAGCTAGAAAATTGTTTGGCGGCTCTCAGAAACCGGCTGCCTAGTTACAACTACCATTATTATACCTGGTAGTTGCTGAGTGGCCCTTGGTATCCCCAGTACCATAGAGAACCCTACAAGGTTGCCTTTAGGAAGAGAAGCCAGTGTATTTGCCTTTTCCCTGCCCACCACTATGTCTCTTGTCCAAAATTCCATAGAACAGTTTTGAACCATTGAAGTCTTATACCGAAGCATTATTTTTGGAGGATAGGAACATAATAATCATTTCAGATTCTTGTGCAGGCTTTTAACCCCAGCAGTGATTACAACTATCTATTTACTGAATTCCTACAATACATGCTAGACATTTACATTTATTTCCTTTAATCCTCAGTAATCTGGCCATGTAAGTGCCCTGTCCGCATTTTACAGGTGAGAGTACAAGGCCCTGATGACAAGGCACGTTTTTTAACCATGCAAGTAATAGGTTGTAGTGCTGGGATTTGAGTCCAGCTCTGTTTGACTTCAGACCCTTTTTGTTACTATACTGCCTCTTTTACAAATTCACTGGTCTTGTGTGTGTATTTGTGTGTGCACACGTGTGCATGCATTAATGTGTGAATTTATTGTTACGTATGTATACTTATTTAAGCAAATGACCTATAGAAAAAAAATGATTTAACCCTCTCAACTGTCTTAGTATCTAGTGCTCTTAAAGGAGCTTCCTGGAGAAGAACATCCTTTGCCGATGGAAGAGGTTGTTGAACTCCTAAAGCCACTATCGTAAGAAATTAAAACCATGTGTTATGTTCACTTTAAATTTATAAACTAACTGGTGTGTTGTGCTGTACTTATAAAGTTAAATTTTTTCCACTACAGCAACGTGTGTTCTTTGTATCGCCGTGACCAGGATGTTTGCAAAACAGTTTTAAACCACGTCGTTCGTATAGTGATGAACCTGTGTCAAGGCAGTGTGGATGCTGAAAACACAAGGGATGCTCAAGGGCAGTTTCTGACAGTGATCGGAGCGTTCTGGTAGGTGCAGAGTATTTTGTGGCGTTCTTAACTTTCTTTTACTACTCTGGATGCAATTGTTAACTTTGTCTTTCTGCATTAGTGATTTGTTCGAATCCTTGAATGTGAGTATATACATCATTTAACAATAGCAGAATGTAATTTCTGTTTCCTTCCTTGATTGCTTGAAGAACAGTGAACACATTGGCCTTGTCACCAGTGTATGCATGTAGTCACAGCGTGACGTGACACGAGGCAAGTTTTACCATATTTACAGAGGAGCACATCTTTAGAGCCCTCCTCCCACTTGATTTGTAAGGATTTCTGAATCAGTGTAGAGTGTGGTTTTGAAATCTTTGATATAAAAACAAGTTTTACAAATGTTTTCTTTTAAAGCAAGTTTATAATTTACATGGTTCGCTGAAGTATGATAGCCCCCAGATGAGGCATGATCATAGAAAACAAATAAGGTACATTAAAATGAACTCCTTTTCAAACTAACTTTTTTTATTTGGATTTTTTTGGAAGCTGAGAATATTGGCCTATGAGAATTACAGAATGAGAATTAAATTTAGTATGAAAAGAAATTTTGGAAGAAACCTAGAATAAGTATGATACTCAATGATATATTTTGACTGAGCTTTTAGTGGAATAATTATTTGACTTTGAAACACTTACTTTATTTCAGGCACTTAGCAAAGGAGGGGAAATGCACATTCTCTGTAAGAATGGCACTAGTAAAATGCCTTAAAACTTTGCTTGAGGTGAGTTATTCCACATCAATTATTAGTAAGGTCTCTATTGAAATTTTTAAAGTAGCCTTTGTTTCTGTTTGTTGGTCAATAATTTTTGTCTTAGTATTTCATATTTAACCTTAGTTCTTTTCCCATAGGCTGATCCTTATTCAAAATGGGCTATTCTTAATGTGATGGGCAAAGAGTTTCCTGTGAATGAAGTCTTTCCACATTTTCTTGCTGATAATCATCATCAAGTTAGCATGTTGGCCGCAGAGTCCATCAATAGGTAATAGGTCCTATATTCATGACGTGTCTAGAATGCTGCAGATCGCAGTGTCTCGTCTGGCACAGTCGTGGGTCACTAGTTGTGATATTGAAAGTAGGTAGCACTTACTGGGCATATACTGTAGGCCTGGCATTTATGTTTTCTCTTAATTCTGACACTTTTATCACTTAGATACTATTATTTTCTCCATTTTGTGAGTGAAAAGTGTGGCTCAGTGAGAGAAGGGAACTTGCTCCGTGCCATACAGCTAGTAAGTGGTTGAGTTGAATAAGATGTGTCTCTTAACCACTTCCAGAAGGTATTGAATGTTTGGATGTCACTGTGACTTTTATATGCGTTTATAAAATGAAGATTGGGACATTTCATTTTGTGCTAATTACGATTATATTTATTCTGGTGAACATGCAGTCAGGTACTGGAGTGATTCTATCATGTAGACCTGTTTTATGTTTGAGTACTTAAAGGAGCACCTGTAATTTTTTAGGACTGCATGTTTTTGTCAGGTTGTTCAGCATTCTTGAACGCTTGAAATGTTATGTTCTAACACATCTACCTGAAAAATAAGCTGCTTAAATGGGCTCAGATTTCATTAGTTTTTTGAAACAAGACCCGGTATGTTAGTGTGTGTCACATAGTGGTTTATGTGTGTCTGATAATATACTTTGGAAAGTTGTATTTAAGGTAAATTATTTCACTTTTTACTTTTTTTTTTTTTTTTTTAAGATTATTCCAGGATATGAAGCACGGAGGTTCTTCCACATTATTGAAAGCACTTCCTTTGAAGCTTCAGCAAACAGCTTTTGAAAATGCATACTCGAAAGCTCAGGAAGGAATGAGAGAAGTAGTAATTTTAATACTTGCTAGTATCATACACTTCTTATAAATATGGTATATACTACTTTACCAAGTGTGGTCTAAGACGACATCCGCGGGTTTACTAAAACAACTGTATGGGTTAATTGAAATTACCTTATTATAGGTTAGACTTGGTCCAATAATGGCAATTTCTTTTGATTCAACTTAGATGTACTGTTTTTGTGGGAAGAACAAAATCTATTGAGTGTAAATGGCTTCCTTTTTCGTTAAAATTTTAATTGAGGGGTGCCTGGTTAGCTCAGTTAAGTGTCTGACTCTTGGTTTCGGCTCAGGTCGTGATCTCATGGTTCGTGAGTTTGAGTCCCGCATCAGGCTCTGCACGGACAGTGTGGAGCCTGCTTAGGATACCCTCTCTCTTTCTCTCTGTCTCTGTCTCTGTCTCTCTGTCTCTCTCTCTTTCTGCCCCTCCCCCACTCACGCTGTGTCTGTCTCTCTCAAAATAAATAAAAATAAACTTTAAAAAAAAATTTTTTTTTAAGTTGAAGTATCGTTAACGTACAATGTTATATTAGTTTCACGTGTATAACATGATAATTTCACAATTCTGTACATTACCCAGTGCTTACGATAGACGTAGTCACCATACTATAAACGTAGTCACCATACAGCATTGTTACATTATTATTGAGTATATTCCCTGTGCTGTATTTTTCATCCCTGTGACTTATTTTATAGATGGAAGTTTGTACCTCTTAATCTCCATTCTCTCTTTCACCCATTCCTCCACCTACCTCCCCTCTGATAATCACCACTTCTCTGTATTTAAAAGTCTGATTTTTTTTTGTTCACTTGAAGTGAAATCCTATGGTGTTTGTGTTTCTTTGGTTTATTTCACTTAGCATAATACCGTCTGCGTCCATCCACATTGTTGCAGAAGTCAAGATCTCATTCTTTTTTGTGGCTGAGTCATACTCTGTTGCACCCATCTGCGCGCTCATCCTCCATATATTCTTTATCCATTCATTTGTCAGTGGACACTTGGGTTACTTCCATCACTTGGATATTGTGAATAATGCATTGGGGTGCATATATCTTTTAAATTAGTGTTTTTGTTTCTTTGAGTGAGTACCCAGTAGTGAAATTATTGGATCATAAGGGATTCCTATTTTTAATTTTTTAAAGAACCTTATACTGTTTTCCACATTGGCTTCACCATTTTATATTCCCACCAACAGTGCACAGGGTTCCTTTTCTCCACATCCTCACTAACACTTGTTATTTCTGATTTTCTTGATAGCAACCATTCTGACAGGTGTGAGGTAATAGCTCATTGTGGTTTTGGTTTGTATTTCCGTGATGAATGATGTTGAGCATCTTTTCATGTGTCTGTTGGCCATCTCGATGTCTTCTTTGGAAAAATGTCTGTTTAGGTACTCTGCTCATCTTTTAATCAAATTTTTCTTTAGGTGTTAAATTGTAGAAGTTCTTTATATATTTTGGATGTTAATTCCTTATCAGATATATCACTTACAAATATCTCTTTCCTTTCCGTTTTGTTGATGGTTTCCTTTGGTGGGCAAAACATATTTATTTTGGTGTTCTCCCAATAGTTTATTTTTGCTTTAGTTTTATTTGCCTGAATTGATACACAGAAAACTGTTGCTAAGGTCAGTGTCCAAGAGAATACTGCCTATGTTTTCTTTTAGGAATTTTGTGGTTTCAGGTCTCACATTTAGACTTTTCATCCATCTTGAGTTTATTTTTGTGTATGGAGTTAGTGGCCCAGTTTTATTATTGGCATGTAGCTGTCCAGTTTTCCCAGCACCATTTTATTTATTTATTTATTTATTTAAAAAAATTTTTTTAACGTTTATTTATTTTTGAGACAGAGACAGAGCATGAACGGGGGAGGGGCAGAGAGAGAGGGAGACACAGAATCCGAAGCAGGCTCCAGGCTCTGAGCCATCAGCCCATAGCCCGACGTGTATCATTGTATATTCTTGCCTCCTATGTCATAGACTCACCATGTAAGTGTAGGTTTTTTTCTGGCCTCTCTCTTCTGTTACATTGATTGTGTATCTTTTTTTATGCCAGTACCATACTGCTTTGATTACTGTGATTGTGATACCTCTGGTTTTGTTCTTTTTCAAGACTGTTTTGGCTATTCAGAGTCTTTTCTGGTCCCATACAAGCTTTGTAAGATTATTTGTTCCAGTTCTGTGAAAAATACTGTTGGTATTTTGATAGGGATTGCATTGAATCTGTAGATTGTTTTGAGTAGTGTGGACATTTTGATAATATTAATTCTTCCAATATGAGACCATGACATATATTTCCATTTTTCTGTGTCATTTTCAGTTTCTTTCATTAATACCTTATTTTTTCAGAGTATAGGTCTTTTACCTCCTTGGTTAAATTTACTCCTAGGTATTTTATTCTTTTTGGTATAATTGTAAATGGCATTGTTTTCTTAGTTTCTCTTTCTGCTACTTCGTTACTAGTATATAAAAAACTGCGACAGATTTCTGTGTATTAATTTCGTGTCCTGCAACAGCATACTGAATTCATTTATGAGTTCTAATGGTTTTTTGATGGAGTCTTTAGGGTTTTCTTTTTTTTTTTTTTTTTAGTTTATTTATTTTGAGAGAACACAAGCAGGGGAGGGGCAGAGAGAAGGAGAGACAGAACCCCAAGCAGGATCTGCACTGTCAGCACAGAGCCCGATGCGGGGCTTGAACCCACAAACCACAAGATCATGACCCGAGCTGAGATCAAGAGTCAGACGCTTAACTGACTGAGCCACCCAGGCGCTCCGTAGGGTTTTCTATGTGTAGTATCATTTCATCTGCAAATAGTGGCAGTTTCACTTCTTCCTTACCAATTTAGATGCCTTTTATTTCATGTCTGGTTGCTGTAGTTAGGGCTTCCAGTATTGTGTTGAGTAAAAATGGTGAGAGTGGACACCTTTTATTTGTGCCTGCTCTTAAAGTAAATGCTTTTAGTTTTTCACCATTGAGTATAATGTTAGCTGTGGGTTTTTCTTTTTTTTTTTTTTTTTATTATTTTTTTTTTTAATTTTTTTTTTTCAACGTTTATTTATTTTGGGGACAGAGAGAGACAGAGCATGAACGGGGGAAGGGCAGAGAGAGAGGGAGACACAGAATCGGAAACAGGCTCCAGGCTCTGAGCCATCAGCCCAGAGCCCGACGCGGGGCTCGAACTCATGGACCGCGAGATCGTGACCTGGCTGAAGTCGGACGCTTAACCGACTGCGCCACCCAGGCGCCCCTGCGGGTTTTTCACATATGGCTTTTATCATGTTGAGCTTTGTTTCCCCTAAACCCTCTTTGTTCGGAGAGTGTTTATCATGAAAGATGTTGTATTTTGTTAAATTTTTTTTAATCTATTGAGGGGATCATATGGTTTTTATTTTTCCTCTTGTTAATATGATGTATCACATTGATTGACTTGTGAATATTGAACCATCCTTGCATCCCTGAAATAAATACCCTTGACTGCAGCGAATGGTCTTTTTGATGTATTGTTGAATTTAGTTTGGTATTATTTTGTTGGGGATTTCTGCATCTGCATTCATCAGGGATATTGGCCCCTAGTTCTCTTTTTTGTCTGTCTGCCTGGTTTTGGTATCAGGGCCTTATAGAACAAATTTGGAAGTTTTCCTTTCTCTTCTCATTTTTGGAGTAGTTTAAGAAGAATAAATATTACCTCTTCTTTAAATTTTTTTTTTTTTCAACGTTTATTTATTTTTGGGACAGAGAGAGACAGAGCATGAACGGGGGAGGGGAAGAGAGAGAGGGAGACACAGAATCGGAAACAGGCTCCGGGCTCTGAGCCATCAGCCCAGAGCCCGACGCGGGGCTCGAACTCACGGAGCGCGAGATCGTGACCTGGCTGAAGTCGGACGCTTAACCGACTGCGCCACCCAGGCGCCCCATATTACCTCTTCTTTAAATGTCTGGTAGAATTCACCTGTGAAGCCATCTGGTTTTGGATGTGTTTGTTGGGAGATTTTTGATTACCAATTCAATTTCTTTACTAGTAATCTATTCAACTTTTCTATTTCTTCCTGATTTAGTTTTGGAACTTTATGTGTCTAGAAATTTACCCATCTGTTCTTGATTGTCCAGTTTGTTGGCATATAATGTTTCATAGTATTCTCTTATTCTTTGTATTTTTGTGGTATCAGTTGCTATTTCTCCTCTTTCATTCCGATTTTATATGAGTCCCCTTTTTTTTCTTGATGAATCTGGTTAAAGGTTTATCAATTTTGTTGATCTTTTCAAAGAACCAGCCCTTGGCTTCCTTGATCTTTTGTTTTTGTTGTTGTCTCTTTTCTTTATTTCCTTTCTAATCTTTATTTCCTTCCTTCCACCAGCTTTGGCCTTTGCTTTTTCTTTTTCTAGTTCTGTTAGGTGTAAAGTTAGGTTGTTTTCTTGAGAGTTTTGTTGTTTCTTGAGGTATTGCTATAAACTTACCTCTTAGAACTGCTTTTGTTACATCCCAAAGATTTTGGATCATTGTGTTTTCATTTTCATTTGTTTCCATGTATATTTTTATTTCCTGTTTGATTTCTTCATTTACCCATTGGGTGTTCAGTAGCATGTTGTTTAGACTGCGTGCATTTGTGGTTATGTCAGGATTTTTAAATTGATTTATACCATTGTGTTCGGAAAAGTTGCTTGATGTGATTTCTGTCTTCTTAAAATATTTCTTGTAAGATCTGGTTAAAAACCAATTTGGAGAAAGGTGATGGTAGGAAGAAATGGATTGAAAACCATTTCATGAGATCAACTTATGTTGGTGTTCTTTAGGGAGCCTGATGATTCTTATATTTCTTTGTAGAATAATATTTTTCTTAAATGGCAAAATTATCTGACTGTTAGAATTTATTCACTTATTTATGCCTTGATATGTTTGTGAAAAGTATATGAGGTGGTTAATCAAATACTATCTAGTCAGTGATAACACAAAAGGACAGTTTTTGGACAGTTGGGTGAAAGAATGTGAATTTCAGAAAAAGTTTCAATAGATTGGAAAAATGAATGTGAATAATACAAGATTTAATAGAGATGTATATGGTACATTTTAAAATTAGCCTGTCTTAAGCAAAAAGGGAAAATACTGACTTGATAGAAATTCATTTGTAATAAGTCCTAACAAGTTTTACTCTTGAGAGCACTGTATGAATCCCATTGCAATAGTTATCAAAAGAAACAAATTCTGCCTTAGATGTCATTAATAGAAGCTTACTGTCACAAACAAGCTGATAAAAAGAATCTGGACTCATGTATACATTATAGAAGGCAGCTTGTATTTTGGGTTGGGTTCTGAGTAGAGGTAGATTTTTAACTAGGATGTTAGAGTCTGTAGATCCTGTCTCTCCTAAGGAGTTGGTGAAGGAGCTGACTTAGTGGGAACCTCATAGCTATTTTCAAACAGGTCAATGATGGCCATTTAGTAAAGGCTCTTTCTTTTCCTTGTTCCAAAAAACCAGAAGTAGGATCAATGGGTAGGAGAGTTTTCTAAATGTGAAGAGAAACTTTTTTTTTAAGATTTTATTTTTTAATTTTTTTAAATGTTTATTTATTTTTGACAGAGAGAAAGACAGAGTGTGAGTGGGCGAGGGACAGACAGAGGGAGACACAGAATCTGAAGCAGGCTCTAGGCTGTGAGCTGTCAGCACAGAGCTTGACCCGGGGCTTGAAGTTGCGAACCACGAGATCATGACCTGAGCCAAAGTCAGACGCTTAACCAGCTGAGCCACCCAGGCGCCCCATTTATGATTTTATTTTTAAGTAACCTCTTTACCGATTGTGGGGCTCAAACTCACAAGTCTGAGATCAAGAATCTCATGCTCCACCTACTGAACCAGCCAGGTGCCTGAGAAGCTTTTATCAATTATAGCTAGTCAAAAAATGTTCACATTTGTTGGGATAATTATAATGATGGGTCATTAAACTAGAAGCATGTGTCATTCTGTCTAGTTGCATGATTTTATTTTTACCTTTTTTTTTTTTTTGAGAGAGAGAAAGAGCACACATGCCCATGCATGCATGCAAGTGGGACAGGGGCAGAGGGAGAGAGACAGAATCTCAAGCAGGCTCCCTGCCCAGTGCAGAGCCTGTCCTGAGGCTTGAGATCATGACTGCGAGATCATGACCTGAGCTAAAATCAAGAGTTGGACGCTTAACAAACTGAGCTACTCGGGCGCCCCCATTTTTACTTTTGACAGTACACGTGACTGTATGTTTTGCAGTATAAAGTGCTGTCTATGAAATTATGATAATAAAAACATCTCAGGATGTATACTTTGTAATTGAAAAGGAGCTTTTAATTATTCTCCCCTACTTGGATTTTTTTTTTTTATTTAAGTTTTTGTTTTAATTCTAGTCAGTTAGCCTACAGTGTTATACTAGCTTCAGGTGTACAATGTGGTGATTCAGCATTTCCTTACATCACCTGTGCTCATCACAAGAGCACACTTCATCCCTATCACCTGTTTACCCTCTACCCCACCCCTACACCTGCCTCTCTGGTGACCATCAGGTTGCCCTTGTTGCAATTTCTTTCTTGTTTTTCTTTAAATTGCTTTATACCTCACTGAAATGTTTGTGAATTCTTTCCCTAAGGTATTATCAGAAACAGTTTTTGCACTCTGGAAACTTTGATATTTTCTCGTATCTCTGCTCTTGGCTCCATCACTCTAGGGTTTAAAATTGCTCACTGGTGGGGGCCTGGGTGGCTCAGTCGGTTAAGCGGCCGACTTCGGCTCAGGTCATGATTTTGCAGTCCGTGAGTTCGAGCCCCACGTCGGGCTGTGTGCTGACAGCTCAGAGCCTGGAGCCTGTTTCAGATTCTGTGTCTCCCTCTCTCTGACCCTCCCCTGTTCGAGCTCTGTCCTCTGTCTCAAAAATAAATAAATGTTAAAAAAATAATTTTTTTTAATAAAAATAAAAAAATAAAATTTCTTACTGGCTGCTTAGACGTTATAATGGTGAACATTGATTTTAGCCTGATTGGTTTATTTGTAATGTTTGTGTACTCATATGACATCATTGTTTTTAAAATTCCGTTGCAGGCCCACAGAGCTGAGAACGCTGAACTCGTAGATGAGGTTTATAACAGAAAATCTGTCCTGCTGATGACGATGGCTGTGATTTTATGCTGCAGCCCCGTCTGTGAGAAACAGGCTTTGTTTGCCCTGTGCAAGGCTATGAAAGAGAGTGGGTTAGAACCTCACCTCATTAAAAAGGTACATGTGGATGAATACTTTTTATTATCTTCCTTGGGTAACTTTTAAATAATTTAAAAAGTGTAAACTTATTTTAAAGTGCCTCTTGGAGACCGTTTTATTTTTTAGATCTGGAATATCGGAAAGTAGTAACTCTTTGGCGTATGTTTATTTGTATGCGGTATCATTTATTTTTTACCTCCAGCGTGTCACGGGGTGTTCATTGAACTGATAGGGATCAGTGACCTTTCATCAGGCCGACCAGGCCCTCTGCAATTGCTTTTATTGAGGGAGACCCATAGAGAAAAGAGCAGTAGCAGGTGTTTTGCCTGGGAGTTCTGGGTCACGACCTTGGGATCTAGCAGGGCTAGAAGTCAAATCATAGAGCTGTGACACTTTTAAAGTTGCAAGACTGGGAAAGGAACACTAGAGTCCATTTGTGCAATCACATCAGCACATTGTTGTTGAATGTTTGCCTCTGCCCCGTTCCACCACCTCACCTCCATGGTTTGGAAAGTTCCATGCCTTTCCATCATAGATATTCATGCGATGAACCAGTGATAGACCAGTGGCCTGACAGACCATTCAGGATTCTACCAGCATGGTCTCCATGGACCCTTAAAGTAGGCCAGCCTGTAGGTAATCAATCTTAGACCAGTTAACCTTTTAACATTTACTGACTGGTCGCTATGTGCCAGGCTCTGTGCTAATTATATTAAATACATTTTTCTTGTTTAGTGTCTCTGAAGTATAAGTACTTTTATTATCTCCATCTCATAGATGAGGAAGCCAAGGTATAGAATAGTTGAATGAACGTGTCAAAGTTATGCTGTAAATAAATAATGAAGGATTTAGATCTAGATATATTATTTCATTGGTTTCTTAAAGCATTGACTTCTTTCTGATTTGTGCAGGTTTTAGAGAAAGTTTCTGAAACTTTTGGGTACAGACATTTAGAAGACTTCATGGCGTCTCATTTGGATTATCTGGTTTTGGAATGGCTGAATCTTCAAGATACTGAACACAGCTTATGTTCTTTTCCTTTTATTTTATTAAACTACACAAACGTTGAGGATTTCTATAGGTAGGTGTACACACATGTGAAATAAATATGTTCATTTTAAAATTAGAGGGTAGTGCTCGCTTCGGCAGCACGTATACTAAAATTAGAGGGTAATGTTTGGGAGCCCCCCACCCCCACCTGACACACGCGCATACACACATGCACATACACAGGTACGTGCGCGCACACACACACACACACACACACACACACATCCGGAGCTTGGGGGCTGTATAGTAGGAGAGACAGGGCTGCTTGTTTTAATTAGAGTGTACTGAAGGGAATCACTGGATTTAAGGTCTGGTCCTAGCTGTGCCAGTAACTAGCTGTGTAACTTTAGGCAAGCCATGAAAATACCCGCTCGGCCTTGGTTTTTCAATCTGTACAGTAAGGGAGTAACATCAGTCTTTAAGTACTCTTTCAGCTTTAAATTTTTTTTTTGAATTTTTTTTATTTTTACATTTATTTGTATTTGAGAGACAGAGAGAGACAGAGCACGAGTGAGGGAGGAGCAGAGATAGAAGGAGACACAATCCAAAGCAGGCTCCAGGCTCTGAGCTGTCAGCACAGAGCCCGACATGGGGTTCGAACTCACGGACCTTGAGATCATGACTTGTGCTGAAGTTGGATGCTTAACCAACTAAGCCATCCAGGCGCCCCTCTTTTAGCTTTAATGTTTGGTATTCTTCCCTGTGACAAACCAAAGAGAAATTACTAGTGGCTGTTATTTCTGCGTTGTTCTTCCTTTCTGTTCCTTGGCTATGGACCACTTTGTCATTATTTTTATTAGATTTAAAGTGTAATGTAAAAATACTTATTTTGCTAAATCCTAACTCTTGAGAAGAAAATTTTGAAAATAGATTTGGAACAACTGAAGAATCATCTAGAGAATGAGGTTTTGGTCTCAGGATGATGGGAAAGCAGTGCATTATTCAGTGATCCTTGTTGTTTCATTTTGGCGATAACAGTATTTACATTCATAGCTTGAATTCACCGGGCACCTGGGTGGCTCAGTTGGTTAAGCGTCCAGCTCTTGATTTCAGCTCAGGTCATGATCTCACCATTTGTGAAATCTAGTCCCACGTCAGGCTTTGTGCTGACAGTGTGAAGCCTGCTCCAGATTCTCTCTCTCCTCCTCTCTCTCTGACCCCTCCCCTGCTTGTGCGTGTGCTCTCTCTCTCTCAAAATAAACAAGTAAACTTTAGAAAAATAGTTTGAATTCATACATTTCTTTCACATTTCATTTTACATAAATGAAATAATTTTGCATAAATTGATTACGTAGAAGAGAGAAATTCATTTCCCACTTTTTTTGATCATAGAATTATGTTGGTGTATTCTAAGATTTCTGTTTTCTTATGTGATTATTTAAAATTTATTTAACTTCATCTCTGCATTTATAAAATTAGAGTAAGAATGTTTAGTGATCTAGACAAAGTGATGTTCTAATGCCTGTTCCATTATTTTAAGGGCTGTATTGTAAAATTTGACTTTGAGAAGTTATATATAACATGTACTTGAAATTTTTACATTTTTAGATCTTGTTATAAGGTTTTGATTCCACATCTGGTGATTAGAAGTCGTTTTGATGAGGTGAAGTCCATTGCCAATCAGATTCAAGAGGATTGGAAAACTCTTCTAACACACTGTTTTCCAAAGATTCTTGTAAATATTCTTCCTTACTTTGCCTATGAGGGTACAGGAGAAAGTGAGACAGTACAGCAGAGAGAGACTGCTACCAAAGTCTACGACACACTCAAAGATGAAAACTTACTAGGAAAACAGGTATGACTTCACTTTTACCTACTAGCTCTAGGCCAAATGTGGGACTCGAACTCACAATCCTGAGATCAGGGGTCTCATGCTCTACCAACTGAGCCAGCCAGACACCCCTCTTGAGCCCCTAATTGTAATTAAGTTGTTAACTTAAGTAATTACGTTGTTAATTAATTGTAATTAAGATGTAACTTAAAGATTTTCTTTTTAATATTTATGCATTTTTGAGAGACAGAGACAGAGCACTCTGCGAGTGGGGGAGGGGCAGAGAGAGGGAGGGAGACACAGAATCCGAAGCAGGCTCCAGGCTCCAAGCTGTCAGCACAGAGCCTGACTTGGGGCTTGAACCCACAAACTGTGAGGTTGTGACCTGAGCCGAAGTCGGACACCTAACTGAGCTACCCAGGTGCCCCCTGACATGTGACTTTAAAGTTTTAATACCAGTCATCATTTATGTAGTAAAATTTAATATGTAGTCATCACTGTCTGGTGTTGGCAATCCGTGAATTTTTTTATTGTTGTTGTTATTACAGTGGTCTCTTCTTTTGAGTGGCTTTTATAAATGAAATGTTTTTAATCAGAAAAATTTTTAAAAACTTTGAAATTTATTGCTTTTTCATTTTTAAAATTTATTTTTATTGGCAGTAATACGTGAATGCAATCTGGGTGTTCAATCCATGCACTACTGGGCAGTGTATACAAAGTGTTCCTCACGTTCTCTTCAGTCCCATTGAGCTCTTTACGGTTCAGGGAGAAGTATGATCCCAGACTCCCATGCTCTGCTCTTTCTTTTTTCCATGACACTTACCACCTTTTAACGTGTAATAGAAGTTACTTAAGAATATGGTTTATCTTCTCTGCTGTGAGTACTCGGACAGATTTTCAGCTGGTTTTTTTTTTCTGCTTTGTACCCCTGCTACTTAGTATGTAGTGAATACTCATAATTTGAGAAAAGATGGAGTCAAGTAAAAAAGGATCTAACAGGTTCTGTTTTTAAGATAACTTACACACATCCAAAATAATTTGAGGGAGATTACATTAAAAACACATATATAAACTTTGTTTAAGGTCAAAGAGGATTGGTAACTCTCAACTTTTTTGTTTTGTTTTGTTAGTAAGGGATGACTAAGCAAAGTTGGCTAATGTTAAAATTAGTTAGATAAACTTCAAAAGACTTTTTGTTTGCCCCTGACCTGTGTGGAGCCAGCAAACGGAACGAATTTCCCAGCTGCTTAGAGGGAGCACTGCCAGTCAGAGCTGCTTCTCAGTCATTCTGGAGGCAAACGAGGAGCTCCCTTCTCAAAAGTTACTTGGAACTGGATGTTACAGCTCCAGAGGTTATGGAATTTATGAAAGATGCTGCTTTTATCCCCTCCCAGCCCATCTTCCTGCTTAGACTTCTAAGCAGACCTAATCTTACTACTTTTTAAAATTATTCAAACCACAAGATAGCAATTTTCAGAGTCAGAGTAAGTCTAGGAGGAGAACGTAATTACACTGAGGCCTGATTGAAACATCAGTCTTGAGAATGAAGAGAGGCAAACTTAAATGATAATTTCTTATCTTCTTGGTTAAAGACATAAATTTTTATTAGTTTCAATCGCAGTTAGCATTAAGTTGTCACAAGTTAAGTTTTTCTTTGATTCTCTAATACACACTTTCTCTGAATCCATCTTGCTGATTCTTTTTTCAGTGAGTAAGGGTTGGTGCAGCTATTATTATTATTAGTCTCTAAGCCTCTTAAAACTGTCACTTGTGGAAAGCCAAAAATATTAACAGTTGCAACATTGTTTACTTGTACCTAGACATCTGAACAGTTTGTATGTCCCTCAGCTAAACAGTACAGATCGGGCTTATTACAGAATAATAGGAAACTAGTGAAGCCGCTGGTCATTTTTTGTGTAAGGGAATTCATGAGTTTTTCCTTTGTTATTAATCAGATGGGGCCAATTTGTCCTTCCTTGTCCCAGATATACTTTGAAATGAGCTGGTGTTTTAAGAGGGTTGAAACCTTCGAAGTGGTGACCTGAATGACAGATGTGTAAGCCTGAGGGAAAGGCTAGCACCTTTACGTTTGGCTTCCTTTTTGTCACATTTTAAAATGCTTCTGTTAAGAGGAAGTGTGTTTTCAAACCTCCTTGCACACCAAGTAAATCAGCCGTTTATTTGCCTTTAAGTTTGGTGCCCTTGTAATTCCTAACTTGGAGAGCTAATGAGTCCTCCTTCACAACTTCATGACCGTCCTTCACTTGGCTGGGGTATACGTAACGCAGCAGGCCCATTCTGTATAATTAGAGAATGTGTGCCTCTCTCTGGGAGGCCGCCGTAATAGGAGGTGGATCGATGGAGAACCTGCTCCTGTCTGGGAGGATTTTAGTTGACTGATGATGACAGGGGATGTGGGGGCCAGCTAGGCTCAGAATTTGGCACATCAGCCAAGTAGAAATCTGGCGGAAAGTTCTGCAAGGAACAGAGAAATGCTTTTTGCCAGTCACTGGAAATTCTTACAAGTATTGTTAAGCGAGAGAGATCTCCCAAGTGAGTCAAGAGTAAAATGCAGATTGAGAAGCCGTGTAGATCAGTGGGGAGTTTGGTTGGCAGGAAAATTACTAGGTTGAGGAGTTCAGTGCTACAGCTGAAGCCTTAGTTAAAATGATTCTTTAAAATGAAACTAGAGTCAGATTAAGGGAGTCTTGTTTGGTTAGATTTCCTTACTCTCCCCCAGGCTACAGGTCGGTTGCATAGCAGAAAAAAGTGGAGTCAGCTGTATGTCTTGGCAGATCTTAGGTCTTTCGTCATCTATTTCCTTTTACGGTCACTGACTAATTTTGGAAATGATGCCGTAACATTAGCCCCTTGAGCCGTGTTAACGCTCACAGACATAAGAACTTAAACATTATTTTAATTTTGTATCCTTACAGATTGATCACTTATTCCTCAGTAATTTACCAGAGATTGTTGTGGAGTTACTGATGACGTTACACGAACCAGCAACTTCTGGTGGCAGCCAAAGCACTGACCTCGGTGACTTTTCAGGGTATGGGTATTTTAAACTTAATGGCTTAGCTGCAATCTCAGAATTTCCTTGGGAAGCTTATTGCTTGACACCTTCAAATGTCTTTTCAGTTTTTAGGCACAGCTATACTTTTAAATTGTTTCTTTAAAAGTAACTGCCTTTGACTTGAAGTACCACCTCCTTGCCTCTACTGGAGTCTTCCCACCATGATTGCTCGCTCTTTCAGGTGGATCACCTGGTTTGCAAATCCGTTGACCTTTTCCTTCTCAATCTTTCCATCCTTTTTTTGAAATTTCATGGACACATCCATGGTTTTCTTATCTGTGGCTTGCATTTCTAGATCACCTTTTCTTAATGCTCCTTAGCTCTCAGAATCTTACCTATGACAGCTTAACTTGGATGTGAGACGCACGTGGCTGTATATGAATGTTAACTTTCCCAGCTTGATTGTAAGCTTCTTGAAAGCACCCTTTACATTTTTTTGTGTTCCCTACCATGCCAGCTGTGCAAAAAAGTAATAATATCCACCCGAGTACTTTTACTGTATAATTTCATTTGACGTAAATAGTGTTTGATTTCCCAGTATTAGTGCTTTTACAGTACTAGCTTAGAACTTTAATTCAAATGTGAAGTGATACCAAGGCTCATTTGTGGGATTGCCATTAACTTCATAAAAGATTTCGTGAGCAAATCATTTAAATTTTTTTTAACATTTATTTATTTATTTATTTTTATTTTATTATTTTTTTTAACATTTATTTATTTTCGAGACAGAGAGAGACAGAGCATGAACGGGGGAGGGTCAGACAGAGAGGGAGACACAGAACCTGAAACAGGCTCCAGGCTCTGAGCAGTCAGTACAGAACCCAATGCGGGGCTCGAACTCCCATACCGCGAGATCGTGACCTGAGCCGAAGTGGGACGCTTAACCGACTGAGCCACCCGGGCGCCCCAACGTTTATTTATTTTTGAGACAGAGAGAGAGACAGAGCATGAACGGGGGAGGGGCAGAGAGAGAGGGAGACACAGAATCGGAAGCAGGCTCCAGGCTCTGAGCCGTCAGCCCAGAGCCCGACGCGGGGCTCGAACTCACGGACCGCGAGATCGTGACCTGGGCTGAAGTCGGCCGCTTAACCGACTGAGCCACCCAGGCGCTCCATTTAAAATTGATTCAGTCATGGAGGGCACAGGTATTAAATATGCTGACCGCTAACATGTAGACCGTCATAAGTCATTTGTGATTTTATTTAAAAGCCAAGTTTTTCAATGGAAGAGTAGTTGTAGAATGTGGGATTATTATTGTCTTAATTTTGTTCTGAAAATGATGACTGCGTGTTTTCCTCTGAATCTTAGGGATTTGGACCCTGCTCCTAACCCACCTCATTTCCCATCACACGTGATCAAAGCAACGTTTGCCTATATCAGTAATTGCCATAAAACCAAGCTTAAAAGCATCTTAGAAATTCTTTCCAAAAGCCCTGTGAGTACACATTCCTATTAAAATAACTTAAGAGAGAATTCCTTCTTTTTCAGCTCAAAAATCTGTGTAAGTGCATCTTAAAGAGAAAAAAAGATGAACAAATGGAAAATTCATCTGAATTAATTAAAAAGTAAAACACTCCTCAACAAGTTTATATCTTGGTATCTTACCTGTCAGTATTCATTGATGAAGCCTGAATTTCATGATAGTTAGTCATATGTTACCTCAGAGTGTAGATATTTTTTTAAATTATTTTTTGCTGTCTGAAAGCTGGATAAATTGACAATAGTTTTTTAAGTTTATGATATTAATTTTCTTTTTTTTACTTTTTTAACTTTTTTTTTAATTTTTTTTTTAACGTTTATTTATTTTTGAGACAGAGAGAGACACAGCATGAACAGGGGAGGGGCAAAGAGAGAGGGAGACACAGAATCGGAAGCAGGCTCCAGGCTCTGAGCCATCAGCCCAGAGCCCGACGTGGGGCTCGAACTCGCGACCGCGAGATCGTGACCTGAGCTGAAGTCGGCCGCTTAACCGACTGAGCCACCCAGGCGCCCCATGATATTAATTTTCTTAATGTAATATTTGCCTTTGATATCAAACCAACACAAAATTCTGTAATTTGTTATTTTGAATATAAAATACATTTGTTATAGCTGAGTATAAATGATTACATAAGTTTTTATGAAATGTCTTTTTATTTTCTAGGATTCCTATCAGAAAATTCTTCTAGCCATATGTGAACAAGCCGCTGAGACAAATAATGTTTATAAAAAGCACAGAATTCTGAAAATATATCACCTATTTGTTAGTTTATTACTGAAAGACATAAAAAGTACCTTAGGAGGAGCGTGGGCCTTTGTTCTTCGAGACGTTATTTACACATTGATTCATTATATCAACAAAAGGTAAGAAATATATTTAGAGCAATATGTAAGTGTTTTCTACCCTGTTAGTTGAAGATTTACATAGTTTTAAGATGTAGAAGCCACGGTATTGTTTTATTTTGCTTTTTAATATATATCTACTTAATATTTTTTAAAAATTGCATTACTATTTCTTCATCTCAAAAAATATTAGTATTAAGGGTCTTCAACATTTAAAAAAAAATTTTTTTTTTTCAACGTTTATTTATTTTTTGGGACAGAGAGAGACAGAGCATGAACAGGGGAGGGGCAGAGAGAGAGGGAGACACAGAATCGGAAACAGGCTCCAGGCTCTGAGCCATCAGCCCAGAGCCTGACGCGGGGCTCGAACTCACGGACCGCGAGATCGTGACCTGGCTGAAGTCGAATGCTTAACCGACTGCGCCACCCAGGCGCCCCCCCCAATTTTTTTTTTTTTTTTTTTTTTTTTTTGAGAGAGAGAAGCAGAGTGTGAGCCGGGGAGGGGCAGAGAGAGGGAGTCACAGAATCCGAAGCAGGCTCCAGGCTCTGAGCTGTCAGCACAGAGCCCAACGCAGGGCTCGAACCCACAAACTGTGAGATTGTGATCAGAGCTGGAATCCGATGCTTAACTGACTGAGCCACCCAGATGCCCCAATTCATCATTTTAAAATAAACGAATTTTAGATGGCCTGAAATATCTATGTCACTATAGTGGTTCTGGTCACCAGTTCCTGTGTGTGTGTGTGTGTGTGTGTGTGTGTGTGTGTGTGTCTGTATGTGTATGTAACACCCACTCTCCAGACACACACACACACACACACACACACACACACACACACACACACACAAACACAATTCTCCAAACACCTGCTTGGTGTCCTACAGTTCAACTCAGATGTAGTTGGTTAGTGTCAGATTCCACAGATTGAGGTCTCAGTCCTGCAAGACTGCCTGCCCCTCCTTCCTTTCCAGTGGCAGTCACTAGCCAGGATTAGCACCTGTGCTGACCAGCCAGCTCTACACTGCAGGTTCCAATGACCCTCTTCCTACAGTTCTGAGTCATTTTTAGAGCCGCTGTCAGAACTCAGGATAGCTGTTTACTGACTAAAATACCGCTTTGTTATAGAAGGGCATAGCTCAGGAAAAGCCAGATGGAAGAAATCACGTAGGACCATGTATAGGGAAAGTGGGCACCACTTTGGATGGACTTGACATCCTCATCAGAAATCATTTGGCCCTTGATGTGTGGATTTATTTCTCAATTCTCAATTCTATGTCCTTGGTTTGCCCTTGTGTCAGTACTACCTGGGTTTTTTGCTGTTGTTTTTGTTTTGTTTTTTTGAGAGAGCACAAGTGGGAGGGAGAGGGAGAGAGAATCTGAAGCAGGCTCCGTGCTCAGCATGGGGGGCTCAGCCCCACAACCCTGGGATCAAGACCTGAGCTGAAATCAAGAGTCAGATGCTCAGCCCCCCGACCCACCCAGGCACCTTACTCTGATTATTTTTTTAATTTTTGTGTGAATTCTTTATGTATTTTGGATATTAACCCTCATCAGATATAGCATTTGGAGATACCTTATATCTTACCTTGTTGTTTTGTTGATAATTTCCTTTGCTGTGCAAAAGCTTTTTATTTTGATGAGATTTTTTCTTTTGTTTACCTTGCCTGAGGAGACATACCTAGAAAAATGTTTCTCTGGCTGATATCAAAGAAGTTACTGTCTGTGATTTCTTGTAGGAGTTCTGTGGTTTCAGGTTTCCCATTTAGGTGTAATGCATTTTGAGTTTATTTTTGTGTGCAATTATAAGAAAGTGGTTTAGTTTCATTCTTTGGCACATAGCCGTTCAGTTTTCCCAGCACCGTTTGCTGAAATGACTGTCTTTTCCCTGTTGTAGATTCTTGCCTCCTTTGCTATGGATTAAGTGACTATATAAGTGTGGATTTCTGGGCTCTCTGTTTTGTTCTGAAAACTGGCTATTTTACTATTAAATTGTGGTAAATGGGGAAATCACACTCTCCCCTTCCCTAGGATTTGACTTTTTTTTCCCCTAATTGTCGAAGGTTGTAGTGGTCCATATGTTTCGTGAGTGTGCAAACTCTTTTTGCCAAGGGTGTGTTCCTCACCGTATGTGGCTACTGAAGAGTGTTCCTTGTGTTCAGGTAGTGTTTTTACACAGATTTCCTTGAATGCCAAGAGCAAGTGATTGAATATGAGAGAGAGAGAGAGAATGAGAATCTTTCCCAACTTCTGCAGGTTGGCTCTTTGTGAGGACTTGCCTTCACAGGCAGGTTCTCACCGAGCCTAGGGACTAGCCCAGCATGAACGAGTACGGTCTTCCTGGGTGTTTTTTGAATAAGCTTCTTACCTTGGGCATATGTGTGGCTTTCTCAGTGTCCCAGATATATGAGAGATTTTGAACTCTCTAATTTCAGGAAGAAACGTTCTTCCCAGCTTTTCATCCTAGGCTTTAGGCAGTCTGTTCCATGTCTGAACAATAACCTGTTGTCCCTCACAGCTGTGGGTAGTTGGCCATTGTTATTTATGGTGCTTTTGAGCACTGCTCATGGCTTTTACAGCCTGGGGAGATTCAAGTAAGACAAACCAGAGTGAAGCACCCGCCCTTCAGGTAGCTCCCAGACAGGCTTAGGACAGATACACATAGTCATTAACAAATACGCTCTGCTCTGCTCCAGCCAGAGCAAAGGGCCAGGATCCCATGCTGGGAATGGGGACTATAGTTTTTTCATCACACCCGCCAAGCTGGGGCGGGAGTAGCGAGGCAGAGGCTGGTAGAACGCCATGAAGCTTTAAGTCTTTTTTTTTTTTTAAACGCTTGTTTATTTAGAGAGAGAGAGAGCGCGCCAATGGGGGGAGGCAGAGAAAGAGGGAGAGAGAATCCCAAGCAGGCCCCGTGCTGTCCGTACAGATCCCAGTGCGGGGCTCGAACCCATGAACTGTGAGATCATGACCTGAACCGAAGTCACATGCTTAACCGACTGAGCCACCAGGCGCCCCTCCAACTGTTTTTAAGTTGCCGTTTTTGTTTGTTTGTTGTTTGTTTGTTTTTTAGCATTTGCTCCACTTCTGTACACCTTTGCCTGTTTGACAGAGTTCTGACAAAGTTCTGCCTGCTCGTCCTGTCTTTCAGTGTTTCTGTCAGGAGGGGGGATTGGAGCTGTCTACTCTCTCATTTTGCTGTTGTCACTTCTCTTTTTGGTTTTTAAACCATTAAGGAATTAGATACAAAAGTGACTTTTGTGTTGGGGTCACTTCAGAATTAGAGCTGCTGAATAAAAATGACTTTTTAATGAGCTCATATGGAAGCAGTTTCCTAGAACTTACTGTTTTTTGCCTGTGTCACAGGCCTTCTCGTTTCATGGACGTGTCGTTACGAAGCTTCTCCCTGTGTTGTGACCTGTTAAGCCGGGTTTGCCACACAGCAGTCACTTACTGCAAGGATGCTTTAGAAAATCACCTTCACGTCATTGTCGGTACACTCATACCCCTTGTGGATGATCAGATGGAGGTTCAGGAACAGGTGATGCCCAAATCATCTTCACAAAGATATTTGACGTACACTGATAAAGCGTTATTGAAAGGAGCTGAACGTTTTATGTTTACTTGGTTCAGTGAGTCATTTCAGTGAAAATATTCTTTGAAAAATGGTTGGAAAAACATTTTCAGTTAATTAAGCCTTGTAATCATTTAATTACGGAGCACCTAATAATTTTTTTTAATTTTTAAAATTTTTTGTATTTGAAAGAAACAGAGACAGTGCGAGTTGGGGAGGGGCAGGGAGAGGGAGGTGAGAGAGAGAATCCCAAGCCGGCTCCAGCATAGAGACCAGTGTGGAGCTTGAACCCACAAAACCTCAAGATCATGACCTGAGCTGAAACCAAGAGTTGGGTGCTTAACGGATCGAGCCACCCCAGGCGCCCCCAGTAACTTGGATCTAACAGATTACCTAGCAGTGTCTGTCTCTTCCTTGGTTTGAAGTGTAGAGGTAATGAAAGCGAGGGACAGCAGTTCATACCACTGTTCGTGGTGTGTGAGATACTGCTTAAATAAAATGTTCCGGTAATATTGGCATTTCTCTACCCCAGTGCCCGTGCTGTAGCAGCAACTTACGTACTTGTTGACTCATTTGAAAACAGTAATAGCTGGTACTATAGAAGTAATTAGAACATTTTATCTGAACTAGGCCAGTAGAGTTTTTATCACTTATTATAGTAGGTTTGGTTGTTCTACTTTAAAATATAATTAAACCATTTTTTTCCTTTTGATTTTTTCTTTTTTAAATTATGTTTAGGTATTGGACTTGTTGAAATACTTAGTGATAGATAACAAGGATAATGAAAACCTCTATATGACAATTAAACTTTTAGATCCTTTTCCTGACCATGATGTCTTTAAGGATTTGCGTCTTACTCAGCAGAAAATTAAATACAGTAAAGGACCCTTTTCACTTTTGGAGGTAATAATTATTCCATCATCTTACTATTTTGTATTAGGATAAAGAGCAGTACTTTTTGAACACTTCTAATTCTCTGAAAGAAAACAACTGAGTTTTTAAAAAACTGTAATAAAAAATAACCTGAGATTTAGCTTCTCAACAAAAAAGTGAGTCTTAATATATCCTCTTGTATTGCAGCAAAATTGTAAATATTAAGGTTTTTTTTGTTATGGTCTGAAATTAAGTATTGAAGAAATGTGGTATAAAATATGCTTGATTTTCATATGCATCAGATTCATTAATTCCTCAAAATTACTGTGTGATCTTTTGAGGGACAATTTGATGTTTGAAGTAGAGATGATATTTGAATTTTTAAAGAGTTTTTCAAGTTTTAATCTTTAATCTTTATAAACTTGAAAATTATCTTCAAGTGTATTTTTTAGCGTAAATTTTATTCCAATTTTAAAACCATACCCTATATTTGACTACATATCAATGTGATAATATAGCTAAATGTACTAAGATATAAAACGAGAATTACAGTACTAAATAAGTAGAAATTTAAACTTTTCCCTTGGAGTATGCTAATTACAATCTTAAAGTCTTAAAGATGTTCTTGTGAGAGAGTCAAGATTAAAACATTGGCCAACAAAACAAAACAAAACAAAAAAACCAAACCACATTGTAGGACTGAAATGGAAGAAGTCATTTATTTCTACCGTGTTTGGTAATAATAAAGCTGTGAGTCAGTGTCTGCGAAAGGCTCTTAGTAATTTTTTTCTTTTGAGTTTTATTTCGCAGACTTCATACAAACCCAAAAAACCGGTTATGTTTTTAACTAATGCTCTCTTTCAGGAAATAAATCATTTTCTCTCCGTGAGTGTTTATGATGCACTTCCTTTGACAAGGCTCGAAGGGTTGAAGGATCTTCGCAGACAGCTGGCACAACATAAAGATCAGATGATGGATCTCATGAGAGCATCTCAGGGTACTGATGTCAATGACCCGGGTTATTTGTACCTATTTCTTTTGGAAAGAGCTTTGTAAACTTTTTTTTTTTTTTTTTTTGAGTTTTTTAAACTCTTACTCTTTGATTAATTGCCACGGACTTAGTTTAGATTCTGATCCTTTAGTTCAAACCTCTATCATTTCTCCTCTAACTGGGAAAGAGGTCATTACATGGCCTCCTCCCCTTGAATTACCCTCATTTCATCCATCCCCTGCACCTCAGCCAGGGTGATTTCTCTGAACCCAAACATGATTGCATTATTCTATTGCTTGAAAAGTTTTAATCACTTCCTGCTGCCTGAGACAGAAATTTGAGTTCCTTAAAGCCAGGCATACAGGCAGTGTGTCTCTGCCTCTTGCTCCAACTCGTGTTCATAGAAGAAATGTATCCCACTTACAGCCTCTTAGCCATGTGTGTGCATGTAATTGTGTGCATATGTGTGTGTTTTCTGTATACACACATATTTGTATATGTGTTTCTACCTTTTTCTCATTTAAGAAAACATTCATTTTTATGTTATTTTGATTTCAGTTTAGGTTACTTTAATATTGTACTTGGAAATTTTCTCTACTTACATTTTGATTTTCATCTTGTACCCATTAATTTCATATTTCCATTGTGATTTTTTTTCCCAGTAACTTTTTTTTTTTAATTTTTTTTTCAACGTTTATTGATTTTTTGGGACAGAGAGAGACAGAGCATGAACGGGGGAGGGGCAGAGAGAGAGAGAGACACAGAATCGGAAACAGGCTCTAGGTTCTGAGCCATCAGCCCAGAGCCCGACGCGGGGCTCGAACTCACGGACCGCGAGATCATGACCTGGTTGAAGTCGGACGCTTAACCGACTGCGCCACCCAGGCGCCCCTCCCAGTAACTTTAAAAACTAATTTTGAGGGCGCCTGGGTGGCTCAGTCGGTTAAGTGTCCAACTTCGACTCAGGTCACAATCTCACGGTCCGTGAGTTCGAGCCCCGCATCGGGCTCTGGGCTGATGGCTCAGAGCCTGGAGCCTGCTTCCGATTCTGTGTCTCCCTCTCTCTCTGCCCCTCCCCCCGTTCATGCTGTGTCTCTCTCTGTCTCAAAAATAAATAAACGTTAGGGGCGCCTGGGTGGCTTGGTCGGTTAAGCGTCCGACTTCAGCTCAGGTCATGATCTCACGGTCCGTGAGTTCGAGCCCCATGTCGGGCTCCGTGCTGCCAGCTCAGAGCCTGGAGCCTGCTTCAGATTCTGTGTCTCCCTCTCTCTCTGCCCCTACCCTGTTCATGCTCTGTCTCTCTCTGTCTCAAAAATAAATAAACGTTAAAAAAATTTAAAAATCAATCAATCAATAAACGTTAAAAAAATTAAAAAAAAAAACAAACTAATTTTGATTTTGACCACCTGAGCTCAGAGCTCGTAGTGCATTTGTTCTGAGATGTGTGTTTGTGTAAAGATGAGAAACTGTATCTTTTGTTTTCGTGTGTTTGGGTCATTCATTGGTCTAGACTTCTCTTGTCCAGTAGCTGTTCATAGCTACTTAAATTTCAGTGAATTAAAGTTTAATAAAATTTAAAATTTAGTTTCTTATATCATACTAGCTCATGTCACGTTCTCAGGAGTAAGTGAGCTAGTGGCTATTGTTGGACAGTACAGATTATGGAACATTTCTGTCATTGCAGAAAGTTCTATTGGATATTGCTGTTCTAGACTAAATGCTAGATGTTGAAGAACAAGACATGCTCCCAAGGTCTCTTTCAGATTGATGTTGAATGATTTTTGTATTTCTTACTGTGATTTTCCTAAGGTATTGACTTATCTGTGCAACATATCAAGACATTTCTCTTTCTCTCTCTGCCAAATATTGCCAATCATTTTTACATGGTCCTGTTTTATAAGTCGATATCTATTCACTGTATATTTTTTGACCTTCTTATGGTTTTAAAACCTTGTTTAAAAAAAAAAAACTTGATAAAAGTGTTTTAGATAATTTGATTATATAAGCCTATTGTAAAGAAATGTGTATTCTCTGGTGTAGTTGAAACTAATTTTTTTAAAACTGCTCCTAGAAAACCCACAAGATGGCATAATGGTGAAACTAATCGTCAGCTTGTTGCAGTTATGCAAGATGGCAGTGAGCCAAACTGGTGAAAGAGAAGTTTTAGGTAATCTCTGGCTAAATGAATGTGAGTTTTTCTGTTTGAGTGGCCATTCCTGTTTTCACAATCAGTAGAAGTTTGTCATTTGGGTTATTAGGGAAACATGCGGTGCTAGCTGAGGTATGGTTCTGTCTAGTTCAGATGGCCTGAAGCAGTCCTCCTTTCGTACTTTCCTTAAACATTTATAAAAGTGAAAAGTTAGCGATATACATGTGTGCAAAACCGTTCTTTTGAAAAGGCCTTGGTTATCTTTAGGAAAGTCTGAAATACCTCTTTGTAGCATTAAGTTGCAAATATATCAGCTTTTGATACATTTTGTAAATATAACTGATTAGTACTTAGTCTTTTTGTAGGACAGAAATAAGATGAGGTTTTGGAGGGCTAGATGAATTAAACTCAGATATTAAAACCACATTTGGAGCATCTGGGTGGCTCAGCTAGTTGAATGTCCTACCTCAGCTCAGGTCATGATGTCGCCATTCATGAGTTTGAGCCCTGCATCAGGCTCTGTGCTGACAGCTCAGAACCTGAAGCCTACTTCAAATTCTGTGTCTCCCTCGTTCTCTGCCCCTCCCCCTCCCCCACTTACACTGTCTCTCTCCCTCTCAAACATTAAAAAAAAACAAAACCACATTCAAGTCCTATACTATTTGTAGGGTATCCTATTGTAAGATAAATGGCCACCATACATCCTGCCTGGAAGAGGTGTTTAGACTTAGTGATCCCAGGCTAGAAACACTGAATGATTGAAGTCAGCTTGAAGTTGTCATGACAGCATTGATTCAAAAAAGAAAAATGGAGGAATAAGAGGTTCTTCAGATACTACTTCCTTTCAGTGAAGCCTTCCTTCTCATCTCAGGGGGAGCCTGTTATCTGGGGCACTTCTTTTTTTTTTGTAAATTTTTTATTGAAATATACCTTACGTACAGAAAAGTATACAAATGATAAGTATGTAACTCGAAAACTTTTCACAAATGGAACACACCTGTGCTTTTAGCATCCAGACCAGGAAACAGAATCTTATTAACGCCCTAGAAGTTTCCTTTGACCAAGGAATTTATACCTTGTCCATGGTGGCACTGTTTCTAGAGACAAACCTGATTTGCTACAGGAGCCCTAAGTGGCTTTCCTGTGTAACATAAAATCTTAACATGGTTTTATTAAGTATCCACAGCTCACATCATACTTAGTGGTGAGACACTGAAAGCTTTCACCCCCAGATCAGGAAAGAGACAAGGTTGCCCTCTTTCACCAGTGCTCTTCTAAGTTGTACTGGAAGTTCTAGCCGGAGCAGTGGGACAAGAAGAGAAAAAGCATCCAAATTGGAAAGGGAGAGGTAGAATTGTCTCTATCCACAGATGATATCATTCTGTATCTAGAAAATGCTAGAAAATCTGCAAGAAAGCTACTGTAACAGAGCCAACAAATGAATCACAATCGCAGGATATGAGATCCATACACAAGATTGAGTTGTGATTATGTACACCAGCAGTGAACAATCTGAAAAGAAAATTTCATTTCGTTTACCATTCTGTTCATAATAGCCTCTAAGAGAATCCAGTACCTGGGGATAAATTTAAAGAAGGAAGTGAAATACTTGTACATGATCTGTTTGTTACAAGTGAGTCACCAAGGACACCCCACATTGAAGGGGAGAGGAATCAGGCTCCACCTGTGGAAAAGAGAGCTATCAAAAAAGTTGTGAACATACTTTAATAAATTCCATCACTCCTGGAAAAGAGAGTGAGGGAGTTCTCTGGCATGCAGAAACTGCTCCCTATCTTCATCTGGGTAGCGATAACACAGGTGGAAAAAAAACATGTGTGAATTTTCACTAAAATAAGTGTTTCAGGGGCGCCTGGGTGGCGCAGTCGGTTAAGCGTCCGACTTCAGCCAGGTCACGATCTCGCGGTCCGTGAGTTCGAGCCCCGCATCAGGCTCTGGGCTGATGGCTCGGAGCCTGGAGCCTGTTTCCGATTCTGTGTCTCCCTCTCTCTCTGCCCCTCCCCCGTTCATGTTCTGTCTCTCTCTGTCCCAAAAATAAATAAAAACGTAGAAAAAAAAATTTAAAGTAAGTGTTTCAGATTGGTGTGCTTCGTGTGCGTAATACTTAAAATTTTAACAGGCTTAAGTCTGTTGATAACGTTCATACAGTAGTTCTGTTTACACTTTCATTCTTAATACCTACATTCTGTTAATGACTTCTCTCTCCTGGATATGAATTTATATGGGAAAATACCTTTGCCCACATGGATGTATAAAGGCAGTGATACAATGTATTGCAGCTTCTTTATTCAGTCTTTGGTTAACCACTTAAATCTTGAAGAATGACAAAACATTTTATTTTTGAAGTTAGAAAAGTTGTTTTATGGAAGAACTCTAAGCTACAAGTGTACTGACAAGGAATTTCTCTATACAGAGGCTGTTGGAAGCTGCCTGGGAGAAGTGGGTCCTGTAGACTTCTCGACGATAGCTATCCAGCATAGCAGAGATACATCTTCTACCAAGGCCCTGGAGTTCTTTGAAGATAAAGAACTTCAGTGGACCTTCCTAACGCTGACCTACCTGAATAATACGCTAGTAGAAGATTGGTGAGTATTTAATGATACTTTATATCTGATAGCACCTACCTTGTCCTATGTTCAAGGAGAATGATACTTTATATAAACAAACATCTCTCCTAACTAAACTTTTCCCCTGTAAGCTGCATACTTTTTTTTTTTTTAAGTTTATTTATTTATTTTGAGAGAGAGCATGTACACGTGCCGGGGAGGAGCAGAGAGAGAGAGAGAGAGAGAGAGAGAGAGAGAGAGAGAGAATCCCTGACATGGGGCTCGAACCCACATACCATGAGATCATGACCTGCGCCGAAGTCAAGAGCTGGACGCTCAGCCTACTGAGCCACCCAGGCATCCCATAAACTGCCATACTTGTAATCTCAGGTATTTTAATGAAAATTGGTGTATTTTTATTAATTCACGTAATCGCTGAAATCCTGCTAGGTGCCAGGCCCTGGATTCACTGGTGAGCACACCAGACTAGGTCCATGTTAAATTCTAGTGAGAGTAGACTAGAGAAACAGTAGGAAAAGTACCAGGTGGTTCTGTACAGAACATTAAAATAGAATTGCCAAAGAGGATGCTTGGGGCCCTTGTCAAGATCACAGGTGCTGCTCTCCTCTCATTTAGAGAATTATGATCCTTTTCCAGTAAGTTCTGGAACAGAAGCTTCCTAACTCCAACAGTCTTCAGCTTAGACAGAGTTTTCTTTTGCCCATTTATTCATTATGCGAAACAAAAGTGCCACACATATTATCCTGACTACTGCTTTGGTGGCTGTGAGTTCACTTTGGCTTTCTGTCTGCACACCCCTACCCCATTTATGTATCTATTTTTGGTGTATGTGAGCACCTCATCACCACCGTTTTGGGGAGGGTGGGTTCAGAGGAGTTTTGCCCACCACCAGACACCCTTCTAAGGTAATAAGGTGTCTTACCTGTGTTTGCCTGCAACTGGCCCACCTCTGAGAGAATAAATAACTGGCAGTAATGTCTACGTGACATGTTTTCATTGTTCATTTAATGGGCATGTATCTTTCTCTTTTCTTGTTACAATAAAAATGCTGACAGCATTTCTTTCTCAACATTTTATTTTAAAAATTTTCAGGCCTACAGAAAAGTTGAAAGAATTTTACAGCAAATACCCGTATACTCACCACCTAGATTCTACCCTTACTGTTTCACTGCTGTCTCTGCTTCATCACCTCAAGCCATCCTTCTATCCACTTAGTAATCCATCTCATTAGTCAAACTGTATTTCAAAGTGTATATGGCATAGTCGTTGAAGATGTTTCCACAGAAAATTGGCAGGCAGCATTCACTACATGGTAATTTGGAGTTGGCTCTTCTGAAAAGGGTGGGCAAAGATATTTAATGTGACTTAAACTGTAAAGCATAAGGAACCTCTTTGTGTAAGAGGAAACAAATCATTACGTTTGAGGGCCTCCAGTCTACCAAGGGAATGTTGACCAGAGGATTCTCCCAAGAGCTGGTCCTGGAAGGATTGTGTGAGACGTGTCATCCCGCTGATCACTGATGGGTGTGAGCGGGAATGAAGTGTGGGTGATAAGGGATGAAACATTCCAGACTGGGAGATAACTCCAGAGCGGGGAATTAGCGTGGTGTGTCTGGTGTAACAGAAAGAAGCCTGGTATGGAAGACGATGGTATGTTTGAAATTAAAAAGGTAGGACTAATTCTGATTAAGAAATTTGGATTATATTTGAAACATACATGAAAGCCATAGAGTTTTGAGCAGAGTAGTGTCAGGATGCAGCCTACTGTTTCACTCTGGCTTGTATGTGGCAGATGGCTTGTGGAGGGGAAACGGGAAGCCCAGTTCTGGAGCAGCTGGGGTGGTTCAGAGGGGAAATGATGGTGATTTGGGTTAGGGTGGTGGGGACAGAGGGCAGGTGGAACATTATTGGAGCCAAGGTGTGTTTTTAACGGAGAGCCGGCAGGACTTGCCTGTGAGTCGGGTGTGGAGCAGTGAGGGAGAGGGGATGAAAGGTGAGTCCAGGTTTAGGGTTTATGCTTCCACATCTTAAATTGAGAAACCCAGGAGGAACAAGCCTTTATTTCATGGCTCATCGCCAGTTTACAGGGTCAGGCTTTTGATGTTTTTGTCCACTTGTATTTTCAGCTTCTTGTATCACAGCCCTCCTTTTCCTAGTATTTTGCAAAGCAAAAGGACTTTCAGGGTTTTATTACAGGTTTCAGATGTCTTACCTCATGATTCTCAACTAGGTTCTGGTCAGAATACGTGTGTACTTACTGTTTGTTTAAATTGTTGCAGACTTGGGGCGCCTGGGTGCCTTTGTCAGCTAAATGTTGAGCTTTGGCTCAGGTCACGATCTCGTGGTTCGTGAGTTCGGGCCCCGTATCAGGCTCTGTGCTGACAGCTCAGAGCCTGGAGCCTGCTTCAGATTCTGTGTCTCCCTCTCTCTCTGCCCCTCCTCTGCTCACACACACACTCACTCTCAAAAATAAATAAACATTACAAGAAAATAAATAAAATTGTTCCAGACAATAATTTTATCATTTGAGGGAAAAGCTATTCTTTTTTGCCCAAATTATTTATATCTTTTAGATAAAGCACTATCAAAGTATTGTCTTCTCAGGTGAATTTGTATTCTGTGGTTCTCATTGCCCATATTTATTAGCCATTGTTATTTCCAAGTATTTCTTTTCCTGAGTACTTTTAATTTATAGCAGTCATAATGTAAACTTTATTGTAGTCATTGAAGGGAATTGCTGCAGTGATTAATAACTCAGGCTTACTGAAGGAATATTAAAAATTCACTGATAATTTTGGCTTTGATGCTGTAGAATTTTATAGGCGTAAACTTTCCTTATGTTAAAACTGCCTAACACAGTTGGCTTTTACAGTTTACAGTTGAACAACACAGAATTGAACTCTGCGGATCCACTTCTATGTGGATTTCTTTTGATAAACACAGCCCAGTACTCTAAATATATTTTCTCTTCCTTATGATTTTCTTAAAAACGTCTTTTTCCCAGCTTACTTCTTTGTAGAAATACAGTATATAACACAGAACATATAAAATATATGTTAATTGACTGTTTATGTTATCAGTAAGGCTTCTGGTCAATAGCAGGTTGTTAGTGGTTAAGTGTTGGGAGAGTCAAGAAATTTGGGGGATGCAAATTTTCGACTGTGGAGGGATCAGCACTCCTAACTCCTGTATTATTCAAGGACCAACTGTAATGTAAATTTACTTAAATTTTTTATTCGAGGTTACTTCATGACCATAGTTGATATAGTGTATAGGCATTTGAATTATATATGTTTTTCAGTGTCAAAGTGCGATCAGCTGCTGTTACCTGTTTGAAAAGCATCTTAGCCACAAAGACTGGACATACTTTCTGGGAGATTTATAAGACGACAACTGATCCCATGCTGATCTATCTACAGCCTTTTAGAACATCGAGAAAAAAGGTCTGTCAAATAGTGAATGTTTATTGAATACACACTGTCTAGAACAGTTGTATGTGCTGTGAGATATGACTGTCAAGTTTCTTAAGTAGCATTATACTAATGTTTAACCTTTCTCACAAGTAATTCCAGCTGTACTTCTTGAATCCAAGGGATTTGTTTTTAATTATAGCAGTGTGGAATAGTTGAGAGACAGAAGGCTCAACTTCAGATTGACACAGGGGATAGGAGGAGTTCTTAGTGATAGGCCTTTTTTCTTAGGAGTAGAAAACCCTTACGTTGATCCCTTGAAAGTCTTTGGTGTTGGGTGTGGTGTGTAGTGTAGGTATTGTGCAACAAGCAACAGTTTATTCCCAAAGGAAGTTAAAATAGCACCGTCCTTCGGGATAGAAGGAACATACTCAAACATCATAAAAGCCATATATGAAAGGCCCACAGCTAATATCATCCTCACTAGGGAAAAACTTTCCCCTCTCTCTCTGGGAGAGCTTTCTCCCTGAGATCAGGAACACGACAGGGATGTCCACTCTCACCACTCTTGTTTAACGTAGTGTTGGAAGCCCTAGCATCCGCAGTCAGACACCAAAATGAAATAAAAGGCATCCAAACTGGTAAAGAAGAAGTCCAACTTTCACTTTTCACAAATGACATGATTCTCTACATGGAAAACCCAACAGACTCCACCAAAAGTCTGCTAGAACTGATACATGAATTCAGCAAAGTTACAGGGTACAAAATCAATGTACAGAAATTGGTTGCATTTTTATACACCAATAATGAAGCAATGGAAAGAGAAATAAAGAGATCCCATTTACAATTGCACCAAGAACCATAAAATACCTAGGAATAAATCTAACCAAAGATGTAAAAGACTTGTATGCTGAAAACTATAGAAAGCTTATGAAGGAAATTGAAGAAGACACAAATGGAAAAATATTCCACGCTCCTGGATTGGAAGAAAAATATTGTTAAAATGTCAATACTACTCAAAGCAATCTACACATTCAGTGTAATCCCAATCAAAATTGCATCAGCATTCTTCTCAAAGCTAGAAGACACAATCCTAAAATTTGTATGGAGCCACAAAAGACCCCAAATAGCCAAAGTAATACTGAAGAAGAAAACCAAAGCAGGAGGCATCACAATCCCAGACTTTAGCCTCTACTACAAAGCTGTAATCATCAAGACAGTATGGTATTGGCACAAAAACAGACACATAGACCAATGGAATAGAATAGAGAACCCAGAACTGGACCCATAAATGTATGCCCAACAAATCTTTGGCAAAGCAAGAAAGAATATCCAATGGAAAAAAGACAGTCTTTTTGACAAATGGTGCTGGGAGAACTGGACAGCAACATGCAGAAGAATGAAACTAGACCACTTTCTTACACCATTCACAAAAATAAATTCAAAATGGATAGAGGACCTGAATGGGAGACAGGAAACCATCAAAACCCTAGAGGAGAAAACAGGCAACAACCTCTTTGACCTCAGTGCAGCAATTTCTTACTCAACACATCTCCAAAGGCAAGGGAGTTAAAAGTGAAAATGAACTGTTGGGACCTCATGAAGATAAAAAGCTGCACAGCAAAGGAAACAATCAACAGAACTAAAAGGCAACCATGGAATGGGAAAAGATATTTGCAAACAACTTATTGGATAAAGGGCTGGTATCCAAAATCTCGGGTGCCTGGGTGGCGCAGTCGGTTAAGCGTCCGACTTCAGCCAGGTCACGATCTCGCGGTCCGTGAGTTCGAGCCCCGCGTGGGGCTCTGGGCTGATGGCTCAGAGCCTGGAGCCTGTTTCTGATTCTGTGTCTCCCTCTCTCTCTGCCCCTCGCCCGTTCATGCTCTGTCTCTCTCTGTCCCAAAAATAAATAAACGTTGGAAAAAAAATTTTTTTTAATAAAAAAAAAAAAAAAACAAAATCTATAAAGAACTCACTAAACTCACACCTGAAAAACAAATAATCCAGTGAAGAAATGGGCAGATGACATGAATAGACACTTTTCTAAAGAGGACATCCAAATGACCAACAGACACATGAAAAGATGCTCAATGTCATTCATCTTCAGGGAAATATAAAGCAAAGCCACACTGAGATACCACCTCACGCCAGTCAGAGTGGCTAAAATGAACAAATACAGGAGACTATAGATGCTGGTGAGGATGTGGAGAAACGGGAACCCTCTTGCACTGTTGGTGGGAATGCAAACTGGTGCAGCCGCTCTGGAAAACAGTGTGGAAGTTCCTTAAAAATTAAAAATAGAACTACCCTACGACCCAGGAATAGCACTGCTAGGAATTTACCCAAGGGATACAGGAGTGCTGACACATAGGGGCACTTGTACCCCAATGTTTATAGCAGCACTTTCAACAATAGCCAAATTATGGAAAGAGCCCAAATGTCCATCAACTGATGAGTGGATAAAGAAGTGGTTTATATGTACAATGGAATACTACTTGGCAATGAGAAAGAGTGAAATCTGGCCATTTGCAGCAACATGGATGGAACTGGAGGGTATTATCCTAAGGGAAATAAGTCAGTCAGAGAAAAGACAGATACCATGTTTTCACTCTTATGTGGATCCTGAGAAACTTAACAGAAGACCATGGGGGAGGGGAAGGGGAAAAAAAATTACAGAGAGGGAGGAAAGCAAACCATGAAAGACTCTTAAATACTGAGAACAAACTAAGGGCAGATGTGGGGTGAGGGAGAGGGGAAAGTGGGTGATGGTCATTGAGGAGGGCACCTGTTGGGGTGAGCACTGAGTGTTGTATGGAAACCAATTTGACAGTAAATTACATATGTTAAAAAAAAAAAAAAAAAGCACCATCTGTAGTGAAATACAAGATGACCTATAGATTTCTGCTTTGTCCACGGTAATAACCATTGCAAGGTTCTACTGGAAGTAAATACATAAGAACTCTTCCTTCTCTTTTAGTCTAAACTTTCCTCTTTAGTATTTTCTTTTCATAAAGCATCTGGGAAATACACAATAGAATTTTCACCAAATTAACTTAAGGACATATACCCATTATTGTGATAGTCTTTTTAATAGATCATCAATACAGTTTTGGTCTCAGTGAAATTACTGGTAATATAAAGTATTAATAAAACCAGTCATCTAAGCTATAAAACACTGTAGTTTTAACATTTTGAGAACTGATTTGATCTTGAAATCATTTCTGTGTGGTGGACCCTGACTGGTTCTGTCCACAACACAGGTGCTGCAGAGAGTTTGTGATTCATGTAACACACTAGTGTGCTCAGGTTCGAACTCATGCATCCTGCTGTGTAGACCAGTAACTTTTTGGCATACCACTCTGCCATTCATGTAAACATAAATGTATTTTAATTTTAAAATGTACCCATTGCTTCCAGATTTAGTTTTTAACTGTAGTTTGGTTTGGAAACAGATTTATGTCTGGATATTTGTTCTGCATAAGAAAGATAGAATGTATTTCTAATTGCCTTACTTACATGTGTTGACTGTTTTCTTTCTAGTTTTTAGAAGTACCCAGACTGGACAAAGAAAGTCCTTTAGAAGGCCTGGATGATACGAGCCTGTGGACTCCTCAAAGTGGAAATCATGACAGTTGGATAAAGAGGCTGACTTGTGCATTTTTGGATAGTGGAGGCACAAAGAGTGAAATTCTTCAATTATTAAAGCCAATGTGTGAAGTAAGATTAGTTAGTCTGACTTAATTACTCCCTTCCTACCTTTGCCGTTTTTATTTGAGCCTTCTCTTAATAGCTTTCGTGGCTGGTCACGTCCCGTTCGGCTTCTGTGTACACGATTCTGGTCTGCAGATATGTGGTACTCACATCATCTCCATGGAGCGTCATCTCCATGGAGCAGTGCCCGCGCTCGGCTGTTGGGAACCCATTGCACGGACGTGTTTAAATATTTAGCTATAACTTTGTGCAATCGGTTTCTCCTATGGGCTAGCTACCTCCTAGATGAGCTCTGAAGGGTGCCACTAATGATAGTTAAAATACGGATGGTTGTAAATTATTTATATGAACCAAAAGTCTGCTTTTTTGTTAGTTTACTTTTTTTTTAAAGGTGTTTGTGATTCTCTTTCCCTGGTATATACTTTCTTGAGTGAGAAAAAGAACTAGGGTAGCAGTTAGCATTGCTTTTATTTTTGAAGGTACAGTACAGTTAATTTCAATAGAGAATAAAGGTACATACCCAATTAAACACGAACTTTGTGTGCTTTTATCAAGTGTGCCAAACAGTACAATATCATGATGCTCTAAGGCTTCAAAAGCTGCATGATTCAATAGCAGTGTGAAAACAGAGTATCTGACTGGTTCAGACATCTGCCAGTTCAAAGTACTGATAGAGAAATGAGTATTTTGGTAAAGTGCCCTGATTGAAAGCAATTTAAAAAACGGTCCTTACTTCTACAGAAAAACTGTTGGCAGTGAATAAATTCTCACACTCTCTGCATTACTACGTAGCATTTGTGCTAAGTCAGCATGGTGATAACCCTGGACACACACACACACATTGCATTTCCCATTAGTGAACATACCTGAGATTTTTTATAAAGTCCTGACTTTGGGTCACAAGATAAAATATTCCAAATATACATAGAGACAACACCCCAGCTCCATAAATATAGAGATATAAATTCTTTATTTCTAAAACTGCCAATTTGATTTGTCTTTAGTCTAAAAGGAAAAGATAAAGTGTGCATTTGGTAATCTATCATTTGTTTTGTGTGTGTAGTATGTGATGAATAATGAAGAGAGTGCCTTGACAAACATAAGGTTGTATGCTGTTTCAGTGTATCACGGGTATTAAAGTACTTATCTGTACTTTGGAGTAGATCACAAACAAGTACCCACATCATATACCCATAAATTGGAGTTTATTAAAATAAGAAACATTTTAACATGACTGTTATAGCTTTTCACTGAGTGTAGAAAATGTACAAACATCAGCTTTCCAGCTTTTTTCTTTAACTTCAATCCCCATTTTCCTTTATAACAAATTAGAAAGCTGCTGTATTTTTTCTAACTTTTTTAATGTTAATTTATTTTTAAGAGAGAGAGAGTGAGAGGGAAGGGGCAGAGAGAGAGGGAGACACAGAATCTGAAGCAGGCTCCAGGCTCTGAGCTGTCAGCGTAGAGCCCAATGTGGGGCTCGAACTCACGAACGATGAAATCATGGCCTGAGCCAAAGTCGGACACTTAACCGACTGAGCTATCCAGGTGCCCTGAAAGATGCTTGTTATTAGCAACACTTGTCAACAATGAAATTTTATTTGCTGTAGTGACCTAATAATTTCACTCGTAAGCAGTATCCTGTTTCATTGCATGCAGGTGGCCCAGGTCGGAAATGAACAGTTGTCATGTAATTGACACATATGTTTGACATAGATACTCTAGATTAGTTTGATTTGTTTAAGCACTGCCTGATACATGTATTTTGGTTGTGTTTTAGAGGTACGTTGAGTTCATGGCAGATTGATTTTTTTTTTTTAAGTCTAATATGCCAGTAATGGATTGAAAATTTTAAGTACATTATTTTCACTCAAACTCTTGATGTGATATGCTTGTATATTTTAGGTGAAAACTGACTTTTGTCAGACTGTGCTTCCATACTTGATTCATGATATTTTACTCCAAGATACAAATGAATCATGGAGAACTCTGCTGTCTACACACATTCAGGGATTTTTCACTAACTGTTTCAGACACTCCTCACAAACGAGCCGATCCACAACCCCTGCAAATTTGGATTCAGGTATTCTGTTCAATTTCTAGCATTTATACTTTAACTTCTCAGTTCTAGAGAAAGGTGGATTTGTTTGAATCCCTTCAGGATGCTTTATTGGCTTAATTCCATAGCATCTAAATAACTATTTCCTCATCTGTAGAATGGAGATGAAGGTTGTAGCCAGTTTTCAATGAGATAACATATAAAGCACCTGGGATAACACTTGATGCACAGTACTCCCTCAGAAAGTTGTGGCTTTTCATAAGGGAGCAACTAACTGAGCATTTGGTGTGTGTCAGGGACTAGGCTTGGCACGGACACCAGCCACACTGAGAAGACGCCCTACAGTCTAGCAGTGGAAAAAGCAGGCTAATAAATGCAAGCAAATGTTAGGAGTACCATGTTGGAAAGATGATGAAATGTTCATGCTAAAGCTCTGGCCCCGACTCATTTGTTTGAAAACAACCCTTTTTATTACCAAATATTTATTGTGGAAAATAGAAATGAGCAGAAATTAAAAAATCAAGTTGCCCATAATTCCGTGATCAAGGGTAACAACCATTCACATGTGGTACATATCCTTGGAGTTTTTGTAAACAAAAATTAGATTATACTTCATTTGATCACATAACCTCCTTTCTTTTCATGCTTTATAATAAGTGTTTCCCATGGTAAGAGCTTATAGTGGGAGAAATTCCACCGGGAACAGGAGCACTGTATTATGGGGGTATATAACATATATATATATATATATATATATATATACACACACACACACACATACATATATATATGCATAGTTGAGGGCTCCTTCTGGGTCAGGTTTTCAAACCTAAGATTAAATAAAGGCAAAACAAATCACAAATCTGTAATGGTAACTTATTGTCTTTAACGTGTCATTAACGTATTTTATGTGCAAACACAAAACCAGGTGCAAATTCACTTGGTGTACTGGAGACCAGTGCAGTTCTAAGAGAAGGACCGATTTACGTGCTGTTTTGCTGCAACTGAGTTGCTCTTCCCAGTCTTGATACGGTTCTAGTCACTTTGGCAGAAGCTGTGACTTGTCCCACTCGTTTCTTTACTGCTAAAACCTTCGACACGACTGAGGTGTCACTTAGGCTTATGTTTCACCCCTACCATGTGAAATAATCTAATTATAAACCTAGTCCTGGGAGCTCACTCTGTCGTCTGAGCAGATTATACATTGTCATGTAAATGACCCAAAACATTCTTACATGAATTGTCTTCAGATTATTGCAATGAAATTCATGAAATAATTCTTGTAGAGACTTTGCAAACTAAACTGTGTCTCCTGTCCTTAATTTGGGAAATATGGTGTAAGTGATTCAATTACCAGTAAGCGTTTAAACTTTATTTATTTATTTATTTATTTATTTATTTATTTATTTATTTTTAAATGTTTATTTGTTTTTGAGAGAGAGAGAGACAGAGCATGAGCAGGGGAGGGGCAGAGAGAGAGGGAGACACAGAATCTGAAGCAGGCTCCAGGCTCCAAGCTGTCAGCACAGAGCACGAAGCGGGGCTCGAACTCAGGAACTGTGAGATCCATGACCTGAGCCAAAGTCAGAAGCTTAACCCACTGAGCTACACAGGCGCCCCTAAACTTTAAATGTTAAAATAATTTAAAGTTCTGTTAAAGACGATTTTATTACCAACTTTAATGTAATCATTGCTTGTGATGACCTGGCAGTTCATTATCATGAACATGATAATTGTTTTCATATTTATCCTATATACATACATGTGTATATATGTATATGTGTCCTATCACCATTCGTTGGTAGAAATCTGCCCATTTTATTTTATCTCTGTGTAAAGTGCCAGTATCTGTGACCATAAATGAAAATTTAAATTTCACCTGTAGAAATCTGTTGTTTACAAGGAAGGTAAATACACATTTCCATCAGATCTGATGTCTGTAAGTCTCCCTGACCTCACTTGATTGTGTCCGGTGCACCTTGGACTCGCTTCTCCAGAGTAAACTTGCCATCTTCCTCCTATCCCCTCCCCTCGGCCTCTCCGACCATGCATCTTGTCAGTGAAGGGCACCCACTTAGACCTCTCTCATGTTCACCTGACTGCCAGGTCCTGCCACTTCTGTGTTATAAATCCTTCTAGTCCCTCTGTGTCTGCCCCCAGCATCCTTGCTGCTATCAGCACAACTGAAATTCTTACAGTGAGTTCCTGTTGCAGCCGCCGTAGGTGGTGGTTTCTGTTGCCTGGGACAGTCTGCCACTCTTCCATTGGATACCCCTTTCTCTGTGAACCTTTCCTTGTTTAGGTTCCATCCTTTGTGCCTGTCCACTCTCTACTTCCCTGTCACATCCTCATCACACAGAGGTGAGACTCTCAGGCAAGCCAGTGACTTCTGTGTGCACAAAAACAGTCTCTCTTATTCAGAGTTGTATCCCAACTGCCCAGTACATAAAAGACCCTCGGTAAGTATTTACTGAGCCAGTGAATTAGCCCCCTTCAGAAATAAAATATAAATTGTAATTAAATTCTCAGTTTTATTAATAAGCACAGTTTCTTGTAAAAGTAAGAAATGCCATTAAGTTCTTATCAATTCATACTTATTTTTTTTTTAATTTTTTTTTCAACGTTTTTATTTATTTTTGGGACAGAGAGAGACAGAGCATGAACGGGGGAGGGGCAGAGAGAGAGGGAGACACAGAATCGGAAACAGGCTCCAGGCTCTGAGCCATCAGCCCAGAGCCCGACGCGGGGCTCGAACCCACGGACCGCGAGATCGTGACCTGGCTGAAGTCGGACGCTTAACCGACTGTGCCACCCAGGCGCCCCTCGATTCATACTTATTAAGAACCAGTTTTGTGCCAGGTGACTGCCCACCAGAAGCTTAGAGTGTAGAGGGAGACAGACGCACGCCCAGAAGGAAGGATGCCCTTAAGCAAGTGTGCCCAGACTAAGGGGAGCTGTCTTTCTTTGTCAGACTCAGAGCACTTTTTCCGATGCTGTGTGGATAAAAAGTCCCAGAGGACCATGCTTGCTGTTGTGGACTACATGAGGAGACAAAGGAGGTAATGGAGTGAACATGGCTTTTGGGGTTTGGGGACTTAGAAGGGTCACTTGTTACTGCCGGCTGCATTGTCACGTTCGCTGAGGTGGTGCTCTTTCCAAGGTGCTGTATGTACTTTGTGTGATGCTTCTATCTTCTTGAAATAACCCATATTCAGGTGGCACTTTGGTTAAATCAGCGCCGGGAACTTCATGAAAGTTTCTTGGCTGTGCATTGTGGTCCTCAAAATGTACGGTTCCGTGGAGTAAGACTGCCAGGGAAGTGTTTGTTTCCTTGATTGTGAGAACTCGTTGTACTAGTGTCTTGTTCCTGTTACTCGTCAGGAGGTTTTTGCCCGTGAGGGCAGGAACTGCGAGCGAGAGGTCTCATTGATCTCTACTGCTCCGGAGTAGAGAATTCTGAAGAAACAATGTAGCAGGCCTGCAGCTTGGATAGGTAGGAAGTGGCGTCTTATGTGCGTGTATGCTGGTGGCGGCAGTGGTTGACGAAGGGTGGGAAGGAGAGTAGGGGAGGAGTGCAAAATCCCTAAATGCCTTTACGTTTTCAAATGAATTCCTCTTTGTCCCCCGCATACCATCCCGCACCGCTCTTAGAAATGTTAGGGTTTCAGTATGTTTCCAATTAGAAAGTTACCGATACGCTGTATTGTCGCGTAGAGATCCTTTCCTGAGAAAGCCCATAAAAAGCTGTAGCTGTAGCCAGAAGCACGTTATTTCTTGGGGCTGGGAGTCCGTTTCACCTCTGAATTGTTCAGTGCAGATTCGTCATCAAGGTAGAGTGGTGTTGACATTCCAGTCCTTGGAAAAGATAAACATTCTTCACATTTAGTTTTCATTCTGAATAAGCTGTACGGAAGATTCCTTGAGAGAATATGAACAGAACAAAGGAATGTAAAGGACCTCAGTTTATGTCCGATTCTGGTGCTTAGAAGCTTTGTGATCTCTGAACTTCAGGTTCCTCAGCCACAGGGTTTTTTTGTTGTTTGGTGTTTTTGTTTTTTATTTTAGAGAGAGAGAGCACATGCAAGTGGGGGAGGGGCACAGGTGGGGAGAGAGAGGGCAAGTGGGAGCAGGGGAGGGGCGGAGACTGAGGGAGAGAGAAAATCCCAAGCAGGCTCCCCACTCAGCCGACTGAGCCACCCAGGCGCCCCTCCGTAGCTACAGTTAAGCGTCAGTTCTGTGATAGGCACTGTATTCATCAGCCTGATACGTGTTATTTAATCATTGCAAATTCCGTGGAAGATGGCTATTGTTCCCCGGTTTTACAAATGAGAAAATTAAACCTTCAGAATCGAAGTTGTTGAAGGTGATATATCTTGTAGTGGGTGGTCCAACTGGACTTGAACCAGGCCATATGCTGGTCTAAAACCAGTGTTATTACCCACTACCTTGTCGCATTTCATTTATAATGCTGGTTTTAAAAGAGATAGATGATTGCTTCTGATTGTGACCCACTGTTACTCCCAGAAGGTTTCTAAGTAACTTAGGCGAAAAAACAAAGAGAAAACGGACTGCATTAGGAAAAACATGTACTTGTGTTTTGAAGAAACAGTATTTCCATTAAATTGGCCACTTTTTAAAAAAGATTTCTGTAGGTGTTATTGGGTATTCTGTGCAGCCTACCCTTAGCCTGAGTCCATAGACCCCTTGATGGAGGGTAGGTGTGAACCCCAAATTTGTATGAGCTCTGATGATCCATAGCTTTCCTCAGATTCCATACGAGGTTTGTGATCCGAAAGGGGTCAGATAGGGCTCTTCAGCCGTAGTATGTTAACATGTTTACAGCTGTATGTTGGGGACATGCGGTTTTTGGCTATTTGCATCTAATTTTGTTTTTAACGCTTGCTACCGTTGTGTTCTATATCAGCATACTCTTATTTTGATATTGAAGTTAAAGAAATGGACATGACTTGATGTTAAGTTTTTCCTTAGACCTTCCTTAGGAACCGTTTTTGATGATGCTTTCTGGCTGGAGTTGAATTACCTGGAGGTTGCTAAGGTGGCTCAGTCTTGTGCTGCTCACTTTACAGCATTGCTCTATGCGGAAATTTATGCAGATAAGAAAAGCACAGATGACCAGGAGAAAAGGTAATGGAATTTAGACACTTGGCTTTTAAAATCAGTGTTGACATTGTTTCAGTAAAGGTATGTATTTTATTTTGCTCCCTTTCCCCCATTTAAAAGACATTTTAGATAGAAGTTTTCTATTAAAGTGAAATAATATTTTAAAAGATATAAATAATTCTGCTCTGAAATAAAACAGATGTTTATTCCTTAAGAATTGTATAAATTCTACATAGCAAACTCCTTATTCATCTCTCTGTTCCCCATAGCGGTAGCATTGGGAATTTAATAGAAGTGATCAATAAATGGTTTTCAGATGATTGAGTGATTGCTTGATTTTAGTGAAATTACTTTTACCACTAATCCCCCAGCTTGTTCAAGGTCCATTTTCCTTGTTTATTATAAAGTAATGTACTGATTTCTTTCTGTGACTCAATTACTTTCATTACTTTGCTATCTACCTGTATTTCTACCAACTTAATTAACTTGTCCTCTGAGTTAGAATTCTGATAGGAGTTGAATAGGTGTTGTCCTAGATCTTAGTGAAAAACAAGAAAGCAAGGAGGTTAAAGAGTAGAGAATGCACACTGTATTATCCCAGCTGCACTCGTGAGATCTTACTCATTTGAAGTAGCCTAGTGTTTATTTTTCTTCTTAGCCTCATTTTCCCACCACAGAATCACTCCTATTACAGAATTGCAGTGGCAAAGATATAATATGTTGCTATATTTCTCATGCTTGCTACTTAACGATTTCTACCTTGGACTGTCCTTAAGCTGGAAACAGTGTGGTTTTTAGACTGTGGAAAACCAGTAGCCAGAATTCAGATCCTCGTCCAAACATAAATGAGTTACTTGGACTGATTTCTTAAGTCTCTGGTTTGGTATTTAATTTCTCCTTTTCAAATGAAAACAAAAATCTATGATATGTAGATACTATGTATAATATGTAATTGGTTCATCATCACTGTAGACTGTATGAAGACAGTTATGTTCGTTAAATATGTTATGAGTAAGAAATGGATCATTGCCCATTCTTAGAGACTTAACATTTGAATCAGGGTCTACATACTTGGCAGTAGTAATTATGATCTGAATGTGTTTCAGTATCTGGTTTCGTTGTGTATTTCTTTCTAATTAGTATTTCTTCTAATTAGTATTTCTTTCTAATCGGGAGTGAATACACTTGTCTAGTAGTATAATGTTTATTTTTGAGAGACAGAGCATGAGTGGGGGAGGGGCTGAGAGGGAGAGGGAGACACAGAATCCGAAGCAGGCTCCGGGCTCTGAGCCGTCAGCACACAGCCTGACGTGGGGCTCCAACTCAACAACTGCGAAATCATGACCTGAGCCGAAGTCGGACGCTTAACAGACTGAGCCACCCAGGCACCACTCGTCTATGAGTGTAAATAAAATCACCTTAATTTGTAGATAGGTGATTGGATAGAATTTGGCAAACTTTTGCAGAATTGTTTAACAAGCAGGAGGCCCGGATTTTGATTTGGTTAACTTTAGGAACAAGTCCTTGACAGAGAAGGCTTGCAATTTGCTTTTACAGTTTGGTTTTGATTTTTGATTTTTTCCCCAAGTGCCTGATGGGACGGGAAGGGCAGACAGAGGGATGAGCTTGACGGAGGGTAGGGAACGCTGGTTTTCTTCAGTGACTCAGTCAGGTACCATAAAGTTTTGTTAACTTGCTCCTGAGAACATACGAGATTTCAAAGCTAGTGTCCATAATTTTTCAGAAAGAAGTGTAAAACTCCCTCAGATAGATTTAGGCCAAAGGTGTTCATTCGCAACCTCGGTTATGTGAGTGTCACTGGTACTTGAGGCAGCGTCTGCCAGGTCCTGGCGGCTCTGTTTTTCCTGGATTAATTACAGCCTTAGACGGACAAAGTTACAGCCTCTAGTACCGTCTCCCCTGCTCTCCAAATTTCTCCTCTGAAAACTGTCTTCTGCATGACCTGCCAGTAAGGAAAATAGATGTAGTAGCTACACATAAATTGGATGTCGTCGCTACTCTTCTGTCAGGCAGCAGTCTCCTGTGTCCCATCCCTCTGTCTTCCCTCCGGGAGGTGAACATGAGCTCGTGTTTTGTGTTCATTCTTACAGGTGCTGTTTCTATCCTAGGAGCATGAATACATAAATATAGTTTAGTCTTCCTCATTTTTGAGCTTCACGACAAATTACGTGTGTGCTTTTCTAGAACTTGTTTCTCCGTTCGGTGTCTTTGTAAGATTTATCTATGTCGTGTGTTGCTGTGGTCAGTACTTTGTCACTGCCACTGCGTGTCCCAGCGGGGGGCAGTGCACCACGATTCGTTTCCTCCTTCCCCGGTTCAGGATCTGTGTCTAAGGGGAAAACTACTGGGCTGCAGGGGATACAGAAGTTCAGCCTTGCCAAGATAGTGCCAGATTGTTTCTGAAAGTGGTCACAGCCATTTGCATACTTGTCAGAAGTGGAGTTGTGGGAGTGGATCCGTAGAAAGCCTTACGTTTGAAGGAGGGAGCCAAACAGGAATCAATTGATAAGTAATAACAGAGGCACTCCCACTTAGGTTACTATTGATTTTATACATGGGATAATTATTGTCACCAACTTTATAGCTGACACGACTTGGGAGTTGAAATTATCTGATGGGACTGAATATGCTGTATGTACGTGCAGGGCTGAAAGCTGAGGCCTTGGGGTACCCAGATCTGTGCCTCCATCCTGTCACTTAGTGGTTTTATAACCTTGGGTGGGTGGATCCCCCCCATGCCCCTCTTTGTGAACACTTAGTATTATCATACTTCCTAATTTTTACCGATTTATCGCTTGTTATGTGGTGTCTCGGTGTGGTCTTGTGTGCCCGTGATTATTAATGAGGTTGAACTTCGGGTAAAACCCCTGACAAAACATTAGAAGTTGGAGAGCATTTATTTTTAAACAGGCCTGGCCCTATAAATAAGCACACTTTGACATACGGCCTTCCTGTCTATGAGATTGTCATTAATATTTGATAATCATGAGAAGAATTAATATTCACAATTTTTTTCCATTCTAGGTGTGAGTCGTATTACATTTTAAAGTATAAATGGTTCATTATGTTTTATCTGTGACCTTGGTTAGTTTTTCTCATTCAAGGCTATAGTGTGTGTGTGTTAGTAAGCTTCACAATAGTATATTTTCATTAAAAGATGTGCTCTTGTGACAAACAGAAGCCTTATGTTTGAAGAAGCAAGCCAAAATACAACGATTTCTAGTTTGAGTGAAAAAAGTAAAGAAGAAACTGGAATAAGTTTACAGGTAAATATTACAGAGACCTTATTATTTGTGATACTATTTATTTTGTATTATTATTTTATTATAGAGATGCTAGAGATGTCATTTGATTTTCAGACTGACGTTACTGTTTGGGCTGAGTGTCCTGTACGTAAGCTCACGGTCTGAACGTTAGGCCTTGGGGTGGACAGAGTTGAGTTCTAATCCTGACTCTGCCACTTGTAGAATCTTGTGCAGATTACTCCCCCTTTCCAACCTTGAGTTCCTTCATCTGACACTTGGAAGTAAAACCAGCTATCTCATACAGCACATTTATACCACAGATTTTTCTGCCACAGTAGCCTGTCTTTTTTCTTTATAGAATTTAACATTTATAATCATATATTCATTTGTTTACTTGTTTACTGTATGTCACATCGCAGGGCCGATTCCTTCTATAAATTTTTTTTTAACGTTTATGTATTTAGAGAAAGAGAGAGAATCCCAAACAGGCTCCACACTGTCAGCACAGAGCCCAACATAGGGCTCGATCCCATGAACTATGAGGTCGTGACCTCAGCTGAAACAAAGAGTTGGACACTTAACCGACTGAGCCCCCCAGGAACCCCTTCTATAAATCTCTTCATGTCTACTCCTAAGTTGGCCATTCTCACTGAATTTCTTTGGTCGGCTCAGTCCTCTGAAATGACCGTTTCTACCTCTCCACTTTGTCTCTTCCCTTTTGCTTGTAGCTTGCCTCCTGCTTCTCGAAGAAAACCGGGGAGGTAGAGACGAAGTCCCAGCACATCTCCCCATCAAACACGAAATCCCCCTGCATCGCTCAGTGTAACCTTTCCTGTTGTTAAAGTGGAGAAACACTTTCTCCTTCTAGTCAACACAGTCCTTCCCGTGCTTCGTTGTTTATGAGTTCTTTCTCAGAACAGTTACTCTTCTCTGTGCTCTGCTCCCTCTGGAGGTGTCCAGACGTTGTCACACTTCTGTTCAAGTCATTCCCCTGCACGGGTGCGTGGCTGGCTCAGTTGGTAGAGCTGTGACTGTTGATCTCAGGGTCGTGGGATCAGGCCCCACTTTGGGCATGGAGCCTACTTAAAAATAAAGTCATTTCCGGGGTGCCTGGTTGGCTCTATTGGTTAAGTGTCCGACTTTGGCTCAGGTCATGATCTCGCAGTCTGTGGGTTCGAGCCCTGCGTCGGGTTCTCTGCTGACAGCTCAAAGCCTGGAGCCTGCTTTGGATTCTGTGTCTCCCTGTCTGCCCCTGCCCAGCTCACTCTCTGTCTCTCTCTGTCTCTGTCTGTCTCTCTCTCTCTCTCTCTCAAAAATAAATAAATATTAAAAAAAATAAAAATAAGTCATTTCTCTCTTCTGTCACCCTTTCTGGCCTCCTTTTCCTTAACAGCTGGACTTGTGAAAGACTAGCCTCCTCCCAGAAGCAGCACTTGCTCGTGGGCCCTGTGAACTTTGTGTTACTAGCATGGGGGTCGCCTTCCTTTCAGCATCTTCTCTGATGTTTCACTAACCCTTAGCGCCATTAGCCTCCCCTGGCGTCTTGTATGTTCTCTGCTGTTGGTCCCATTCTCCTTTCTCTTTTCCATTTGTGCTTTTCTATAGTTTTACCCTCTTTTGCTGAGTTTTTGCAGTATTTTCTGTGCTAGGCTGGCTACTGCGCTAAGCTGGGTACTGAGCATTCCAGCACCAAGGGCTCAATTTCACGTTCATGAATAGAAACCGTTTCATTAGAATTCGAACTGCAGGGGCGCCTGGGAGGCTCAGTCGGTTGAGTGTCCGACTTCAGCTCAGGTCATGTTCTTACAGTTCGTGGGTCTGAGCCCCGCGCTGGGCTCTGTGTTGATGGCTCAGAGCCTGGAGCCTGCTTTGGATTCTGTCTCCCCCTCTCTCTCTGCCCCTCCCCAACTCACACTTGTGCTATCAAGAATAAATAAACATTAACAAAAAAAAAAAAAAAGAATCAGAATTACAGACTTAGCCAGTATCCATGAAGTTGTATTTAGTAAATATTTCCCAGAGCAAGCACCATTAAGCAGTAAAATTGCTTGATTGGTTTTCTGTGCAGACGTTTCTAGCTTTTCCAGTCTTCTGTTGTCTTTCTGTTTTCATTTTTATTTTACTGAGATGGTTTTAAACAGAACCCATCCTGTGTACATTTTACAACAAAGATTGGAGTCATCAGGCTGCTTCTTTATCCTTACTTTGTTTTACCAATTGTAACATAATTCAGTTTTGAGTTTTCTTTGAAAGAAAAGTTCATGACCTTTATTTTTACTACATTCAGTTTCCTAGAGTCAGACTTTGCAGATGTCATTTTCCTGTGTCCATTTTTAGCTGTTGATAGGATTCTTTTTGTTTTAATGATTACTTATGCATGTGTTTGAAAGCCTGATAAACTGAGGTTGATTTCTTATTTAATGCATGAAATTGTGAGCACTTCTTTTCAGGGAGTCATTCTGTTGTCTGGGATCAGTTTGTTGTGTTGCCGATTCACATCTTTGGTATACATTTCCATATCACTATCTTTTACGTTTATGACAATAATGTGTAGTTGGGAGACATGTTGGTAATGATATAATTTCCAATTTGTTGAATTCATAAAGTGGTATTTTTCCCATCTCCAATTTTCGTTGCTGCTCTGTTTTTAGGATCTGCTCTTAGAAATCTATAGAAGTATCGGAGAGCCAGATAGCCTGTATGGCTGTGGTGGGGGGAAGATGCTCCAGCCCCTTACCAGGTAAAACCCGTGCTTCTGGATGGCGGGATGGTAATTCTGTCTGTGAAGGAGCCACACGCAGGTAGAACTCACAGGTACCTTGGGAATCTGTAATTACAGGCTGCGAACGTACGAGCATGAAGCCATGTGGGGGAAAGCCCTGGTGACATATGACCTTGAGACGGCAATCTCCTCATCCACCCGCCAGGGAGGAATCATCCAGGTGAGTTCTCTTCTGCTCTGGTGAAGTCCCGTGTCGCGTGAGGGGATTTCAGTACATGGGTGGCGTCTTCAGCCGGCCACGTAAACTCTGGACACGGGCATTGGGGTCAAAACCCAGAGGGTCACTGACCTGAAAGGTGGTGTGGGTTTGTTGATCACAGTCTCGTTAGCCAGCAGAAGACATTTCTCGCCAGCACGCAGTGTGGCAGGTCATGGATTACATCCTTTCCGTGGAAAGCCTCACGTAAACTCTTGCTCGTAGTCTGTATGTCAGGTGGTCCGGAGGCTGTCATCTGTGCTGCTGGCTGGCGCCCCTCAGCCGGGCTTCAGTCTCTGTCTTTATGTTTCGGGGAGAGCAAACGAAATGGTACTTGGGGACGTTCAGTGATGGTGTTGTGAAAGTTACTTCTCATGTTTTGTTGTTTTTTAATGTTTATTTTTGAGAGAGAGAGAGAGAGAGAGTGAGCAAGCATGGGAGGGGGCAGAGAGAGAGGGAGACAGAGGATCTGAAGCAGGCTCCTGAGGGTGGAGAGTTCAGTGCGGGGCTTGAACTCACAAGCCATGAGATCATGACCTGAGCTGAAGCTGGTTGCTGAACCGACTGAGCCCCCCAGGCGCCCCTACTTTTCATGTTTGGCCATTATTTTTTCGCTAGTTTTATTATCTTTGACTACTTTTTTTTTTTTTTTTTAACTCCTGCTTAGGCCCTGCAGAATTTGGGACTCTGCCATATCCTTTCCGTCTATTTAAAAGGATTAGACCTTGGAAATAAAGAGTGGTGTGCAGAGCTGCAGGAGCTCTGTTACCAAGCAGCGTGGAGGAATATGCAGTGGGACCACTGTGTTTCTGCCAAGTAAGAGCTTGGACATTTTCTTCTGGTTGTAACTGATGAGCTGTTTTTATTCTTTTTTAAGTTTATATATTTATTTTGAGTGAGAGAAAGGGAAAGAGAGAGCGTGCATAAGCAGGGGAGGGGCAGAGAGACAAGGAAAGGGAGAGAGAATCCTAAGCAGGCTTCGTGCTGACAGTACAGAGCCTGACGCAGGGCTCGAACTCATGAACCGTGAGACTGTGACCTGACTCAAAATCAGGAGTCAGATGCTTAACGGACTGAGCCACCCAGGCACCCCTATAATGAACTGTTTTTAAACTTACTCTGTGAGCATAACAAGAGTTGGGGGGTTTCTCATGTTTTGTACATGCTGCAGGCTATAGAGATGCCCGAGTGGCTTAAACATGACAGCAGTAAGCAGTTCACATACCTGGGTTGAGTTACACCCTCTAATTCCATCAGGGCATCCCCCCCCGCTCCCACCCCCACCCCCCCGCCTGCTGCCAGACATACTTGAAAATAGAAATGTAAAATGTTTTTTCTCCTGAGAATCTTCTCATTGATTGTTTATGAACCCAAAGAGAAGTATAGCCTTTCCGCTTCCCAGTCCCCCCCGCGGTCAGGTAGCACCATCGCGGCTGGACAGCACTCCTAAGACTGCTTATCTTTAGCGATGGGATGTTTTCTTTCATGAAAAAATACTGCTAATCCAGGAACATGGGAAGATACCGTTTGTAGCCCTGTATGTAACATCACCATTTGCTCCGAATGGAAAGCCAAACACCTGATCTTAGAAAAGATTTCTCATTCATGTAAAAAGTCTTTTGATAACATAGGCACCAAAAAACGAAACCATATTAATTGTATGTTTAATTGCCTTCACAGAAAAAAATTTCATCAATTGGAGTGTCTTTCAGATTTCAGACTGTTAGATTGCTGTGTGATTAGAGAGATACGCTTTCATATTTTTATAGCATTTACTCTTGCTTCCTCTCTAAGTCACCGTATACTGTTCCCGCTGCCTGCTGTATTTCAGGCACGTAGGCTTTCTCTGTGTTCTTCCTGCACACCAGGCTGTTGGTACATAAAGGCCTTGAATGTATCTGCTGCCTGTTGCCCTGTTGCCCCGGGTGTGGCTTCTCGTCATGCAGATTCTAGTTGGACAGTGTCATGTCTCAGACATTCCCTGACCACCCATCTCAGTTGCTACCCTGTCCTTCTCTTTTGTTACCGTTTTAATTCTCTGCACGTTCCTTGTCAGCGTCTGGCGTATTTATTGTCCATCTTCTCCGAACCACAACATGAACTCCATGGGAATGGCGACCTTATCTGACCTGTCCAGTCATGGACCCCCTTCCCCCGCTCTGCCCCGGCTTTGGAGCCTGGTGCCCCCTGGCACATAGTCGGTGTTCGCTGAATAAGTGAGAATTAGAACCAGGCAAAAGATCTGAGAAATACCCTTTTTTCTGCTTGAATAATTTAAATGATCCACAAGATTCTTTGTATTTCTTGCCAGAATTTCTAGAAATGCATTGTTTGAAATGGAGACTCCTTAATTTTAGTTGTCAAATTTTGTTTTTTTGGTGCAATTATATTGTATATACATGTACATTTTAAGACTTTTTGTTTTTAAATATACTTTTTTCTCTTATGTTTTAATTATCTCAGTAAAGGAATGGAGGGAACCAGTTACCATGAATCCGTGTACAATGCTCTACAGTCTCTGAGAGATAGAGAATTCTCCACATTTTATGAAAGTCTCAAATATGCCAGGTATTGTAAAAAGAGTTACTGTATTTTAACATTTAGTGTCCTGGCTGCTTTTCTGAAAACTTGATGAGTAATTTCAGCATGCGGATTTGCACTACTGAAGGGTAAGGACTTGGTGGCTTTGGTCAGGTTGTGTCTTCGTCATTCCCACCCTCTTGTCAGGCAGCACCTTCGCTGTGGAATAAATCATGCCAGTCAGTGTTGGGATTCAAACAGTGCAGAAGGGGGAGGCGAAATCCTGTGAGTGACAATTTTGTAGCTTATGTACATCTGAGAAGTAAGTGCTCAGATGAGTTTTATCTTCTGCAGGAATGTTTTTAATAGGAACTGTGGGTGTTTTCTGTCTCTTGGAAGGGCATTCTCTGTGTTTCAGCGGTTTTATATGAGAGAATTCTCTATTCGTATTTGTCAGGTATATATATGTGTGTGTGTGTGTGTGTACACACACACACTATAATAGTACCTTTTTATTTTTTGTTTTAGATGGAGGAGCTTGCTCATGTTAGGTGCTTACATAAATTGTTACATTCTTTTTTTCTGATAAGATCTTTTTACTTGTTCATGTGGTTCACATCTGTTCTTTCCTTAAAAAAAAAAAAATTCCCTTTGGGACCAGGTCAGCTCTTTATGTAGAGCCCTCGAGAACGAGATTCCCACCTCTCTGTCCTGTTCCTGGGCCTCTGTGTCTCAAGAGTTGTAACCTCGCCTCCATTGGTAGTTGTATGGCATTTACCTCTTAGCACTGGTGTTCTTTTTGTTAAGTGCTGACTGTGGTTAGTACTTACCAATACTTAGGCTTGTTATGAGGCGCAATGAGATAATACACCAGAAGGTACTTAACTATAACAGGTTAAACACAGGTAACATACTATTTATTTAACAGTAGTTAGTGACCTCTTAAATCCTGTATTTGGTTACAAAAATATTTGCTGCTATTTTGGTGCTTATTATGTGCTGGCCATTTTGTTAGGCTCTTTCTCTGTGTATTCTCTAATGTTCAGAAGAATTCTGAAAGCGAAGAAACCTAGGTGCAGGGGAGTGCAGGTTAGACAGCCTGTGGCTTAGGGCCGGGTTGCAGTACAGGTCCATGCGAGGATGGTGTTTCTGCCGCAGGATGCTGGGGCCTCCACAGCATTAGGTCAACAGCAGAGCCAGCAAAGCAACTCTGTAGCCGCAGATTTGAACTTTGATCTTTCTGCAAGCCTCTTCGTGTCCCAAGTGTCTTGTCTTTTGCCCCCAGGGTGAGAGAAGTGGAGGAGCTGTGTAGGGGCAGCCTCGAGTCCGTGTACTCGCTCTACCCCACCCTCAGCAGGCTGCAGGCCATTGGAGAGCTCGAAAACATCGGGGAGCTTTTCTCCAGGTATGTGGTTCCTACGTTGCTGTACCTCTCCCCCGAGGGCAGGTCTGTGTGCAGTGAGCCCTGACCAGAGAACTAAGACAGAGGGTGAGCCTTGACCGGAGGACTGAGACAGGAGGTGAGCGCTGACCAGGGAACTGAGACGGGAGGTGAGCGCTGACCGCTGAAACGTTTTCAAAAATATTTATTGTAAAAATTCCAGTTTTTAAAATTTAGCATCATTGTACTGATTCACAGCTTTCCCCCTTCCTACCCCAGATAAAATTGCTTTTCCACGGTTTTTTTTCGCTATAGCACGTGATCGGCCATTCTGTCTTCAGCACTGTGTTGGCATTGGTGTTGTTTTAGGTCTATGCTGCCATGCTGTACTAGAAGCATAATTTTTTTTTTTTAGTGAATATAATTTATTGTCAAATTGGCTTACATACAGCACCCAGTGCTCATCCCAATAAGTGCCCTCCTCAGTGCCCATCACCCATTTTCCTTCTCCCCTACCCCCCCATCCACCCTTAGTTTCTTCTCTGTATTTAGTAGTCTCTTGTGGTTTGCCTCCCTCCCTCTCTGTTTGTACCTATTTTATATTTTCCCCTTCCCTTCCCCCATGGTCTGTTCAGTTTCTCAAGATCCCCATATGAGTGAAAACATGATAATCTATCCTTCTCTGACTGATGTATTTCACTCAGCATAATACCTTCCAGTTCCATCCACGTTGCTGCAAATGGCATGATTTCATTCTTTCTTATTGCCAAGTAGTATTCCTTGTATATATAAACCGCATCTTCTTTATCCATTCCTCAGTTGATGGACATTTAGGCTCTTTCTGTAGTTTGGCTATTGTTGAAAGTGCTGCTATAAACATTGGGGTACAAGTGCCCCTTGCATCAGCACTCCTGTATCCCTGGGGTAAATTCCCAGCAGTGCTACTGCGGGTCATAGGGTAGATCTATTTTTAATTTTTTCCGGAACCTCCACGCTGTTTTCCAGAGTGGCTGCACCAGTTTGCATTCCCATCAACAGTGCAAGAGGGTTCCCGTTTCTCCACATCCTTGCCAGAATCTATAGTCTCTTGACTTGTTCATTTTAGCCACCCTGACTGGTGTGAGGTAGTATCTCAGTGTGGCTTTGATTTATATTTCCCTGAAGATGAATGACGTTGAGCATTGTTTCATGTGTCCGTTGGCCATGTGGATGTCTTCATTGGAAAAGTGTCTATTCTGGTCTTCTGCCCATTTCTTCACTGGATTATTTGTTTTTCGGGTGTGGAGTTTGGTGACTTCTTTATAGATTTTGGATACTAGCCATTTATCCAATATGTCATTTGCAGATAACTTTTCCCATTCTGTTGGTTGCCTTTTAGTTTTGTTGATTGTTTCCTTTCTAGTGCAGAAGCTTTTTATCTTGGTGAGGTCCCGATAGTTCATTTTTGCTTTTAATCTCCTTGCCTTTGGAGGTGTCAAGTAAGTAAGAAATTGCTCCTGCTTAGGTCAAAGAGGTTGTTGCCTGCTTTCTCCTCTAGGGTTTTGATGGTTTCCTATCTCCCATTCAGGTCCTTCATCCATTTTATTTTCGTGTATGGTATAAGAAAGTGGTCTAGTTTCATTCTTCTGCATGTTGCTGTCCAGTTCTCCCAGCACCATTTGCTGAAGAGCCTGTCTTTTTTCCATTGGATACTCTTTCCTGCTTTGCCAAAGATTTGTTGGGCATACGTTTATGGGTCCAGTTCTGGGTTCTCTATTCTATTCCACTGGTCTATGTGTTTGTTTTTGTGCCAATAGCATACTGTCTTGATGATGGCAGCTTTGTAGTAGAGACTAAAGTCTGGGATTGTGATGCCTCCTGCTTTGGTTTTTTTTTTCAGTATTACTTTGGCTATTTGGGGTCTTTTGTGGCTCCATACAAATGTTAGGATTGTTTGTTCTAGCTTTGAGAAGAATGCTGGTGCAATTTTGATTCGGATTACATTGAATGTGTAGATTGCTTTGGGTGGTATTGACATTTTAACAAGATTTATTCTTCCAATCCAGGAGCATGGAATATTTTTCCATTTCTTTGTGTCTTCTTCAATTTCCTTCATCAGCTTTCTACAGTTTTCAGCATACAGGTCTTTTACATCTTTGGTTAGATTTATTCCTAGGTATTTTATGGTTTTTGGTGCAATTGTAAATGGGATCCATTTCTTTATTTCTCTTTCTGTTCCTTCCTTATTGGTGTATAAAAATGCAACCAATTTCTGTACATTGATTTTGTACCCTGTAACTTTGCTGAATTCATGTATTAGTTCTAGGAGTCTTTTGGTGGACTCTTTCGGGTTTTCCCTGTAGAGTATCATGTCATCTGCAAAAAAAAGTTTTACTTCTTTGGCAATTTTGATGCCTTTTATTTCATTTTGTTGTCTGCTGATACTAGGACTTCCAGTGCTATGTTAAACAACAGTGGTGAGAGTGGACATCCTTGTCGTGTTCCTGATCTCAGGGGGAAAGCTCTCCGTTTTTCCCCGTTGAGGATGATATTAGCTGTGGGCATTTCATATATGGCTTTTATGATGTTTAAGTATGTTCCTTCTATCCCAACTTTCTTGAGGGTTTTTATTAAGAAAGGATGTTGTATTTTGTCAAATGCTTTTTCTCCATCTATTGACAGGATCATATGGTTCTTATCCTTTGTTTTATTAATGTGATGAATCACACTGATTGATTTGTGAGTATTGAACCAGCCCTGCAGCCCAGGAATGAATCCCACTTGATCATGGTGAATAATTCTTTGTATATGCTATTGAATTTGATTTGCTAGTATCTTGAGAATTTTTGCATCCATGTTCATCAGGGATATTGGCCTATAGTTCTCCTTTTTTATGAGGTCTCTGTCTGGTTTAGGAATCAAGATAATGCTGGCTTCATAGAATGAATCTGGAAGTTTTCCTTCCATTTCTGTTTTTTGGAACAGCTTGAGAAGGATAAGTATTAACTCTGCTTTAAATGTCTGGTAGAATTCCCCGGGACTAGCCATCTGGTCCAGGAGTCTTATTTGTTGGGAGATTTTTGATAACTTTCAATTTCTTCACTAGTTATGGGTCTGTTCAGATTTTCTTTTTTTTTTTTTAATTTTTTTTTTTTTTAACGTTTTTATTTATTTTTGAGACAGAGAGACACAGAGCATGAACAGGGGAGGGGCAGAGAGAGAGGGAGACACAGAATCTGAAACAGGCTCCAGGCTCTGAGCCGTCAGCACAGAGCCCGACGCGGGGCTCAAACTCACGGGCCGTGAGATCATGACCTGAGCCGAAGTCAGACGCTTAACTGACCGAGCCACCCAGGCGCCCCAGATTTTCTGTTTCTTCCCATTTGAGTTTTGGTAGTGTGTGGGTTTCTAGGAATTTGTCCGTTTCTTCCAGGTTGTCCAGTTTGTTGGCATATAATTTTTCATAGTATTCCCTGATAATTGCTTGTATTTCTGAGGGATTAGTTGTGATATATCCATTTTCATTTGTTATTTTATCTATTTGGGTCCTCTCTCTTTTCTTTTTGAGAAACCTGGCTAGAGGTTTATCAATTTTGTTTATTTTTTCAAAAAACCAACTCTTAGTTTCATTGATCTGTTTTTTTGAATTCTACATTATTTATTTCTGCTCTCATCTTTATTATTCCTTTTTTTCTGCTGGGTATGGGGTTTCTTTGCTGTTCTGCTTCTAGTTCCTTTAGATGTGCTGTTAGATTTCGTATTTGGGATTTTTCTTGTTTCTGGAGATAGGCCTGGATTGCAATGTATTTCCCTCTTAGAACTGCCTTTGCTGCATCCCAAAGGGTTTGGATTGTTGTGTTTTCATTTTCATTTGTTTCCATACATTTTTTAATTTCTTCTTTAATTGCGTGGTTGACCCATTTGTTTTTTAGTAGGATGTTCTTTAACCTCCATGCATTTGGAAGTTTTCCAAACTTTTTCCTGTGGTTGATTTCAAGTTTCATAGCATTGTGATCTGAAAGTGTGTATGGTATGATCTCAATTCTTTTGTATTTATTGAGGGTTTTTTTGTGGCTCAGTATGTGATCTGTCTTGGAGAATGTTACATGTGCACTCGAGAAGAACGTATATTCTGCTGTTTTTGGATGAAAAGTTCTAAATATATCTGTCAAGTCCATCTGGTCCAGTGTATCATTCAGGGCCATTGTTTCTTTATTGATTTTCTGTCTAGATGATCTTTCCATTGTTGTAAGTGGAGTATTAAAATCCCCTGCAATTCTTACCAATAAGATCGCTTATGTTTGTAAATAATTGTTTTATGTATTTGGGGGCTCCCATATTCGGCACATAGACATTTATAATTGTTAGCTCTTCCTGATGGATAGACCTCGTAATTATTATATAATGCCCCTCTTCATCTCTTGTTACTGTCTTTAGTTTAAAATCTAGTTTGTCTGATATAAGTATGGCTACTCCAACTTTCTTTCACTTCTAGTAGCATGAGAGATGGTTCTCCATCCCCTCACTTTCAATCTGAAGGTGTCCTCAGGTCTAAAATGGGTCTCTTGTAGACAGCGAATAGATGGGTCTTGTTTTTGTATCCATTCTGATACCCTGTGTCTTTTGATTGGAGCATTTAGTCCATTTATGTTCAGTGTTCTTATTGAAAGATAAGGGTTTAGAACCATTGTCTTGTCTGTAGGTTTCATGCTTCTAGTGATGTCTCTGATCATTTGTGGTCTCCGTAACACTCACAGAGTTCCCCTTAGGATCTCTTGTACGTCTGGTTTAGTGGTGATGAATTCCTTCAGTTTTGTTGGGGAAAACCTTGATCTCTCCTATTCTGAATGACAGGCTTGCTGGATAAAGGATTCTTGGCTGCATGTTTTTCATATTCATCACATTGAAAATTTCCTGCCATTCCTTTTTGGCCTGCCAAGTTTCAGTTTAGGTCAGCTACTACCCTTATATGTCTACCCTTGTAGGTTAAGGTCCGTTTATCTCTAGCTGCTTTCAGAATTCTCTGTCTTTGTATTTTGCCACCTTTGCTGTGATATGTCGTGCAGAAGATCGATTCAAGTTACGTCTGAAGGGAGTTCTCTGTGCCTCCTGGATTTCAATGTCCATTTCCTTCCCCAGATTGGGGAAGTTATCAGCTGTGACTTTTTCAAGCACACCTTCGGCCCTTTTCTCTATCTTCTTCTTCTGGAATTCTTCTGATACGGATGTTGTTCTGTTTCATTGAGTCACTTAGTTCTCTAATTCTCCCCTCTGCCTCTTCAGTTCTTTCTGTGACTGCCTCTAGTTTATTTTGCACCTCATTTACAGCATTTTTGAATTCATCATTACTATTTTTTAGTTCCTTGATCTCTACAGCAGTAGATTCTCTGCTGTCTTCTATGCTTTTTTCAAGTCCAGCGATTAATCTTTTTTTTGTTTTAAATTTTTTTTTTCAACATTTTTTATTTATTTTTGGGACAGAGAGAGACAGAGCATGAACGGGGGAGGGGCAGAGAGAGAGAGGGAGACACAGAATCGGAAACAGGCTCCAGGCTCTGAGCCATCAGCCCAGAGCCCGACGCGGGGCTCGAACTCACGAACCGCGAGATCGTGACCTGGCTGAAGTCGGACGCTTAACCGACTGCGCCACCCAGGCGCCCCTTAATTTTTTTAATCTTTATTTATTTTTGAGAGAGAGAGACAGCGTGTGAACAGGGGAGGAGCAGACAGAGAGGGAGACACAGAGTCCGAAGCAGGCTCCAGGCCCTGAGCTGTCAGCACAGAGCCCAATGCGGGGCTCGAACTCATGAACTGTGAGATTACGACCTGAGCTGAAGTCGGACACTCAACCGACTGAGCCACTCAGGCGCCCTCCAGCAATTAGTGTTATGACTATTATTCTAAATTCTAAATCTCCCTACGGTAGTGGTGTTTTGAACCCTCCACTAAGTGTGCTTTCATTTGTTCATTCAAGTAGCCCTGGAAAGGAAAACAAACAAAACTCAGAAAACAAAAACACGTGAACAAACGAAAAGCCAGAAACAGAAACACCAGCTGCAAGTAAACCATAGGGTGGAGGCAGTGCTGTTGGAAGAGGCCTTACCCCATACGGAGAGAGAAATGACAGGGGCCGGGGAGAAAGAAAAAATAAAAATTGACCAGGCAGAGAAACTCTCTGGCTTAATCCAGAGAGAGAGAAGGGAAAATAAAGAAGGAAGTGGGGAAAAAGAAAAGAAAAGAAAGTTATCCAGACAGAGAAACTATACAGCTTAATCCAGAGAGAGAGAATGGAGAATTAAGAAGGAGGTGTGGAACATGTATCAAGGAAATGGATTAAATATGTCTGCTTAAACAAAGCAACAACCAGAGTAACCAGACTGGAGGAGGGAAGAGAGAAAGAGACGAAAAGGAAGGAAGAATATATGTCTATAATTAGAATTATCCGAGAATTAATCCAGGCAATGCAGCAGCTCAGGTCTGGAGGAGGGGGCGTCCGGTTCCTCAGCGCCAATCCTGTTCCCGTAGATACACAGCACCGGGCGCGGAGGGGCGTGGTTTGGTGTAGGCGGGTCCCGCCTCCACTGTGGGCCCTGCCGTCTGTTAGCTGAAGTCCCCCCTTGGTGGTGATGGCAACCCCCAGTCTCTTCTTCACAGACCTGGTGTTCCAAACCACTCTGTTCGAGCCGTCCTCACTGTGCCACGGACACAAATGAGGACGCAGACGAGGCGGTTTGTCCTGCTCCACCGACTCCCATGCCTGGGGCTTGGCTGGGACTCAAACTCCCGCTCCGTGCGCCCTGGTACTGGCGAAGCGCCGCTGCACGCCGCCAGATATGTGGTCCCCGACTGGCAGGCGCAGCAGGCTTTGCCCTTTGCTGCAGCACTCCAGGGAGGGGATCGCTTTCTCCTACTGCGGACTGCACCCGCAACCTAGTCCCCGAGCCTGGGGCTGGCTCCCCTCCTCCCCAGTCGCCTGATCTGGACAGATGGCCCAGTCCCGGGCAAGCTCTGCAGTTAGAGATGGGCTTTTTCTCCATCCTGGTTTGAGGTTTTTCTCTTGTCCAGATACAGTCCTATGCTTCCCCAGCTGCACTTTCTCTTCCCTTTGTGTCTCTGCAGAAGGGGATCCCTCTCCTCCGTTCGTTTCATCGCTCCCAGTTCAGAATCACGCATTTACGGCAGTCAGGTTATCCCTGTGGGTCCCTGGAAGGGACTGCCTCTTTTCCTCCCGGACTCTCAGAATTCAAAGTCCTTTAGTTTCAACACTGCTTTGTTTCATAAAGGAGGGAACTTTGGATCCCCCTACTTCTCTGCCATGTTGGCCCCTCCCATCCGGAAGCTTCCTGAAGGAGCTTTCATTTCCTAGTCATCACCTTGTCATCTTCTTACTGTCCCTTCTTCATCTTGATTCCTGTCAGTACAGTGGCCCTCGAGGATTGGACGGTATTGCTTAGTGTGACCTTGTGGGAAGCATCCTTTTCATGTAAACTAATTGCAGAATATGCATTTTCTCTTCCTTTAATAAATAATGTTGGGGAGTGAGACCTTTGCCGGCTACCAGCATTTCTCCCCCTGAATTGTGATTTCTTTAGCAGCTGTAATTATGCACAGAGTCCTCCCCTGCACCCACTTGGGCACAGCAGAAATTAATACACTTGTTCCCTTTCCTTGCTGACATGCCGCCTTTTGCCACAGGGAACGTTGAAGTGGGACTAGAGGTGTCGGCGTTCTGATACCAAGCCTCATGAAGGTGTTCTCTTTCAGAAGAATATATACTTAGAAATGCTGCTTTTTGTGAGCTTTAAGAGTATTTTTAAGAAAATCTTTAAAAACATTCATCATCTGTAGCCCCTGTGCTGACCCTCACAAGTCTGATGGTTTTGTAGTTTTCTAAACTTTGGTGCTTACTTTGTATCCTTTTTAAGCTCTCATGTCATTACTGTCAAAACTCCTTTGTGTTTTATCTTAAATGCAGAAGCTGTGTGGTAGCATTTTTGTCCTTCATTTCTCTTGCTTACGTGGCTTCTGTGATGTTGCTTTCAGATCGGTCCCTGGTAGGCAGCCCTCCGAAGTCTACGCTAAGTGGCGGAAACACTCCCAGCTTCTCAAAGACAGTGACTTTAGTTTTCAGGAGCCCATCATGGCTCTCCGCACAGTCATTTTGGAGATCTTGATGGAAAAGGAAATGGAAAACTCCCAGAGAGAATGTTTTAAGGATATTCTCACCACGCACCTTGTAGAACTCTCCATACTAGCCCGAACTTTTAAGAACACTCAGGTAATAAGATTTAAAATGATGTCGTCTCACCCTATGACTTTTTCTTTTATGACCCAGAAAATGGAAAGCACGAGTAAAACAGAAGTGTCACCGAGAAACAGATTGCTATAAAAATATTGCTTAGGATAATTGTTCAAGATTTCCCGTTTTGGCATCAGACCTGAGTTCAAGCCTTGGACAGGGTACTTCTCTAAGCCTCAATCTCATGGTTCTGAAATGAGAAGATACCTAACTGACTATATTGATAACAATTCAGTGGTCTTATATACTGCACGCGTACACACACGTGTGTTCGTACATGTGCTTATGTATACATCTATATGTATGTATTTGTGAGAGAACCAGATGGATGCGGGGCTGAGGGAGGCAGGCACAGATGTACTTGAGACCGTCCTGACAAACCGTCGTCAGTGATGGGAGTTACTGCTTCCATGATTCATACTAGCAGTAGTAACAGTAATGGTATTTATTCCCATATGTCGTTTTCATTTCAGCTCCCCGAACGGGCAATATTTCACATTAAACAGTACAACCCACCTGGTCGTGGAGTCTCCGAGTGGCAGCTGGAGGAGGCCCAAGTATTTTGGGCAAGAAACGAGCAGAGTCTCGCCCTGAGTGTCCTCAAGCAGATGATCAAGAAGCTGGACTCCAGTGGTGCAGAGGTTTACTGTTTTTTTTTAATTGGCTGAATTAGTATTTTACTGTTGTAAAGCAACCACTGAGCTTTAAAATAGATATATTTTTAATTTTTTTAATGTTTGTTTATTTTTGAGATAGAGATAGAGCATCAGCGGAGGGGGGGCAGGGAGAGAGGGAGACACAGAATCCAAAGCAGGCTCTGGGTTGTCAGCACAGAGCCCAATGCGGGGCACAAACTTACGAACCGTGAGATCATTACCTGAGCCAAAGTCGGACGCTTAACTGACTGAGCCACCCAGACGCCCTGAGAGAGAGAATCTTAAGCAGACTCCATGCTCAGTGTGGAGCCCAACAGGAGGTTTGATCCCACGACTTTGGGATTATGACCTGAGCCGAAATCAAGTCAGACGCTCAACCGACTGAGCCACTGAGGTGCCCCCTAAAATATTTTTAATAAGTCCACAGTTTTATTAAAGCCTTGAAATTTGCTTATCTATGAACAAGAAATTATAAAAAGGAGCCTGGAAAATTACTATTTGTAAAGAAGTTTAGAAATACTAATTTTAGTTTCTCTTTACAATAATTCTGTTAGTCCATCTTGTGTTAGATTTATTTGATTTAACCCAGTGTTAAGCATTTTTTTTTTTAAACTTTATATGGAATTCGAGAAGAGTATGATGGAAACAAACATGAAATAGCCAGTACAGGAGGTGGAGGGGGAAGAAATAGCTACTATAAATTCAAAATAAAGAAATGGAAGAGGAAATGTGTGAGAGAACCAAAGTTTAAAAAGGAAGCAAGTTGGAACAATTAAGTTGTCAGTCTTCATACTTGGGAAAAAGAATGTCCCATATTTTATTTAACATTACCCACTGGTTACTGGAAATCTGTGTGCCTCTGTAGCTGTCTCTCCAGCATATTATGGGCACAGTAGAGGTGTTTGCGGGAGTCGTGGGGTGTTTGCAGGTGTGGCCACAGTGCTCTCCTTCTGACATGCACCTGCCTTTCCGGTATTGGGCACTTTAGGACATCCTCATCGGAGAGTTTTACCATTATACCAGAGCTCCGGGAGCTGATACAGTATGATGTTTACACGTTGCTTAACAAGTGGGGACCGGGATCAGCCTGGCTCCAGGTACCTGCCACCTCTGTATGTACGTCCGTACTGCCACTGCACTCTGCAGATGAAGGGTAATAGAGTCCTCGCCTCACAGGGTTTTGTGGGGATGAGATGAGGTAACATACAGAAATCAAGCCTTGCTAAAGTGCCTGGCATATACGAGGAAAAATGTTTTTAACCTGCTTTTTTCCCCTACATGGAAGATACTTTCGCAGAGTCATGATAGTGAATTACATTTTAAGATTTTGCTTTTCATATACAGAATGATCCCAGCCTAAGACTTCTGTACACAGAATGTCTGAGGGTTTGCGGCACCTGGTTGGCGGAAACTTGCTTAGAAAACCCTGCGGTCATCATGCAGACCTACCTGGAAAAGGTAAGGTTTTCTCACAACCCTTAGGAGAGCTGTTCAGTATGAGTACGCTTGATCTTTCATCAAGGCCATGTGCATTTCAAAAGCAAATAAAAGGAAGATTTCAGTTTTGGGGTATTTATTACTATAGCAGCTCCATGTAATTTTTAGGGCAGGATGAAACAGTGGTAAAAAAGAAGGACCCTGTTTTGAAAGGAAGCCCAGATGTGTCTTCCCTCAGTGCCCCCCCCCCCACCCCCACCACCTACTCTCTGAAGTTGTTTCTGGTCATTTCTCCATTTACTTATCTACAAGAAGAGGTGATTAAGGAACATGCAAGTTAGTCTTGACTGTGCACTTGTAACCCAACTGCCTTACAAACAGGATCAGGACTTTGTGCTCCGGCCCCTCTCTCCCTCTTGTTTCTCCCCTTATCCCTGTAGTTTAATTAATTTTGGAAGTAGCTATCTCACTATAAATAAGTATTGCATGAAAAGTATAATATGACCGTCTTTAAATTTTATGAAGCCCTTTGTTTTCTACAGTTTGTTAAAATATTAGCTGTTTTGGTTATTTCTACACTGTCAAAGTTGTTTGAAAATTCAAAATACTGTGCTTCATATAATTTAGCTTATCCATAAAAATATGTATAAATTGAACTTTACTGTGACTGTCTTTTTAAGTGGTTCTTTAGATACATTTAGGATCTTGTAAATAACATAAATTATCGTGTTTTCTTGAAGGCAGTGGAAGTTGCTGGAAATTATGACGGAGAAAGCAGTGATGAGCTTAGAAATGGAAAAATGAAGGCATTTCTCTCATTAGCACGGTTCTCGGATACGCAGTACCAGAGAATTGAAAACTACATGAAATCATCAGAATTTGAAAACAAGCAGGCTCTCCTGAAAAGGGCCAAAGAGGAAGTGGGCCTTCTCAGGGAGCATAAAATTCAGACCACCAGGTAACTACATGTCCACCAGTGATAAGTGACAAGATGCACAGAAATGCAGTGACTGTATGTATAGACAAGATGTACAGAACCAGGCGTGATTGCGCACTGTGGTTCTAAGCTCATTGTAGACTGTATGGATGTTAGCTTTTTGCTTTGCTTTTTGGGTTTGTCGGTATCATAGTTAAAAGGAGATAGGTGGTGAAATTAAATACGGAAGAGTTATCTATTCTGATGTGTGTGTGTTTTTTAAACCCTTTCTTCAGGCGTCCCTTTTGTCTGAATAGGATAGTGAAAGTAGAGAATAAAGTTAAGTAGGTATCTTGAGTAGAGTCCACTTGGCCCCTGGTTGCCTAGGATGGCTTTGATGTTTACTTTTATTTTTGAGAGAGAGCGTGTGTGCTCACAAGTGGGGAGGGGCAGAGAGAGAGAGAGAGAGAAAGAGAGAATCCTAAGCAGGCTCCACGCAGATCACGACACGGGGCTGATCTCACAAACTGTGAGATCGTGACCTGAGCCAAAGTCAAGAGTTGGACGTTTAACCAACTGAGCTATCCAGGCGCCCCTACAATGACTTTTGAATTGCCCAGACTTACTTTGAGATACTAAGTTTGTTCCCTTACAATTTTTAGAATTTTGCTTTTTCTCCTAGGATGGACAGTTGGCTTTTCATTTATGTTGTATATCATGTATGATGTAGTTCTATACATCTTGATGGGTTTTGCATCTTCCTTTAATTATCCAACACAAGATACACGATAAAGGTGCAGCGAGAGCTGGAGCTGGATGAGTGTGCGCTCCGTGCCCTGAAAGAGGATCGTAAGCGGTTCTTATGTAAAGCAGTTGAAAATTACATCAGTTGCTTATTGAGTGGAGAAGCGCACGATATGTGGATATTCCGTCTTTGTTCTCTCTGGCTTGAAAATTCTGGAGTTTCTGAAGTCAATGGCATGATGAAGGCAAGTCGTCTTTGTAAACCCCAGATTCTAGCCTGCGCTTGAAAAGCTTAGACAAGAGCCTGCCGGTGTTATTTTGTGTATTCTTTGTATCCCTGCCATGTGGTTCTGTGCTCTACTCCTTCGTATTTGATCAGCTCTCATGATGCAGGTTTATGCGGAGACGAGAGCCTTTAGGTCAGTCTTTCACTGTACCTTTGCAGTTACTGCTGGAAAGTACCAGAATGCCAGATTGGGAGATTTCAGGCAGGTTTTTCCTCTGGCTTTATCTTTTCTGGGATTTTTACAGTGAATTACTTTTGCAAATGACAAACACATTTTTAAGAAACATTAAGGCAGTAGTATTTCCTGAGTTTTTACTTAAAAATTTTAGATTTCAGTGAGGATACCTAATATTAAAGTTATGCTTATAGGATCTACATCGGCAATCCATTTGAAGCTTAAAAATAAAGTGGTTCTTCTGGATGAGAAGAATGATAAGACACATAGTAGTTACAAGCAAGCAGTCTCTGCTGCAAGTGCACATTCAATCCTCTTAACTTTTGGCGTCAGGGAACCCGGTTACCCCATTTTATTATACACGGACCTCCCAGGGGTCACCATCACAGCAGCCCTCCCATCTCATGGAATGTAATCAGTGCAGGTGTTCCAGGTCTGAACAGTTTACTTTAGGATCAAGCACTGTGACTCACCAGTGAATCAAATCCAGAATACCACTGAAACTAAGAGAAGATGAATCTTAAGGGGAAAAATGTAGCTAGTGCAGTTTTAGTAACAACCAGCAGATGACTGTGCTGGCAGCATTATCTTAGAGTAATTTATTTGCTTAGATGTGAGGCTTCTTGAAACGCATTGTTTCTTAAGGTTTTTTTGTGTTTTTTTTTTTAATGGTAGAGCAAAGGAATGAACATTCCGTCATACAAATTCCTGCCTCTTATGTACCAGCTGGCTGCTAGAATGGGGACCAAAATGATGGGGGGCCTAGGATTCCACGAAGTCCTCAATAACGTAAGTACGCCTGCAGATCAAAGCACAGTTGGTTGTCTTTCATGCGTTGTATACTAATGTCCCACTCTAGGAGATGAAGATAAAAAATATCCCAGTCAGTTGCATTTATTATGCTGTAAAAGGGCGGGAATAAAAATCGCCTTTTGTCTCGTCTCTCCACGTAAGTTACTCCATTTCTGTATCATGCTCACATTCCTCTGTCCCACACATATACAACGCTCTACCCACTATGGTATCTGGTACCCTATGTGTCTTAACGTCAAACAAAATGAAAAACGTAATGGATTTTTTTGTTTTTTGGTTGTAGCATAAAACTAATAGTTCTTTATTTTCTGACAGCTTATCTCTACAATTGCTATGGATCACCCCCATCATACCTTGTTTATTATACTGGCTTTAGCAAATGCAAACAAAGATGAATTTTTGACCAAACCAGAGGCGGCAAGAAGGAGTAGAATGAGTAAAAATGCACCTAAACAAAGCTCTCAGCTTGATGAGGTATTTGGATTAAACATACATACCTTTTTGAATTATAGTATTCATTTTTTCCCAGAATATTCTCTTCTTAATTCTCAGGGATTCTAAGAATGTGTGTTGTTCATACTCAGTTTGTAAATCCTTTGTTATCATGCCACCTAAAAATGGTTCAAAATTCCTGAATATTCTCAAAGCATAGGACATACCAATACTTTTTTTCCCTCACATCATTGAGCAAAGAAAAAACATTTCAAGGCACACCTAAGTCATTTACTGTTGATAGTATTATACCTTTGATGTATTGCATTCACAAGGGGACTGTTTTGTTCATTTCTGGGGGATGCGAGTGCTTCCGGTGCTTAGATCAGTCCATTAACTTTGGTGGTTCTTTTTGTTATAACTCTGAAAAGTGCCAGTGTTGGGTATTCCTTTGTGTGATTTTTTTTGTTTGTTTTTTTACTAACAGGATCGAACCGAGGCTGCAAACAGAATAATAAGTACTATCAGAAGTAGGAGACCTCATATGGTCAGAAGTGTAGAGGCACTTTGTGATGCTTACATCATATTAGCAAACTTAGATGCCACTCAGTGGAGGACGCAGAGAAGTATGTGTTGGGAAGAAAGAGTGTTGTTTTCTTGCTGTTTTTCTCTGTAGGGATATATTAATTATAGAGCTTAATATGTAATCTCTTTTAACTTATACACATAACATTAATTATAGACATGAAGGTCTTTATGATTACGATTCACATATGATCCACAGCTTAAGTTTTACCCGGTGACTTCAACATCCCCTTGTCACTTCTCATTTAATATCTTATATCTATCTGATGATAGATGACTGCGCTGAATTCATTGGTTTCTCTGGGTAATATTCTGGTGCAAATACTTGTCACAGAGAATTCATTGTGTAGAGACAAGTGCGTTAAAATAACTGACAATTTTCAGGGTCGAAAGTTCTTAAAATGATGTCAGTTACTCACTGTGCTCTGGTACTTAAGAGTGAGAAGGCCTCGCCATTTCCTCCACAGGTGTTAGAATATCTGGCGCATATATAATCCCTCGTTCTTGCCGTGTCTCTTCCAGTAATCAGAAGCTGCTATAACATTTGGTTATGTGCATACACTCGAAAGTCTCTCTCCTCATTCTTGGACAATTATATTCCCTTTTCCGTTCAGGACTGTCTCTTCATATTTACATTTTTGCTACTTTAAAATAAGAACGAGACTTTTCTGGTATTTGTGTAAGCAGACAAAGAGTATTGATTGTCACATCCTTTGGTTACATTTGATAGTGATGTGGCAGGAGTACATTAATCTGTGTGCTGTGCAAACTTGTGGAATTATCTTAAGGTGCTCAGCCTGGACTCTCTGCTGGAATGGGACCTAATCACTAGCGCCAGGTTACCTGCAAATTCGTGTGTCAGCCATGCTCTGCTCTGAGCTACATTGTGTCGCAAGCCCTGGCTCTTGATTCCTGAATCAGGGCCTGAGCCACAGGTTGGGGTCTGTGGCGTCTGCTGAACTCTCCTGCTTTCCCTTCTGAGCTGTTGGTCAGGGTACAGGTGTTCACCAGAACCTCTTTATTTTAAATACAGAAGGCATAAATATCCCAGCCGACCAGCCAATTACTAAACTGAAGAATTTAGAAGATGTTGTTGTCCCAACTATGGAAATTAAGGTAATTTACTATTAGCTGTTTTGATTTTTTTTATTGAACTAAATTCACATTTCTCTTGATTAGGCTAAACCATTTGAAACATTCTTTTTTTTTTTTTTTTTTTTTTTTTTTAAAACTAAAATTTAAATTTTATTTTATATACAAATTCATTCTACATTCCGTTGACCCAGCCCTTAAGATACTTAAAGGACTCTCCTGCTTTCTTTTCTTTTGCCTTCAGTTTTGTACCTCCCGTCTTCCCTGTAGGGAAGGTCTGTAGACGGTTACCTTCATTGGCCAAAATAAGGAAAGGTTCCCGTGCTTTTGCGAAGACTAATTTTTAACTTGGCAATAAAGTCCCTAAATACTTTGTTTTAAAAATTCTGGATGTGTTAGAATGTAGTGACCGTGAAGTGTTACGGTATTAAGTAACACGGTACAGGTTATGGTAGTAACTGTAATACATGTGATACTCCTAGCTATGTTGTAGTGATCTTTATTGCTAGAAATACCACGTTGGCAGGGACACATGTAGTAATAATAAAGGTTATAGTTTAGTGATAGACTCCTAACTCTAGAGAACAGACTGGTGGTCACCAGAGGGGAGGCCGGCGGGGGGTATGGATGAAATAGGTCATGGGGATAAAGGCCGCACTTGCTGTGATGAGCACCAGGCGACGTGTGCAAGTGCAGAATCACTGTATTGTACACCTGAAACTAACACTAGAATTTAAATAAAAACTTCAAAAAAAATTTTTTTAATGAAAGAAAAATCATTTGAGTACATTCTTGGTATACGTAGTTACTTGATTTGAAATGTAGCTCCGTCATCTGGACTAATAATACCTTTCCAACTACAATAGCAAAGGTAGTTAGCTGAGTATTTCCAGAAAATGCCAGATTTAGCAGTTACAACCCTGGAAACCACTCTCCACCCTTTTCTAAAATTTACCTTCCTATCTTCTTGTGATAAATTTCACTATTCTCAGATGACTGAACATAGACACAGTCACTGCTCAGACCTGAAAGCAGCATTTTGTCTATCCTTTCCAACACTGTGTGCCCCTCTTTTAGTGAGAGGTACTTAGGGGAGGTAACTTGTGGGAGTTTATAAACCTTTTCCATGTTGAATTTTGGTTCTTTCATTTATTATTTTTTGTAATTAAAAAACATTTTAAGTTTATTTTGACAGAGCACAAGTGGGGGAGGGGCAGAGAGAGAGGGAGAGAGAGAAAATCCCAAGCAGGCTCCATACTGTCAGCACAGTGCCCCACGCCGGGCTTGAGCTCACGAACCAGGAGATCATGACCTGAGCTGAAATCAGTAGTCAGTTGCCCAAACTGAGCCATCCAGGCACCCCATGTTTCTTTCATTTAAACAGGAAGTAAATTATCACTCTAGCTCTTAACCTGCAGCATGTTGTCATTCATTCCTGTGTTTCATGTTAAAATTGTTGTCTATAGAGGCACTGGGTGGCTCAGTCAGTTAAGGATCCAACTCTTAATTTTGGCTCAGGTCATGATCTCACGGTTCGTGGGTTATCGAGCCCCATGTCTGGGCTCCACGCTGAGCATGGAGTCTGCTTGGGATTCTCTCTCTCTCTCTCTCTCTCTCTCTCTCTCTCTCTCTCTGCCCCTCTTGCACTCATGCACTCTCACTAAATAAACAAACTTTAACAAAAGAGTAAAAAATAAAAAAGAGTAAAATTGTCATTTATAATTCGTCTTTAAGCGCCCATAATATACCTGACCTGTTTATCACATTTATACTTTTATCAGGTGGATCCTACTGGAGAATATGGAAATCTGGTGACTATACAGTCATTTAAAGCAGAATTTCATTTAGCAGGAGGTTTAAATTTACCTAAAATAATCGATTGTTTGGGCTCTGATGGAAAGGAAAGGAGACAGCTTGTCAAGGTGAGACTCCCCTCGAGTGGTGTGGTCCTTACAGGCTTAGTGAGAAAAGTCACAGCACAACTTCCTGCTTGGGTCTTCATTTTTCTTCTCAAAACTTACAAAATATAAATTACATCATTGTCTAGAAGCAGATTGCTTTTCCTTTTTTGTGTCTCTTGGAAGGCCATCATTAGAAAAGTTGATTGAAATAAAAAAATGCCTTTAACATGCACAGGTATGATGAGGTTAACAGCTTGCTTATTCTGGAAAATCTGTTTGGTGATTGTTGCTTATTTTCTTGAATAGTTCAAGTTGAGGGCTCTTGCTTCCCTATCCTGAGACTGGCACTGTGCCAGCTGCTATTAACTGTATGAGGAAGGGGACAGCCTTCCTCCCTGACTCTGCTCCCAAGTCCTGGGGGCCTTGCTTGGGAAGGAGTAGAGAGAACAGTGCTGTGCCTCCAGTGGAGGAACAGAGGGGTTCCAGTTAGCCTGACTACAGACGCAGCTGAGGGAAGCTTTTTCCTGAATTGGTCTGCCTACCCAGTGTTAGAGCTAATTCTAAATGAAAGAGTAGCGATAGGTCTTAATTATTTTAAGAGACTGTGAGGAGTACAGATGCCCAGATTGATTTGGGGTTTTTTAAAACTTTTTTCAGTGTTTACTTAGTTTTGAGACAGAGTGCAAGCAGGGGAGGGGTGTAGAGGGAGACACAGAATCCAAAACACGCTCCAGGCTCCGAACTGTCAGCACAGAGCCCGATGCAGGGCTTGAACCCACAATCTGTGAGGTCATGACCTGAGCTGAAGTTGGACGCTTAACCAGCTGAGCTACCCAGGCGCTCTGCCCGGATTGATTTCTGAGAGCCCTGTCATTGTCCTGATGTGACCCTCTATATGGTCCTATAATAAAGAAAATGGACTGAGCCTCATTATTTGCATTTGATGTCCTGAAGGGCCGTGATGACCTGAGACAAGATGCCGTCATGCAGCAGGTGTTCCAGATGTGTAACACGTTGCTGCAGAGAAACACCGAGACCAGGAAGAGGAAATTGACTATCTGTACATACAAGGTAAGTACCTCAGGCCTCTGCTCCTTCATCAAGAGCATAGGAAAGAAGCCATTATTCAGACTAGGGGCCGGCCAGTGTTTTCTGGGATAGTAAACATGTTAGAGTCTGTGTGCCACATAAGGTCTCTGCAGCCTGGTCCCGGGCAGCGTCCACACTGGGGACGGCGGCTCTGCAGTCCCAGGCCTTCCCCCTTTGGCCGTCTTTCCTGCTTCTCCTCCCCTGCTTGGTCTGTGATGAGGGTCTGTGTCAGGTCACATACAGCACTTGGAAGGCCTGGCTCCTGACCAGATCAGGGAGTCATGTCGAGGTCTAAGAGATACTGAATTAATATCTCCACCCCCCCAACACCCAAGCCAAACACAACTGCTTTTCCTCAGCTCAGCGGGACCTTCACCCCGGTCCTCCGTCCATATCCTGGAGGTGCAGTTTCCTTTTTACTTTTAATACTGCTAAAAATTTCAAACATATAGAAAAGTAGATAGAATACTGTAATGAATTCCCTTATACCATCATCCAGTGATCAGTAGTGGTCAACTCACGGATAATTTTGTTTCATTTCTTCTTCCACCCATTCTCTCCTCTCTGATAATTATATTTTGAAGCAAAATGTCATATCATTTCATCTGTAAACGTTTATTTCAATGTGTAGTTAGATGTCTCTTTAAAAAAGGAAAAGAGAACCACAGTAGTGTCATCCTAGGAGAGTTAGCAGTAATTTCTAAATATCACCAAATATTCAGCATATTAACCCCTCCCATCTCTCATATGTAACATCTGTTCCATCAGCACTTCCTTACCCGTCCGCTTTCATTCGACCCACTTTTTACATGTCTGGCAGTCCGCCCTGCACTCACATCTCTTCAATGGCGTCTGGCTAAGCCCCTACTTCTGGCCTCGGCCCCACAAAGCTAGCGGTTTTCTCACAACCGCTAGAATGATCTGTTTAAAGAGTCCAAGACTGAATCAGTATGTCCGTTTCCTGCTCGGAACTCCAGATGACTTCACATTGTCCCTGAAGGAAAGGGATTTGCCTCTCCTGCTCCCTTTCCACCTTTATCTGCCCCTCTCCCACCCTCATCCCTCACTTCTTCCTCGTGATGGCGTCACCTTCCCTGGGCCCATCCGGTCTTCCTGCTCTCTCTTGTTCACATGCACCAGTTTTGTTTGAGCTCAGGGCTTCCCTGTTCCCCTCTGCCTGGAATGCTCTTCCCTCAGCTCATGCCTCCCTCCCTCATGTCATTCAGGTTCTCTCCGGTCACCTTCTCGTGGAGCCCTTCTCTGACCAGATGTCTCTTACTCACTATTTTCAGTGCCTGTGTCATTCTTTCGTCCTTGTTCTCTGGCATCATTACATGTCCGTGAGCGCATATGTTCCATCGCCAGCGTGAAGCTGTCGGACAGCATGGTCCTCATCTACCTCACATGCCCCTCTCCTGCACGTGGGCACCAGTGAGCACAGAACAGACCCTCAACACACGTAGTAAATTAAAGACACAAACCATAAAACAGTACAGTGCAGTCTATTTGAGCACATTAAAGTAAGAACTTTATAGAATCAAATATTCTATGAAGACAAGTGGCCAACTGAGAAAAATGACTTTAAGGATATTATAATAACAAAAAATTGTTGTAATATTAATAACAAGGGATTTATATACAGAACATATAAACAGCTCTTACAAACCAGTTATAAAAAGACTAACATGTCCGTAGGAAAACCGGTAAAGAATACAGACAAGTCACAAGAGGAAAATACTTGAGTGACCAATAAGCCTGCCAAATTTTACTCAGCCTTACTGGGAATCTGAAAATACAAATTGAAACCAAAGTGAGCTACCATTTTACCTGTCTCAGATTGGTACAGTTTATTTATTTATTTTTTTTTTAAGTTTGTTTTTGACAGACAGCAAGCATGGGTTGGGGAGGGGCAGAGAGAGAGGGAGACACAGAATCCGAAGCAGGCAGCAGACTCTGAGCTGTCAGCACAGAGCCCAACGTGGGGCTTGAACTCATAAACCGTGAGATCGTGACCCGGGCCCAGGCTGGATACTTAACCAACTGAGCCACCCAGGTGCCCCAGATTAGCACAATTAAAATAAAAGTCTTAACAGTACTTTGTGTCGGGAAGGTCGTGGAATGAACTCTACTTCTGGGTATATAGATTGGCATAAGCACTCTGGGTAGTTATTTGGCAGTATCTGGTTAACTAAATTAAGATGCACATCCCCTGTGACCCACGTGTTGGATTCCCAGGTATGCACGTACCCAGGAGACACTGAGATACTGTCACCAGCCAGTACACTAGGGCATTGTAGCAACACTTCAGGGGAATCTGGACAGAATGTAATCTTAATTAATATGCAGATTGCAGCAAGTGGATAATTCTGGTGTACTTCTGCAGTGTATATTAAACGATTTAGTTACATGTACTCACACAACTAATGGTAAAATAGTGTTGAGTGAGAAAAAAACAAATTGCAGGCCCATTCACCGAGTATAATACTCCTTCACTTAAAGCTTACAACTATTTATGCATATATTGCTTTGAAATAAAAATATAGCAGAAAATACATGAACACGATAAAGTTATTGGTGGCAGACGGCATGGGACCAGTGAGGGGTTCAAAGGGAGCTTCCTCTGCAGCACACAGGAGAAAATCTTTAGATTTGAGAAACCTGATTAGTGGGTAAAAGGATGTTTATATCATTTTCTGTACTTTACGTATCTCTACATGTGTCATAATTTCTAATCTTTGCGGTAAAATTGCTCATTTCATGTTCAGGAATATATTTCCTCTTGGTGTAGCTAACAAGACTACAAAGCAAGAATATATGTACTTCTAATGATCAAAGTATTAAGATTTCTATTCAGTATTTTTCAAAGTGACATTCTTTAAATTTGTTTGCTATTAAGTAGAAGGAAAGCAGGCAGCTCCCTGCTAAATGGAGCAAACCGTTGCGTCACAGACGATGCAGGAAAGTATAGTTAGCAGGACCGGCCTCCACGAATCCTGGAGCTTGAGAGAGGAGCAGGCCCTCAGGAGTCCACGCGGCGGGCTGGAAAATCGTGTTCTTGGAGTATAAGTTTATTTTCCTCCAAGGAGTTTTGTCTCCTTTGGACAGGGAAATAGCGGTCCCACCTGAAGAGCCGCTTCGTGCGGACTCTGAGGGTTGAGTGACCGCCGCGTGACCGGCGATACCTTTGCATAATCAAAATGTATCTAATCTGGGACTCAGGTGGTTCCGCTTTCCCAGCGAAGTGGAGTTCTCGAATGGTGCACGGGAACCGTCCCTATCGGTGAATTTCTTGTTAACAACGAGAATGGCGCTCATAAGCGATACAGGCCAAAGGATTTCAGCGCCCTTCAGTGCCAAAAGAAAATGATGGTGAGTGACACTCAGAAGTACGAATCATTGCAAGATTATTTAATAGCTTATTAAAGCTGGCAGTTACCGAATGTTACTGAGTACAGAATATTTTAATTTCATCGGCTAATGATACTAAGGTTAATGATACGAAGTAAGAGAAAGTGGGCTCACCGGAATGGAAGTTTGTGTGAGTGAAAAATGAAAGTTGTTCAACTATATAAAGTGTCAGCCTTGGTCTGATGAGAGATTTCACATTCAGTGGAATGCTAATTTGCTTCCAGTTTGGGGTGAGCTGATTCAAGCGCTGACTAAAGCCAAAAACAGGTTATGAAGTAATTTTTATATGAAACCGATAGACCTTTAAAGACACGTGCCACAAGATGCCATCTGGCCTGACGGTCATTCAGCCAGTCAGCAACATTTACTGAATGCCCCCTGACTCCCAGCAACTGTGCTGACACGTCACAGACGTTAGGACTAATCATCATCATACGTCTCCCATTTTAAAACGAGAGGAAGTTCAGAAATGTAACCTGCCCGCGGTCAGTGAGCAATAAATGGTGGAGCAAGGATGTGACTCTTGTCTGTCCAGCTCTAAAGTCCTTTGCTTTTCCTTTCATTGTGCTGTTCTACAGAGATGTGAGGTGTGCGATAGAGCTGTACGGGCGCTGTCACGGAAGGCTGTCCAGGATGCTGTGCAGGGCGGGAGGTGGGCAGCTCTACCTGAGACAGACAGGGGTGGGGTCAAATTCTGGAGGGCTTCATGGAGGAGTGGCCTTTGAGCTGAGATTACTGCCCGAGCTGGTTTTCTAAGCAGAAGGAGCACGCAGTCAAAGGGCAAGAGGGGGTACGGAGAGGCAGTTAGAGACTGCTTAGGCCTCGTCTTTGAGGAGGATGTGATACGTGAGACTTGCAGCAATAGTTGTCAGAAAATGGAAGGTTTCTTCGTGAAATGCCGGGAAATTTGCACATTATCCTTTGGGCAGTAGAGAACCCTCGAGAAGGTGCTGGTACCACATTTGCATTTTAGAGAAACGACTCTGGCGGCACCGTGGGCTACATTTTTGAGAAGCTGATGAGAAGCATGACACAGGGGTCTTGAATTAAGACTAATAACAGGAGGAACGGAGAATGGGGGAACATACCAGAAACAGTAAGGAGGCAGAACTGATGGGATTTGGTTGCTGACTAGAAGTGGGTTTGGGGAAGAGAGTCATTAGAGGCACCCGGTTTTCTGGTGAGGGGGTGGAAGGAGAGAGGAAGTGGCTGAGGTTTGCCGAGGCTGAGACGGGGAAGAGGTTTGGGTTTGGAAGTGCTCCCCGCGCACGTGTGCAGTGAGCCGCTGGAGCCGCACATCGAGCTGGAGCTTAATAAAGACACGGGGCCAGGGACGCAGATTCGGTTCGTCAGCATGGAGCTGCGAGTTGGGCCCACTGAACTAGATAAGCTTTGCTTCAGGGAAGGACGAAGCACCATCAAAAGGTCTCGGAGGACAGATCCGAAACACGTGAGCTGCTCTGCCGTCCATCGGTGACGCTTCCGTTCTTCTTCCTGTTTCCTCTTGACCCTGGTGCTGTGAGGCTAGAGCTGCCTCTGGCTTTTTTGCGTATATGTCCACATAGATTTTAGAACTGAATTAAGAGAAGAACAGCCACTGTTGGTGTCCCCCGAGGTTGACACGTGAACCCTAAAGGGATTCTGACTTGTAGTTGTTTCCCTGAGCAGACTGGCAGCTGCCGGTGGCGGAGGTGATGCCTCGTTCACCTCTTCGTCGCCTCTGCGTCTGTCGTACTAGGTTCTATCGAGAAACTCCGAGTAGGTGTTGCAAGTAGTTGAACACAGCGTTGAGAAAGTTTTATGTTGGGTCTTTCAAAAGGATGTACAAAAGAAGTCTTTCGAAGAGAAATATAAAACCTTCACGGATATCTGCCAAAATTTTCAACCGGTTTTCCGTTACTTCTGCATGGAAAAATTCTTGGACCCGGCTGTCTGGTTCGAGAAACGACTGGCTTACACGCGCAGTGTGGCTACTTCTTCTATCGGTAAGCTTCTCACACACTTGGGCAGATGCAGCACTCGTGCTTTCTGAGCTCCAGGGGGGCGGCCGTGGTGGTGGCTGTCAGCTGGGCGATCCTCATCGTGAGATCTCGTTTCTGGTTCATCCTGATTCTCAGCTTCTAAGTGTAGCTCCTGCGAGCTTTTGCCCAGAAGGCTTCCTCTCCTCTAAGGAAGAGAGACATGGCTGGTCGTTCCTCTTTGTTGCATAGTGCATATGGTGTATTTTCCCTTCCCTCGATACACTGTTTTCTCACATTTTCTTTGGAAAATCATAAAACCCATAATAACTATATTTAACTTGTTTCCTTTAATTATTGTTGTTGTTCTGTACAGAATCTCTAATATCATGCAGTAATTGAATCTGCTTAATAGAATTTTATTTTTGCATTAGAAATCATGGTATATGTTTAAATATGCCACAATGCATATTTTGGCTTTGTTTTTTGTTTTTTTTTTTAATTGGTAAGAGATTGGAATAGCTAGATAGGGCAATTAACAAAATCCTAAACTATGAAAACTCATGTTGAACACCACAGGTTTCTTCATCTATTGATTTTAAAGTAATAAAGACCATTCCTCCATCACTTAGGTACCACACTCCAGGAGGGCAGGGCATGTACATTTTGAAAAAGTTTAGGTAATACAAAACCCTCTTCTTTTCCACACTGAGAATCTCTAATCTGATTCAGCTAATTTAGTTTATAAACAAGAAAGTAGAGCCAGTTAATGTGGCTACACACACAAGCCTCCTGACTCCCTATTCACTGCTTCTGCAATACTGCATGGTGTTTTTCATTGGATTAAAAGCATTTGTGCATGCCATCATCTATGTTAAAAACAGAAATGCAGTTTTTCCTGGATAGATATCTGGTGAAATGAATTAATGATTAATTTGTGTGAAATGTAATTCATCACAGGGGAGAAAGTTTCACTGAGGAATGAAGAATTTACCCATAGGCTTCTCACTGTAAAAGTATACTGAGTAAAACATTCGAATGCTTTGACCTTGCCACATAATGGGTCTCGACTTTAACCACACTAATTTTGGAAGTATGTACTAATATTTTTAGATGTATGCTTATTTGTAAAGGGAAAGCTTTTTTTTTTTTTTTTTAAGCACATCATCTAGGTTTGTAAAATGCAGTATAAATGAAAATAGCTGGCAAGACTTGACTTAAAACAAAGTGGCAAGTTATATACATATGTGCCTTTAGGCTAAATGTCCTACACTAAAAAGTCACGTGGTGGTGGTATTAATTGACATCGTGGCTAAATGTGTTCTAGAAATAGATACCAGTGATCTCAGGTTGTTTTTTCTCCCAGTCGGTTACATACTTGGACTTGGTGATAGACACGTACAGAACATCTTGATAAATGAGCAGTCCGCAGAGCTCGTACACATAGATTTAGGTAAGTAGTGAAAGATGAGAAATGAGTCTTTATTCTGTTTAACAAATACGGTGTCATAAGAAATGATGTTTGCCCCCAGCTTATTACAGGTGAGAAGGAGATAGATACACCACAGCAGGATATGTTTCAGATAGCATCAGCATGTGCAGGAGGGACTGGCTGACTGCTGGCGTAACGGGTGGTTCTTCTAGAACAGGACGTTTAAGGCAGGTCTTAGAGTGAGCGAGCAAGGATCATCCGGACCGGAGAGAGAGCAAATACGGAGGGGTGAAGAATGAAGACGAGTTTGCGGGAATGGTGAGACACGAAATATGGCCGAGTGAAGGCCGCATGTCGCTGAGCACCTGCAGAGGTAGACAAGGGAAAAGAAAAGATTTCACTTAGTGTGGAATTTAAGATTTGTAAAAGGGTGTAGCCTTAGGAAATTACAAGTTCTGTAGTAGCCACATAAGTGGTTTTCCAAGAGAGAGTAAGGCTGATTTCCATTAGGATAGAGGAGATCAAGGATATTATATGGTTTTCCCCAGAATGCATTTATTACAAAAGAGTAGTGGTTGCTGGAAGCACAGGGTGGGCGGGTGGGTGGTGATAGGCCGAGGGAGGATGTGGGTGGCTATAAAAGGGCCAGTACGAGGGATCCTTGTGGTGATGGAAATACTCTGTGTCATGATTCGATCAATGTCAGTATCCTGGTTGTGATACTGTACTATATAGTTTTGTAAGCTGTTCCATTGGGGGAAAGTGGATAAAAGGTATATGAGAAATTTTGTATTTTGTGTATTGTATCTTACAACTGAATATGAATCTATAGCTGTCTCAGAATAAAAACTTTAGGGGTGCCTGGGTGGCTCAGTCGGTTAAGCATCTGACTTCAGCTCAGGTCAGGATCTCACAGTCCGTGAGTTCGAGCCCCGTGTCGGGCTCTGTGCTGACAGCTCAGAACCTGGAGCCTGCTTCAGGTTCTGTGTTTCCCTCTCTCTCTGCCCCTTCCCTGCTCAAAAATAAAACATTAACATTCTACAAATATAGAATGTTATTCTCTCTCTCTCTCTCAAAAATAAAACATTAAAAAATTAAAAAAAAAAAGTTGTACATTTAATCGATTGAGCCACCCAGGTCCCCCTGTGTATATTTAAATAAAGAAATATAAATTAAGATTACATACATAGTATGTTTTGCATTTTAAATCTTATCCATCATTATTTCATTTAAAAAAAAATCACTGTTTAATCTGGAACTTCTCTAATGTCTAGAGTAGTTACGCTTTTTCAATCTGAGGTGCACCTCCTAGGCACGCAGAGCAGAAAGAGAATAAACCACTGTGGGTTCTGGTGTTCTGGACTGTCGGTGACAGATTATTTGGGGTGTATGCACAGCTCACGTGCCACACGGGAGGAGGGAAGCTCCTAACGCTGCTGTACTGTTGACTTTAGGAGTCGCTTTTGAACAGGGTAAAATCCTGCCTACTCCTGAGACAGTTCCTTTCAGACTCACCAGAGATATTGTGGATGGGATGGGCATTACTGGTGTTGAAGGTGTCTTCAGAAGGTAAGTGTGTATTTATTTCTTTTTCTCCCCAGTTGTATTAAACAATAACTGACATCCATCACTGTAGAAGTCTAAGGCACACGGCATGATGGTTTGATTTATATATATATATATATATATATATATATATATATATATATAAAATATTATATATATACATATATATAGAATGATCAGAATGATCACAGTAGCTTCGGCTAACATCCATCATCCCATACCAATACTATAAAAAGCGAAGAAGAACAGAAAAAGACAAAAAAAGTTTGTGATGACTCTTAAGATTCCCTCTCCTAATAACTTGCTTACGTGTCACACAGCTATGTTCGAGGGTGAACCAGAGTGTTAACTGGTGTCCTCCTGTCGTACTTGCCATGTCTAGTACTTGTCTTCTACCTGGGAGTTTGTACCTTTCGCCACCTTCCTCCCTGTCCCTTCCCCCACCTACCACCTCTGGTGACCACCGGCCTGTTTTTTGGGTTTTTTTGAGAGAAACAGAATTTTACTTATAATCCCTTACCATTAAACATAATCGGGTTTTTTTTTTTAAGTTTTTATTTAATTCTAGTTAACACATAGTGTAGTATGGTTTTCAGGACTAGAATTCAGTGATTCATCACTTACAACACCCAGTGCTCATCACAGGTGGCTTCCTTGGTCCCCATTGCCCATGTAGCCCATCCCCTGCCTGCCTCCCGCAAAAGGTGTTTAAAAAGATAGGTAAAGCAGATGGCTTTTGGTGTCAAAATTATTTGGATGATTGATTTCTGAAGATTATAGAATTCACTGCTAAATTATGTTCCAGTGCTTTTTTGGTAGAAAGGAGAAACCCGAGATAGAAAGAGTAATAGTTTTCCCTTCCTTCTGACCATCCAGGACCTCACCTCACAGGCCGTATTAACCTCCTTCCTAGTCCCCTCTGGAAGCAGTTGCCTCCACCTTTAAAGCCCCTGTCCCAGTGAACTCTCTCTGCCCCAGTGAACTCTCTTGTTATTGCCCAGAACTCCGTTGGGCGCTCATTGTCGGGCCTATAACCTGTGCTGAAGGAGTGTCTGATGTACCAGTTCCTGCTGAGAGCACATCGCAGTTCCCCATAGTTTTCCCAGCAGTGGGCTGTGTATTCTGCTTTTAATAGAGTAGATTCTCGTTAAAATGAGCTAAAAATTACCACAATAATCAAGGACAGAGAAATGTTTCATAGTAGTACTGTGTTATCCTTATAATGCTTAGCTTACGTTCACCTACATACTTCTATTCCTTTCAAAAACATTTACTGAAAACAGTCTGCCCAGTACTCTGCTCTTTGAGATACTAATTTGGGAATTATTAACAAGAATAGTCTCAGCACGGTATAGGTGAATGTACATAGATGAAGGTATGTTGGAAACAGTGTTGTGTAACAAAATCCCTATTTATAACGTGTTTGTAGATGCTGTGAGAAAACCATGGAGGTTATGAGAAGCTCTCAGGAAACCCTGTTGACCATCGTGGAGGTAAGGCGGATTCTAAGGAAATCTCTGTTGAGAGACTGTGGATCTTGTTAGAAGGTGACTGGTTTGAGGATCGGTGCTTCATTTTCATGTGGCAGGAGGGGGGTGGGATGCATAAATGATTAAATCATGGTTTAGAAATGCCTCCAGTCCTCTCAAATTTCTGGGCATTTTACAGCAGTATAAGTAATCTCTAGTCTTTAATTCATAAATCAGCACTTTGATGTCTTAGATCTCTCCTATGGCATTACTTGCTTTCAGAATGGTTTCCGTTGGAGTTTTAAGAGAAATCAGTAAGTCATATCTCCTTTTCCATGCCCAGGTTCAGAACCATTTAGTCACTGACTCATGTTGATCAGGCAGAAAGGGAAGGAAGGAAAGCAGATTTCCAGTGCCTGTGACACCAGCTCTACCCAGGACAAAATTGTGTACCTAGAGCAGGCACTCACCACGCTGGCGAGAAGGGTGTGTGGAGCAAGAGGCAGTAGTGTCTCCTCCACAAGGCAACGTGGGGGCCAGAGTATAGGCGAGCCTCCCTTACTTAGAGTCTTCAGCTTTTATTCCTTTACCTGGTGGTGCTGGACCGGCTGTACTTTAGGATCACCTGCGCTCCTTTTAAAAAAATGTTGAGGCTGACCATACTCAAACCATACTTCTGGGGATAGGGCAGGAACATTTGTGGTTTTTATGAGCTATCAACCTGTACTGGGTCGAGGCTGGGGATGCCGCTGAACTTCGTTCAGTGCACAGGACACCCCCACAACAAAGCGTTCAGCCCGATAATGTCAGTAATGCCAAGATTGAAAAACCCTATTCTAGCTTAATCAGGCTGTGTCCCTTTATTGTGTTCCATTCTGATAGTAAGACTAAAGTCAATTTTTGAAATACTCTGGTTCCTCCTTGATTTCAGAGTTGGCAACTATGACTCCAGAAGGCCTAGAGTTCGAAATAATTTATGTTTCTTCAACCCAAGAAGAACATACAGGCTTTTTATAATAGTAGAAGCCTCCATTTCTTTTGGTTGATTAATAAAATGTACCTCCCTATGGGTTCAAACTTAAGCAACCATCAATTTCAGATAGACTGCTATATAAAAATATTATATATAAGCCTAATGGTCACCACAAATCAAAAAATTCTAATAGATATGCAAAGAATAGAAAAGAATCCAATTATAATTACTAAAGAAAGTCAGCAAACCATGAAAGAGCAGGAGAAGGATCAGAGAAAAACCACAAAAACAACACAAAACAAATAACAAAATAGCAATAATTACATATCTGTCAGTAATTACTTTGAATATAAATGGACTAAATGCTCTAATCAAAAGACATAGGGTGACAGAGTAGATTTTAAAAAAAAAAAAAAAGACCCATCTATATGTTGCCTACAAGAAACTCATTTCAGACTGAAAGCGAGGGGGTGCAGAAACATTTGTCACGCAAATGGATGTCAGGAGAAAGCAGAAGTAGCAACACTTCTATCGGACAAAATGGCCTCTGAAACAAGGACTGTAAGAACAGACTGAGAAGGACACCATATAATAATAAAGGGGACAGTCCAACAAGAAGATACAATAATTGTAAGCATGCACATAACAGGGAGCACCAAAATACGTAAAACAGTTAATGACAAACATAAAGGAACTAATCAACAGTAATACAATAACAGAAGGAGACTTTAAACATCCCATTCACACTGATTATCCAACAGAAAATCAACAAGGAAGTAGTGGCTTTGAATGACCGACTGGACCAGATGGATTTAAACGATATATCCAAAAATTCCATCCTAAAACAGCAGATTACACATCCTCTTCAAGTGCACATGGGACATTCTCCAGAACAGATCATATATTAGGCCACAAATTTCTTTTTTAAGAAATTAAAAGGGGCGCCTGGGTGGCGCAGTCGGTTAAGCGTCCGACTTCAGCTCAGGTCACGATCTCGCGGTCCGTGAGTTCGAGCCCCGCGTCGGGCTCTGGGCTGGTGGCTCAGAGCCTGGAGCCTGCTTCCGATTCTGTGTCTCCCTCTCTCTCTGCCCCTCCCCCATTCATGCTCTGTCTCTCTGTCTCAAAAATAAATAAAACGTTAAAAAAAAAATTAAAAAATTAAAAAAGACTGAAGTCATACCATCCATCTTTTCTGGCCTAGGATACTAGAAGTCAATCCACCCACCCACCCCCAAATCTGGAAAGACCACAAATACATGGACATTAAGTAACTAAGGAATGAATGGGTCAACCAAGAGATCAAAGAAACAAAAGAAAACACAGTGGTCCAAAATCTTTGGGATGCAGCAAAGGCAGTTCTAAGAGGGAAGTATATAGCAACACTCAAATACCTCAGAATCTCAAACAACCTAAATTTGCATCTGAAGGAGCTAGAAAAAAACAACAAACAAAACCTAAAACCAGCAGAGGAAAGGAAATAAAGATTAGAGCAGAAATAAATGATAATAGCAACTAAGAAAAACAAGAGAACAGATCAATGAAACCAGGACCTATTTCTTTAAAAAGATCAATAAAATTGATAAACCTCTAGCCAGACTCATTTAAAAAAAAAAAAAAAGGTCTCAAACAATATCACAAATGAAAGAGGAGAAATAACCAACACTACAGAAATACAAACAATTGGGGGCACCTGGGTGGCTGAGCTGGTTGAGCATCCGACTCTATTTCAGCTCAGGTCTTGATCTCAGGGTTTTGAGTTGAAGCCCCACGTTGGGCTCACGCTGCACATGAAGCCTACTTTAAAAAAAAAAAAAAAAGACAACGAATTATAAGAGAATTATGAAAAACTATTAGACAAATTAGACAACCTGGAAGAAATGGATAAATTCCTAGGAACATAACCTACCAAAACTGAAGCAGGAAGAAATTTAAAAATTGGACAGACTGATTACCGGCAATGAAATTGTTGGGATTTTTTGATTATCGACTCAAACAGAAGTCTGGTACCAGACAGCTTCACCGACAATTTCAACCAAACATTTAAAGACTGTTAATTTTAAGAAGAGTTAATACCTATTCTGTTCACACTATTCCAAAAAATAGAAGAGGAAGGAAAACTTCCAGATTCATTCAATGACGCCAGTATCACCCTGATAAAGACACCATAAAAAGAACTACAGGCCAGTATCTCTGACAAACAGATGTAGATGTAGGTTCGGTATTCGCAAATCAATCAACATGATGCCTCACATTGATAAAAGGAAAAACCACATGATAATTTTAGTTGGCACAGAAAAAAGCATTTGACACGGTACAACATCCATTCATCATAAAAGTCCTCAATAAAGCAGGTGTAGAGGGAACATACCTCAACATAATGAAGGCCTTATGTGAAAAACCCACAGGAAACAACATATTCAATAGTGAGAAACTGAGAGCTTTCCCCCTAATAAGATCAGGAACAAGATAAGGATGGCCCCTCTCACCACTTTTATTCGACACAGCACTAGAAGTCCTAGCCATGGCAGTCAGACAACAACAAGAAAGAAAAGACATTCAAATTGGTAAGGAAGAAGTAAAACTCAGTATTTGCAGGTGACATGGTGCCAAAAAAGATAATAACCCTAAAATATTCCTCCAGAAGCGACTAGAACTGATAGATGAATTCAGTAAAGACACAGTATATAGAGTCAATGTGCAGAAATCTGTTGCATTTCTATACACTAATAAGGAAGCAGCAGAAAGTGAAATTAAGAAAACAATCCCATTTATAATTGTGTCAAAAATAAGACACCTAGGAATTAACCTAACCAAAGGGTGAAAGAGCTGTACTCTGGAAACTATAAAACACTGATGAAAGAAATGAAGATGACACAAGGAAAGAAGAAGACATTCCGTGCTTATGTATGAGAAGAACAGATACTGTTAAAATGTCTATATTGCCCAAGGCAATCTACACGTTTAATAAATCACCAGCATTTTTCACAGAGCTAGAAGAAACAGTCCTAAAATTCGTATGGAACCACAAAAGACCCCAAATAGCCAAAGCAGTCTTAGAAAAGCAAAGCTGGGGGCATCACAATTCCAGGCTTGGAAGTTCCATTACAGAGCAGTAGTAATCAAAACAGTAGTGTACTGGCACAACAGTAGACACATAGGTCAATGGAACAGAATAGAAAACCCAGATATAAATCCACAGTTATATGGTAATTAATCTTTGACAGAGTCGAAAGGATATAAAACGGGTAAAAGAATGTCTCTCCAACAAATGGTGTTGGGAAAACGGGACCCCTTTTCTTACACCATACACAAAACAAATTCAAAATGGGTTAAAAACCTGTGAGACCTGAAACCATAAAAAAAATCCTAGAAGAGAACACAGGCAATAACTCCTTTGACAATGGCCATAGCAACTTTTGTTCTAGATGTGTCTCCTGAGGCAAGGAAAACAAATGTAAAAATAATAAACTGTTGGGACTTTGTCAAAGTAAAAAGCTTCTGCACAGTGAAGGAAACAATCAACAAACCTAAAAGGCAGCTTACTAAATGGGAGAAGATATTTGTAAATGACATATCTGATAAAGGGTTAGTATCTAAAATATATAAAGAGCTGATAAAACTCAATACCCAAAAACCAAATAATCCAATTAAAAAATGGACAGAAGACACGAATAGACATTTTCCCAGAGAAGACATCCAGATGGCTAACAGACACACGAGAAGATGCTCAACATCACTCATCAGGGAAATGCAAATCAGAACCCCAATAAAATATCACCTCTCACCTGTCAGAATGGTAAAATCACCAGTAGATGTTGGCAAGGATGCAGAGAAAGGGGGAACCCTCTTGCACCTTTGGTGGGAATGCAAAGTGGTACAGCCACTCTGGAAAACACTATGGAGTTTCCTCAAAAAGTTAAAAATAGAGCCACCCTATGATCCAGTAATTGCACTACTGGGTATTTACCTAAAAAAATGCACTAATTCAAAGGGATACATGCGCCCCTATGTTTACGGCAGCATTATTTACAATAGCCAGATTATGGAAACAGCCCAAACATCCATCAGTAGATGAATGAATAAAGAAGTGAGGTATATATACAGTGGAATATTACGTGGCTATAAAAAAATAAAATTTTGCCATTTGCAATAACATGGATGGAGCTAGAGTGTATATTCTAAGCAAAATTATTCAGAGAAAGACAAATACCATATGGAATTTAGGAAACAAATGAGCAAAGGGGGAAAAAAAAGAAACAGGCAAACCAAGAAATAGACTCTTAAATATAGAGAACACACTGATGGTCACCAGAAGGGAGGTGAGTGGGTGGGTGGAACACTTGTGATGAGCAAAGGGTGATGTATACAAGTATTGAATATCTGTATCCCACACCTGAAACGAATCTTACACTGTGTTTTAACTATACTGGAATTTTAAAAAATGTACCTCCCTTGTGTGGGTGAATCTGGTTTGGATGCCTCAGCTCTAGAGCATGTCAATGCCCAACTTAATGTCACACAGGAATCCTCGAACTTGCAGACAAACCACATATATTCAGAGTCGGTGCCCCTATGGTTTTTAATGGCTCTGGGGGTTGCTGAAAACAGTGGAAAGCATGAAATGGATGAGCCAATTTTGGTACTGCTGAATCAGTACATGTCTTGGAATTGAACATGTAACGCTAAAGGCAATTTATAGTCGCAGCCCACAGAACTGAGAAAACACGAAGCAGCAAAAAAAAATGGTACAGTTCTGGAGTCATCATCCCTGGAAATGAGTTTTCACTTATTAAGACCTGTGTGGTAAGCATTTTTGCTAAGGAGTATTTAAAAAAAAAAAACAAAAAACTGTGCTTATAAACAGCAGGGGCAGTTAGCTGTTCTACATTGCCAAGGTCAAAAATCTCTCATGACCTCATTTACTAAAATGTAAGACCTAAAGTCCCTTGCTCTGGCCATGCCAGTTGTTTTGGTTTTCAAATTCTACTACATAGATCTGTCTCCACACTGCACTAGACCTTCGGTTTTGAGGAGTTTTCAATAAAGTATACCCCTTCTTTTCTCCAAATTTGAAACTTATGGAGAGAAAAGGAAAAAGCCTTAAGAATAAGGTAGAAATCAAAATGTTTGGGTTAGCACAGATAAAATCATCCCACACCTAACCTCTGCCTGGGTCCAGCCCGAGGGGAGCTGGGGTGGGCAGAGCAGGTGCCCTTGCCCAGGACCATAGCAGTGAGGAGGAGAGAGGAGGAGGAAAGTGACTAGTCCTTATCTCTTGAATAAAGCAGTTTCCAGGTG